CTGTAAGGTCTGAGGATTATCCTCAGTTGCTGGATAATGTCGCACAATATCTCCTTTCATTGTTCAAAGTCTTTTTCATGGTATTTCTGGTTTGGTTTGATATAAATGATCATTCTGTTCCAGCCCACAGAGACACTGGCTGGCACCATCTTGCGGTCTCTGTGTCTGGTGTAGCTATGCAGTCAGTGGGTGGGGTTATGATAAGAATTTACTGAGGTCATGAAACTCCATAAAGAGAAAATTGGTCTTATCAGCCAAAATAGTGGAAACACTCATTGCGGTTTGATTTAATATTACCTTAAAAAATAATGTGCAGCTTTATTGTACAGAGATTTTTATAAAACAACTGGTTTGAGGTACTAATGTATTGAACCCACTGTTTTAAATGTATAAATGGCATTCATATAATCCAAATGATTTTTCAACAGTAGACGAGGGGAATTGTAGAACAGGTGTAAAATAAAAGTCACAGTAAAAGAATTTAGTATTTGAACAATATTTTAATAGATTACTGTAATGTATTATACTACTTATTTTACTTTTGTTATTCAATAAACTGCTAAGTATAACTTTTCTTTGTCTTTCCTCTGAACCTTAACTGGTGCCTCATATAATCCAGGATTACGCGTGGCCACACTTGGGTAGTCTGCGCTTCATCCTCCATGATAAACGCAGATTCCACTTGTTGTGGAAAGGAATGGTCATCTCTGGATCCAAATGCAAAGTCTCCTCCAGGTCCACCATTGGCTTCCATAGGACTGGAGATAAGGTGGTAAGGGCTGTCCAAAAATCCCTATGAACATTTTATATTGGACAATATAATTCAGATTACTTAGAAATATCACATATATCACCTTTTCTTAACTTTACACTTTGGACGACTTTATTTATATTTGTTCACAATGCTATTGTGATACATTGCGTACTGCTTTCCAACAACCCATACAGTGACATTTATTTTTTATGGTAAAGTGTTATAAACCTTTGTGTCAATAGTAGCAAGAATGAACTGAATTATGTATATTCCATTTAATGGAATTCAGTGAATTGAATGAATGAAAGAATTCAGAATTCAGAATTTTATATATATATATATATATATATAAATGTAACTGTATGGGTTGTTGGAAAGCAGTATGCAATGTATTACAATAGCATCGTGAACAAATATAAATAAAGTTGTCCAAAGTGTAAAGATAGATAGATAGATAGATAGATAGATATTTACCATACCTCAGTCTGGTCTTGACGGGTCTCTTTGCAATCCACAAGCACGAATATAGATACACTCAAGAGGAGCAAAACAGATGATCTCAGTGATGAGTATGATGGTAGTGATCCAGGCATCTTTCCTCACAATTGCATTTGTATCCAGAGAAAGGTCATGTATCTGTAATATTTTCAAAATTCTGCGCACCAACAGGTTCTTTTGCATCAAGGATTCACTTATGGCATGCCATGTGACTGAGCCACTTTATTTATTTTTCAGCTTGTATGGAACAAATGCATTAGCCTATAGTCCCACACATGCCATAATCCAGGCAATGGCTAACCTACGCACAGCTACCCTCTATCTGTAGTTTATTCAGCTCAAATACAAATGGACTTTTCTTCAAAGCAGCAGGTGGTGTTATTAAACGCTCATGAAATGGTGAAACTGAAAAGACATGGACCTTGTTAGGCAAGATTAAAAGCACTGCAGGACGTCTTAATGAATCACAATTACACTCAAAGGCAGGCAATGTATCCTTCCAGGCCATGTCAGCGAAACAATAATATGAGCGCTTTTTTTCCTATGAATTAAAATTCTGCCATTGTACCAATAAATATATTTTATTAGCCCAGAGTATGTATGTGGCACGAATTAATTATGTATTAATACTGTATGTTGGTTGACTTAAAAATAACAGACACATTTAAGATCATATGAAGAGGGGAAAAAAAATCTGTGAACAACATATAAGTCTTACAGGGATACAGATTGTTTTGTATACAGTGAACTGTCATTGTACAATGTATTTTTTTCAGTTGAGTAATCATTAATAAGTATAAAAGAACCTGAAACATGTTAAATTCAGCAGGATGCTGCTGCCCTAATTAGTTACCATGACACTCATACCAATAGGATCAAAGCCTATAAATTAATTAGTAGAATATTTTATTATGTCAGCCTTGCATTTACAGAAGCTTAGTCTTTTTCATTATTACCATGAATGACACCACCTGTGCCTCATTATGGCTCAACACACCAGGGACTGAAAGTGAAGAAGACAATGAAACTACATTGAAAAAAACTTAAAATGACCACACACTGTCAAAAACACTATATTCATAAAGACATCCAGTTCTGTCGTTCTTGGACCACATTTCAATTACACTAATTAAGTCATTTAGATACGCCCTTTAATTCTGTTATAACACCCATTGGGAAATGGCTAGATCTGCAAGATCCTTTGATGTAAAAATGTATGTTTTATATATTTATATGCATGTCATTCTATAACATTACATATTATATTGATATATCATTTTTTTTTGTTTTAATACTTATTTTTAAATACATACAAATAAATACAAAATGAACATATGCATAACATACCAATGTGCTTTATAATAACTTTATTACAAAGAATAATTATGTTTGTCACTAGGCCTTTGTCAGGAAAGCATTTTTCTTGTCACAAACAAACAAATGGCACCACAGCCCCATTTCCATGTCATTTAATCTTCCACAAATCACACATTAAATGCAGATTTCCACAGACTGTGTTTAGACATCCTACGGCTTCTCAAACCTGATTTATACATGAAAATTATACTTGACACTGTACATTTGTTATTTTAGTGTGATAAACTAGGCACATTCTAAAATAAGGAAAAATTATAATGGGTATTATATTTTTCCATTTGTTTCAGTTAAGAGTCTCTAAGATCGAGACATATAGAGCAAAAAAACCAAAACAAAAAAAACACAAAAAAGTACAGTATGAAAGAGATTTGTTCTGTTTTATAACGCAGACTATTGCCAACAAGTCCTCATTAAACCTTGATAGTGTGGAGTTTTTAATCAATCAGCAGTAAAATACAATAAAGATGGAATGTTCTGATTTTACAGTCCTACTGATTCCCTGCTCTAACTCTCAAACAACAAAATGCAACGTTCTAAATAAAAATCCTCAGACACAGAATTTATATACATCATGTGCATTGTTTCCTCTGTTGTCAAATGCTGTTTTAGTGTTTGAGGGGGGAGGGGTGGGGGGGTGCATTTGATCATCTATCTGATGTGGTGTAGGAATAAGTCAGGTTTGAAGTTGAGGTTATACAGTAGGACATGTTATTTTAATTGACAATATTAAAACACTTGGAGCCCTCCTCATAGATAACATAGTAACATAGAATGGCAACTCTGAATTAAAATTTTCTCTGATCGTGTTGGAGCAATATAAAATGAACACAGAGCAAACAATGATCACATCTCAGCAAATAAGAGAGTAGGGAAATCTTTACAGCACTTATTTAGTAAATTTCCACAACCTGTAAGGTTATCAAAAACTAAAAGATCAAGTTAATCACTGTACATTTATTTGGAGCAGTAAAACAGTTTGGCTGAAACAACTTTTTAAGGTTTCTATTGCTTTTGTTATAAATCAACAGCATCAACCCCACCCAAGTCATTTTATAAAAAAAGAAGCCATAACTCGCTCAACAGCAGCTGAGCTTGTCTATATTTTCAGGTGCAAGTCAAGCACGACTAAGGTGACTATCTGCATCATTACTAGCGCTGAACATGTGGATACACAGGCTTTCTCCTCCTTGTTTGTCACTATAAGACAAAAGGAGCATATTTTCAGACCAATGAAGAAGACCAAGCTTGCTAACCAGCAGTATTAAATACAGAGGAAAACAAAGGAGTGTGAATCCTGTCCCTTCAATTTCCAAACATTTAACATACACATTTACATCAAGGCCAGTGTAAGGCAATTCTCCTTTTCCCTTAAAACACCTCCAGGGTCCCACAGTTTAACATGTTATTATTGTATTGTGTACAAAAATGGAAACAAATTCATTAAATATCCATGAATCTGGATTTTACTCAAAAAACTAAAACCATTTCAATAACCAATACCCATTAATTCTCACTATGTTATTCATTTACAGTACCCACTGACCTTTAATTTGTGGCTATAACCCTGAGTTTGTTCAACTTGACAAACTGGATAAAGCTAAATATATTTTTCTTAAACTGACCACACAGTAGTATCAATAACAATGTAAAAGCAGCAGAAATGTATAGCATCTTTGCAATATTCTATTGTAGCGTTATTTACTGCGGAATTTGAGAAAAATCTGACATTTCAAAAAAACTGAAATGTAGCTTTAAAACATATAAAAAGTAAGCTAAAAGGATAAAAATAAAATTAAATCGCCCTCCAATTGCACATCCTTTTAGGAAACAATTAAAGTTGTGTGAAAGGGCTGTTAGATATAAAACAGTTATGATTTAGACAACAGAGAGTCTTCAAACTGCACTAACCCTACTTAAATCGTGCACAGAGAACCTAGAAGATTCACTTAAAGTGTGCGCACAGAATTCATTCTGTTTGGTTACACAGGCTTCATCTACACGTGTCATTCTCTTATCTAAACAGACAGTAAAGTGACGCGTTCATTTTGTGCAGCACTAATGGTTAGGTCATGTGGTGTGGTCAAGTTATGAATTACAACATGCATTAAAAAAAGGAGGTCTACAGGCAAATAGAGGAGTATTGGAGTGAATGTGTGTATAGAAGTGGGTTGTTGTCAGTGTTGGATTTTTGTAAAACTTATCAATGCTGATTTTCCATGTGCTTTGACACTAACAAGTAGACCACCTCTGGTTAATGGGTGAAAGATTCTGTTACAATCAACAGATGTTGCGAGAATCCTAAATGTCAAGCTAACCACAAACTATTTTAAAGTACAGTGTGATAACAACACGCCTGATGACAGAAAGACCCTTTTTTTTTTTTTTTTAGCTAAACTAAGTAATCTCATTGCAGCTAAGTTCCGGCCATCAGATCTCCACTCTATCCCTACCAATGAGCTGAGCAGTGTCATCATCAGTGTGGTGCCTGTCCTCTCCTGAGTCATCACTTTCTGAGTCTGTGTCCTCCTGAGGGGAGTAGTAGCCTTCATAACCCAGGATGGGAGAGTCGCAGTGTGCAGGGGAGGCGAGGCACTGGGCAGTAGTGGTGGTGGTGGTAGCTGAATAGGCCCCTGGGCTCCCTGAGGGGGACCCAGGGTTAGAGGGACGAAGCAGAGGAGTGCGCTCTGAGTCTGCTTCACCCTCTGCTCCTTCCCCCTCCCCACGTCCTCCAGTTTCCTCCTCAGACTCAGACTCTGAGTGCTCTGGGTTGTTTCGAGTGACGCGTTGTTTACACACAGGACACGTCTTCTTGGTCTGTGTGAGCCACGGGTCGACACACTTGCAGTGATAGGCTGAAGAACAGGAAGAATTTTAAGAAACTAAAGCAAGACCTGGCAAAGGACAGTGACTGCAGCAGAAGCTTTTTCAGGTTGTAACATAAAGTGAATAAAGACATGTTACGAATCTAACACAGAACAACCCCAGGTGACACAGGGGGATAAATATCCTGCAATGTTTACAGCTTAGGTGGGTACTATATTGAAAATAATTACTTGTGTTCACTGATGGGAAGATAGAGAGGTCTTTGCACAGTGACTACTGGCTGATCTGTCTAGACTGTCTCAATATGTCACCACTGACCCAGGTCAAAAGTGGGAGTTGGCAACAAGGACTGTAGTGTAGGAGGCATTGGCAACTTAATGTTTGGAGGAAAAAGGACGACGTTGCTACATTATGATATTGGAGTAAAATATTGTACTTTTGAAGATGCAACAGGTAGGGGTATAAATATTGACTTACAAGGAAGGGCACATTCATTTACTACTTTGTGTTTAAATAGCGTGATAACTTGTTGCTGCAAGTGTGGCACATGTACACATTGTGTGTATCAGTTGAGGCATTTCCCAATGTACCATAACATACAAACTTCAATATAATATGATAACGACATACTAAATATTTACCATGGGAACAAGGTAAAACTCGCAGCTTGTCTCCTTCTTCATACTCATCCAAACATATTGCACACAGATCATAGTCATCCCCTGAAACAGAGGAGAAAAGTTATCAACTTCAGCTACCTGTTCTATGGTAAAAAGCCCCACAGATGATAGAGGAAATGTTATGAACAATTTAATCATTGCAATTGGTTCCCAATGTTCCTCAAAACACATTACAGTAACAGTGAAAACAATACAATCCTCTTACCTTTGGTGAACCTGTGGGTTGGAATCCGCTTCAGCTGTTCCTTGGACAAACGATTTTTGCGCAGTCTTTTTCTGTATCGCACACATCGTATAATCTGAACAATACAAAAAGACAATGTTACAGATGGCATGAGAATTACACAACATTCCACATGTATGGGTGGATTTCTTTCATGTGTTCCTATAGGGACCTAGTAGTCATAGTAAGTCAGTAAGTAAGAAGATGTTTTAGAAAAGTTAGATAAAAGCCTAAAACAATGTGTCTATTGAATAAACGTAACATGTCAAGAGAGCTAGTTCTAGCTTGGCTGAAATACTATTAAGTCACTATTTTACAATAGAAGAATATTCAAAGCTCGCCTATGCTATGGCCAAATGGTCCAAATACCATGTAAGCAAGTGATTTCACAATTGCAACCCCCAAAAGAGATTTTTAATAATGTGCTTACTGAATAAACACCAAGGGAAACATCACATCATACGTACTTACCAAGACAACAAACATCACAAGAATGATCATGCCAACTACTCCAGTGAAGGGAATAAGGTAGTATGAGAGCGGAAAAGCAAACTCAGGCTTGAGGATTACATAGGCCCTGCAGGCCAAGAAAAAAGAAACAATGCATCACATACCAATTTTACCCTAAAGCACTAGAACTGAAGGCTGGTTTGGTCTAGATTAATGTTTAGTTTGAAAAATCATTTCAGAAATTTACCTCTAGAAATGCTGAAGTGTTTTTACTTACCCTTGTTCTGGAATTATGAAATTCCTGAGAATTTGAGAAGCATAGTAACTGGTGAATACTGAGGGGATCTCAATCTCCTCTGCAATAGTGTCTGGAAAATAAAGAAAAAACAACAAGATTTAAACTTTTGGCATTTTAGTAAGATCGTGAGAATGTAAAAAGTTTGAAATTGTGTACATTTTATAAAAGAGAATTACCATTGCTATAGTTCATATTGAGCAGAGTGTCGGAATACATGTTGTGAACGATTGCAGCATTGTACCCAGCTCTCTGCGCGTGCAAGACCTGAAAACCAAATCCTCGCATTAGATCACTTTGCTTCACAGACACTTAGGTGTATTCATCATCATGCAAACATTACCTACCTTTATATCAAAATTGCAGTCATAGCGTCTGATGAGAACAATGAATTTGGTGGTGTTGGAATCATAAGATGGTGGCAATGGAGGAGGAGGGTCTATTGCGGCGCAGCCATTAAGTGGACGGGACACCACCAAAACTCCCTTTCACACAAAGAAAAAAAAAACGTCATTATAAAAGCCTTATGTTTTTCTCCATGTGCTCTTTCTCCAATACTCTGCTCTCACCATTAGTCCATCCTTAGGAAGTGGAGATCCAAACAAGGCAGGTAGGTCCTCAAATAACATGGAGGTCATATTGCTGTAATGCTGCCACAAAAATATATACATATGGTAAGAAGTTATATCATTTTCAGGAGAATTTAAGGAATCATATTTCTAGTTAAAGATTATCAAAGTCCTGGAGCTAAATCTCCTAGACTACTTACAGCATATATATAGGCATGTGTGGGCGAGGTCACCAGTATGCTGCAGAAAACCAGTATTGGGACATTCAACCGAGCTCCCACGGACCACACACCAAGGTGCACCATCCTTGGTTGCTTACAGTTGCACTTAACTGCAAAACAGATATAACCATACAAATCAAGAGTAAGTAATCAGTCATGACCAGAGGTAATGCTTCAGGTCTCAGGCTGAATGAAGCTGATCTTGCAGTCTGATTACAGCCTGGCATTAACATACTAATGCAAATTGACAATTCAAGTTGTAAAACTGTGTAAATATGCACATGAATATGCAAACAAGGAAAAGTAAACTGACTTGCCACTAATTATTTACACAAACTCTTCATCTTCATGGAGTAGCAGAACAAACCTAAGTACTTTTGAAAGAGATTATGATTCTGTTACTTTGTGAGGAAATACACATCAATACATTTGTTTTCACAAATAAAAGGACACATTTGCATGAAACAAGATGGAAACACTGTGGAGAAGTTAATCAGTTTTTTTCTTGGTGCTAACATCTTATGTTTCACTCTTTAAATGAACTCCAGTGAAGGGAATAAGGTAGTATGAGAGTGGAAAAGCAAACTCCGGATTGGGGCTCACATAGGCCATGCAGGCCAAGAAAAGAAACAATGCATCACATATCAATTTTACCCTTTATGGTTCACTCTTTAACCAATCATATGGTTTCTTAATTCCTTTATTTCTCTAGCTTTTGTGGTTGTGTTGCAATATTTCTATGTTAATATCATCTTACTAAAATTATAATGTTCCCATATATTGAGTTTTGGCAAACAAACAAAATCAAGCAACAGCCAATTTACAAATGTGTGCAGCAAGGTCTCCAGCTGTGTTCATTGTATTTTTATGTCTATGAGTTTGTTTCACTTTCTAAGCATAACTTACAATATCTGTTGTTCCACTTTTTGTCATTGTTCCTCAAAGTTCATGCACACACCCTGGGCACATTTTCTTAAACTAACGACAAGCATTTTGCTGCCATCATTCTTGTACAGAATGAGAAACAACTTGCAAACATAACATTTATGAGACTGGCACTGATAGTAGTGTGAATGAATTGTGAACAATAACCTGCATTTACCTCTACCAGGTCCTTGCAACTATAAATACAGTGCAGATATTTCTTGATTCTAGTTCTGGTCAAAACTACTATTTTTGTATGCACAGTCTCATTTATTTACAGGCGTAAGAATCCAACAACATTAGGATAGGGTAAGGTAAGTGGAATACACAGGTTATTTGTGCTAGTGGTTAAAAGGTTAACACAACAATTAAGAACATGTTCACGTACCCCAGAACTATGATGGTTAGCTTTATTGCATTGGTAAGCTATTAACCCAATATATTATATCTCTTGATTGTACTAAAATAAAAACATGCTGAAAAGCACTGCACGCAAGTCTGACCGACATAGCTCCTTTTGTCGTTTTAACTACTTACAGGAAGTCGGTGAGGAAATAATACGCTGCTGTTGTGTTGCTTCTGTCGCAATGATAAACCTGTGAACTATGTAGCTCTTATTTCCTCACCATGTCCTGAAAGACGTTATTTTAACGACTCTTAACCCGTTCTTTACATATGTTAAAGTAGTGTGGCCTGCTGAACTCCCAACAGCATTTAAGTTAGTTCTACCTTTGGTTATTATTTATGATTAAATGGGTAAAAATACAAGAACATATTATAAGTCATCAAAGTAGTTGTTGTTGTTGTGTGTCGTTAACTACATACCTTAGTATCCTTTTAATATCGGCACCGTAAAGGTTGTAATCTACGGTTATTCCAGTTGTCTCACTTTGGTTGCTCACATGTCACCGTGTAAAATCGATAAAAGATGTTGGTCTGCTCACTTTCTCGACAATCCTGTAGATGCTAAAGAAAACGACAAACGACAGGGAGGATTAACGTTAGCTAGCTGACGTTTAGCTATTGTTAGCAGATGACTGATAGCAGTTACAATAAGTCGTCTACGTGACAGATTACCCTGTGTCTTCTGTTTAGTCCGTATACATTATTTTGTAGAATATAAAACAATAATATGTTTGTCCACCGTAGAAGTGACAATTGCCAATATGCCTGGCTCCTTCAATTGGCGTTAGCTTGCCGCTGCTAGGTTTGTTTGTTATTGCTTCTTGCTCCCTGTTTCTTCTTCGTGTTGTGTGATAGCAGATTGCCTCAGCAGCATCCACACCCACAGCGCCACCAAGCGACCAGAAGAAGAAACAACAATGATCTCAGTGCCTTATATGTAGGCGCTCTTGGCTTTCCATGGCTTTTGCACGACAACCCGTGGTTGAGATGAATCTGAAATGGCTAATGAAAGCCGAATGGATCCAAACAAAAGGGTTAAAGGACAATCTTATCTCATCTGAAACGTACACGCTGCATTGCATACTGACATGCAGAGATGGCCATAGTTTCAAGCAGAGACAGACCGGTTTCACTGCATTCAGATGGGCAGATTCCAGTCATATTCAGGCCCTTGTCTAAAGAGCAGCACCCGAAGGTGACATGAGTGAATTCCCAATTACTGGGGTATCTAAATTGCAAGAGATTGGCCGCCTACTAGGTATACTATGGACAGCATGCAATTCATTTTAAATATAACATGTTTTCAGAAGATTGCAGAGAAGCTGCAACTAATACCTTAGTGTCCACCAGAGGGCAATAGTCTGTCTGAGGGTTCAGTACTCAGGAATTCAGACATCAGGCTGTGGTTTCTTCAACACTGCACTCAAATGGGAGAATCACTCAAAGGTCACATACAGTACAGAGCTTTTATTGTTGTCACTCTGTCATGACATTGTCTGAGTTCAACAAATGATAACTACAGTACAAAGGAACACTGAGCTGTGTAATGGCCAGGGGCTGATGCTTTAAATGTAAGAAACTGAAGGATTCTTCAATGAGAGTACTTAAGTAGGCAGATGCAAATACAAGCATACACATACCCAATATGCTGTATATGCTGTATGTAATAGCTGTATGGCCCTCTGGAAGAAAATGTTAAACTGTGTTATAGGCTAAATGTATCCATTTATAGTTTTTCAGTTATTCTCTGTTTTCAGCAGGTTGCCATATAAGATGATGGCGATGAAGGATACTAACACTTCTGAATAAAGCAAATAGAAGTTGAGGGTGTTGGCAGGATCACCAAACCACATGCTGATCTTTCTTGTCATGGAAGTCAGGTAGCCTGTGGCGTAATCTCTTTACTGCCAATGTCAAAACCTAACCCTCACTGCATGGTGTCTGCAATACCTGCTGTTGTAGTTATATTTTTATGAGGTGCAAGATTAGTCAGTGTCCTATCCCTTTAATGATTCTCTGCACACCCTTCTCTTTTTGAAGAAGAAGAAATTAGATCTTAGTACGTTTGGGATGATTAGTTCTGGAGATTTGCCATTTTGCAGTCATTTTAAGCCTTTCTATTGAGAGACAAAGATGGTTTTCGGAGAGAATTCACCAACTGATTGTTTACTGCTGACTTCAGTTAAGTTAATCCGCACTTAGTCTTAGGAAGAAAACAAGACTAAAACTTTTAGACCCGGCAATCTCAAGAGATTGCAATGGTCGTTACATACCATAATAGAAAAGTGTAGGAGTTTGCTCACCTTAGACTCTCAACCATTTGCAGGGCTGATATTGTAGAGTTCAGATTAGAATTAGAATTTGATATTATGGGTGTACAAGTGGAAATTTTGGTCAGATAGAGGAGGTGGAGGAAAGGCCAGAAGCTCATCCAAAAATGGATTCATCTTTCCGGAACCAACCCCAAATTTCATGGAAATGTGTTGTTAGTTTTTATGATACCTTCAGATGAACCACAGTGGAGGTTAAGGGTAAGATTTGATTGAACTGCTGTACTATGCCAAAGGTCAGAATATCCCCACAATCATTAGGATGATCCTCTGAGGGCCGAATCAAACGCCATGTCAGTCTGGCTAATAGTTTTATTTATCTTGCTCTGGACCAATGTATTCACCGACTATATGATCAATACCATCACAACCCTTACAGTAGGCATTTCCAGACAAAACACAGTGTTTTCAACCACTCCTCTGTTTAACTATTCTCTGCCTACTTCATGTGTAGATAACCTCAAAGCTTCCCATGACCCTGAACAGTGAAACTTGCATATAGAAAATGAAAAAAATTAATGTTCATAAAATGTTCATCCATTAAGCTACATCCTAAGAGCTCATTTCTGAGTGGACATTAGGTCTTTTTTGCGAAAAAATATTCCTCATGTGTCATTGTTACACCAAAGTGCCTATTTTGTCAACATGCACCACCAGCTGAGTGTGGGGGGGGTGAATGTCATTAGGAAAACCACACCATTTCCCTGCTCCAAAACTTGCTTTCCTACCAACTTCTTGGAGTTAGAATTGCATCATCTGAGAGTGAGTCCACCAGAACAGTTACTGAAGAATCTGGCTCCCAAGGCTGTTGGTACAGACCTTGACCCGCAGGTGATTAGAGACTAGTGAGAGTATCTTTGTGAAAGATGTAGGCTAAGAGTGATTATGTAAATATAATGAAAATAAATTTAACAAACTGGATTCAATGAAAGAAAATGCCATTAACTCGCCGAAAATACGGTCAACGTGTTTTCCATTGCACATCCTTAAGTGCAGGGTCATTGCATTCTTCCTCCGATAAAAACATGTAGCTAATTGAATTAGAGCAACTCTTTTTTTTCCCCAACTAGGCCTCAATTAAACACATGAATATTTGTGGATGTTTTTGGAACTTTCAGGTGTGATATGTATTAATAAACTGTGAAGTGATCTCTGTATCTTCATCTGTAGTGAGTCTGTATCTGTGCATCTTGTAGTTTGTTAAAACATTCTTTTAACTTCTGTTTTGTTAGGGACCCAAAATGGTCATATAAATCACAAATCACATTAAGAAGAAAATATGAGTGAAAACAAAGTATAAACTTGGATCTGAGTCAGAGTAGAGACAGACATGAAGATGTATGCCTGACAAAATGTATGAAAGAATAAGGGATGTCAACCAAATAGTGGGAGATCTTTAGTTTACATGAAAAAATACAAACAAGCAAGGAAGTTTAATGTAATATTTTACTCCACCTCAGCCAATTGAGCTCCATTAAAATCAGCAAAAAAAACTATAAGTGATTATTATAACATTCTGAAGTCCACAGAGTTAAAAGCCAAACATCGTATTCTGTCTGTCTGTCTTCTGTGATGCCTGGCAAGTCCTGTAGCGCAGCTGAATGATATTTTTCAGGACTGCACTGACAGACCAGACATGTGTTCCTATCTCATGGCATTCAGCTCTCATAGAAAATGAGATACGCAACACCTAGGAATGAACAAAGAAACAATGTTTAATTAAGTTACATTAACAAATAAACACACAGAATGTATTCATATACTGCATCTGTGAATCTAAACTTACAAGAAGCCTTTCCCACAGCCCAGAGGTCCAAAGAACAGTTCTGTTGGGAGGCAAACCTTTCTACACACTCCACTTAGACTGGGGCAAGACCATGGAAAGGATGCAGCCTCATTCTCCACAACTGTAATCACAGATAGGAAACATTAACTATATTAAGGTCAAATCCCTTTGCTGAAAGATTAAAAAAAAAAAACTATAAATATATGCAGATATGAGCTGCAAAAACATGCAGAGAGATCATATAAAGACTTACCATTAAGCAGTAAAACAACGAAGAGGGCCAAAACGGCCACACGATAACAAGACATGCTTGCGTCTGAAATTGTTGCTCCAAAATGAGGATTGGGCTCAGGACTGTTTGTATTTTGGTCAGAGGGGAGGAGTGAAGATAATATGAAGCAGCATACTGGTCATTAGGTGTTTTATTATAGAATTTTAGACATACTTGAGAGAACATGCTTTTCTTAATCACATTTAAGAAATCAACATCACTGTGCTCAACTCGTGACAGAGTGCTGTCATGAGACAAGAAACACATTCCCAAGAAACTGCTCTTTTCAGCTGATTTAAAACACATGCACATCCTTAACACTCACTGCTTTCTGAGATTGAGGACCTGAGCACAGAGGCCAGCCTTTTCTGTTTGACATCATTTTCTCTAATGAATCATTGAAACAGTAATGGCTTACTCAATATTATAACACATTACTGCATCTTATGTAGTGTGGTTGATGATATTATATTTAGTGAATTCAGTTGCTGTTCCTCTTCTTCAGAAATTTCAGTTTAGATCTGGGCACCTGCACATACAGAAATTTAATATATGACGTATGTATGTCCCTATATCAAGAATGATATTGCCATAGATTTCACATCCTCTGGATATATGAAGGTATACATTTATAACATATGAAAACTCCATAGTAAAATGTGCGTATGTACATATATTAAAGATGTCTATATGATGAATTTTTATATTTAATTTTTATATTATATATCTTTATAAATGTTTTTCTCATCAATTTCTTATTAATTTTAAAAAAATTAATATATCTTTACATCCTGGGAAAGTGGTCTCAGACTATCAACATATATTGACAGGCTTTGGGATGGATATATACATAATATATATGTCTACAATATAAGCACACATACATAAACATACACATTTGTATGGGCCAGAAATATATGTCAATATATATAATGGTTCCAACTTTTAATTGATTTCATGTATAATTTTTACATATACAGTATGCTTTATTTTATATGTACATATATGTCATATATAGAAATTCAGTTTATGTACATATATTACATTTGCGTATCTGAGGCAAATTGTTGTCAGGTGACAGTCCTGACAAAGGAGGAGTGAAACCAACAGAGTTGCTGTGTGATGGGAGCATTCCTTCTTCAAAGAGAAATTGGTTTAATTCTCTACATAGATTTTATTTTCTACTTCTCTGGTTAGAGAGAGAAGTTTGTGACTGCAGCATTACCTTTGTTGATCCCTTCGACCAGTCTGAATAATCAGGGCAAATGCAGATGAAGAGAGTAAAAATAAAGATTATAAAGCTGTCAGAAAACTCCTTTTGTTGAACCTGTACTCAGATAGACTTTTGCTTCATTTCTATCTGTGTGTACATGTTGACCTAAATAAATAGAAACAAACACCATTGGTATCAGAGGACGTCCGGACCAGCTCCCACCACACAATTCAAGGGAAGCAACGCTACTGGAGAAAAGCCAAATTTAGTGGCGCTCAGGTAAGACACCTGTCCTTTCTTTGGTGACGGTAGCACATCCAGTATATACTATGTCCTGTAGTGATCAATATCCTTGCCTTGATTACCGCTTTATATGGATGGTTCAGGTAAGGGTTTGGACTACGTCATTCATAGGCTCCTTTCCAGCCACCATCGTCAGCACCTGGATGTTCATCCCTGGAAGGTCCCCAGTAACACAAAGGCAGACTCCTCCCTGGATTATTTGGCGTCTTGAGCCCACTAACTTGAGGACTGTGGCCTTTAGCCAGTGTGGTTAGAGGAGGCCATCCATGAGGGGCCTGCCAAACAGCCATCATAAAGGAATGTCAGGATAGCAACTTGCCACTGGGAAAAATGCTATAGTAGGATAAGATGTCACATATGGATGAGAAGATCAAGGATAACTACACCTGATCATCATTTGATCAATTGTTGTTAAGAATCACCAGTAAAGTGGCTGTGCTGCATCTGAGTTAGATAGATAGATAGATAGATAGATAGATAGATAGATAGATAGATAGATAGATAGATAGATAGATAGATAGATAGATAGATAGAATATAATAATAATGTTGTGTGGTATATGTAAAATACTACTTCTACTACTTACAATAAATGGTCCCAAGTGTGACTGTTTATCTTGTCAAGCTTCCCTGGCCCTTCCTGAGCACCCTTCATTTATCTGAACTTTGTCCTCTGCACCACCCGCCATCACCTCTGCTCTATTGTGTTCATGAAAGATTTGTTGCTATTCATAGAAAGTGAATAGAAACCAGTACATCTACCTTACTTTGGGTTTTTTTCCACCCCAAGGTATGATGTTAGAAATACAACTGGTGTTTAATGATGGAGAAAGTCGACATGTCATTTGTGAGTGATGGATCCACAGCTTGTCATAATATCAAGTTCAGTTGTACTAATATAAAAAGAGGGCCTCTGCTACATTGTATGTGAACTACAGAAACATTTAGCTAGACATGGCTAAACTACAAATGTTAATGAAATCCAACCAAAGTTCTGCTGTATGACTGGGTGGTGGGTATAAACCAGTTTGATGACTTACACATAAATAAACGCTTGAACAAATTATTGCCGTGAACTGCATCAGCTCAAAGGTCACAGCCCTTCAGATACAGTTTCATCAATGTTACATCAGTGTTCTCCAAAGGGAAGTCATTACTGTTTTGCTCTCTTCCTCTCTCTCTATTCTCCAGGTGCTGTCCAGAGAGGTCTCACCTGTGGCAAAACAGCAGTGTCTAATTGCTTTCTAGAGGAAACATGAAGTGGACTAATGACCTCTAATGAGTGTGTTTATCCATGATCACTGCTGAAAAAGTTTCAACACTTGATCAGTGGTGGTTCTTGCCAGTGACCCCGTACTGTTGACACACAAATACACTGTTGCTCATAAAGTTGGAATAAAATTTTTTTTTTTCCTTTTTCCATGAAACGATTGTGACATTGTGATTTATTTCATTTCACCTGGGTAATTGGGACACATAATGTAATCATTGCACTTGGTCAAAAGTGATTACTGATGCATTTAAATAGGAATAAACAGAGGATTGTGTCTGAAAACAAAATTATTCCAACTCAATGGGCGACAATGTATATTATATGATAATATATGTTACGCAGCACTTAAATTAGCAGTACATTAGTGACAGATAGAACAAATTAGATTAAAGCTTAACAAAATTTAAATTTTTGAACACTAGTCACTGATATTCAGGATTGTAAAGTGCTGGTCATCAGGTTTTTTCACCTCTAGAAATATCAGAAAATTGTTATAGGCCCCACGATATGCACACACGCGTACACAAACACAGGCTTGCTGTACTGTATACTGAACAATTTTCAGATGATACAAAACTTAGAATAGCTGCTTTCTTCAAACTGTTTAATTTAAATCCAGATTACAAAATATTTATGATGAATGTGTGAACAAGACAAGTAAAATCCACAGAGCTCAGAAAGGTTCAGAAAGCAACGTGATGTATTTAGGTATTTTTCAGAATTAACATGATATTTCAAAGGAAAACTTCAGTCTAATGTAAAGGTACTTCTGCAAGAAAAGTGAAATGTGAACTCTAGTTATTAAAAGTATATTCATATGTGCAATACATACCCTTTGCAAACCAGGTGTCTTGATAAATATCAGCCAATTGTTTTAGTTTTTTTTTAACCTTTTCCTCACCAAATACTCACATTTCTTAATGTGAGCGAGATCAGGGAAGGTTATATTGGTAACTGTGGTAACAAGCAACACATTGATGAAAAACACACATTAGCCAGTGACAACAGCACACCACGCGCCCACCTTGAGCAATGATAAAAGGCCACCAAAGCTCAAGCGGCACAGTGCACTGCATGGAGAGAAGGGGCGATTGCACAGGTAACTGTAGACTCAACAAGACTTCCTAAATGTGTGTTTCTGCTCCCTGAACCAGTAGTGTTGACAGATATGTCAGTAATTGCATTGGCCTATGGAGTAATCTTTACCTGCAACTTGGACTGAAATGCTTCATAAAAACATAAAGTTTGGTGTAAATTCTATGTGGTACCAACATTGTTTTTCCTGCACATATTACAAAATGTATGCCATATAATGTACTTATATTTTGGCAAGTAAAATTGTTTTAAAGCTCACGTTTTTCTTTTCAGAATTCGACTGACAGATGGACAACACGACAGCACTAACATTCACAATGACTGCATATGCTGTCATGGAAAACTACAAGCACTGGATGTTCACTGTATTCCTCCTGCTTTATCTCATTATCATTATTTTGAACATAGTGCTCATTACTGTCATACACCAAAACAAAGACTTGCATCAACCTATGAATGTGTTCTCATGTATGTTATCCATCAATGAAATATATGGCAGCACTGCATTGTTACCTTCAGTTATGGCTGTGCTCTTATCTGAGACATATGAAATCAGTGTGAAGTGGTGCATGGCTCAAGTCTATTTCCTACACACATATGCAAGTGCTGAGTTTTGCATTTTAGCTGTTATGGGATATGACAGATATGTTGCCATCTGTTACCCATTATATTACCACAGCATCATATCTAATTCAAAGGTAGTCAAGCTTGTTGCATTAGCAGGTGTATACCCCATAGTTGTGTTTGGGAGTTTTTACTCACTAACCATGCAGCTGGGCTTCTGTGGAAAAGTGATGCCAAAATTATACTGTGTGAACATGGAACTGGTCAAAAATTCATGTTCACCGGCATCATACATTAGTATTGTGGGACTTGTACTTGTTCTGTTTCTTGTTGTGCCTCAAGTACTGATGATTGTTTTTTCTTATGTACAAATTTCAAGAGTATGTATGAAATTGTCACGAGAATCTCAATACAATGCTCTTAAAACTTGTATCCCACATTTATTATCGTTGATAAACTACACAATCGGTTCCTTTTTTGAAATTATCCAAACTAGGTTTAACATGAGTCATGTAGCTGTTGAGGCACGGATCTTCCTGTCTTTATACTTTATTATCCTTCCACCAATTGCCAACCCAGTGCTGTATGGACTCGGTACTCAAATAGTTAGAGTTCACATTCTGAAACTGTTTATTAGATATAAGATCCTGCCAACACTGTTAGCAAAGGCAGTGACTGCAGCTTAGGTATTGAGTGTCTTATTATGCACTGCAGTGCACTTCTTTCTTTGATAATTTAGAATTGTATCTAAATTATATTAAACTGATATTTTTAATTAATGCTCATTAAGTCTTTATATTTAACAGTGCTGACAATAATAATAACTATAGATATTGTCATTAAAACCAATGATTCAAATTCAGAAGTGGAAAACAAAAATGTATATGTCACTTAAACACTTGAAAACAATATGCTATTGTTAATTTGATTATACTAATTGCTTTTGCATTAACTTAACTGCATTAACTACTTAGGTTCAAAAAATTAGTATGGAAGATATTCAATATATAAGTGTTTACTGTAGAGGATTGCATTTACTTTTTCACATTCATCAGTAAGGCAGGGTGACTGTACATCTTAGTCATCATCGACTGAATACTTATTTTGGTTTTAGGTCTCTGTGTTTGCACAGTAAAGACTGCTTGGCTTCAAATATCAGAAAGGATGCTTTGTTAAAAGTGTTTTCTGATATTGTAGTTGCGCTTAGCTGTGAGCACACGGTGGCAAAAAATGTTTTTAGGAGGATAATGATGTAACTGGTAAAAGGTTACAGTTACATACAGTGTCAGAAAGACCCTTGTGAGTTATTCTCCACCCTCTTTTAGTTACTTGTGTAACCTCCCTGCACTTTTCACTTATTCAGAATTTAATATTTTGATATCAAAAGGTTAAAAACTGATATAGACAGATGGTTAGAATCACCTATTCATCACGTCTTCCTTAATTTCATGAGTCATTACTCCAAACATTTGCACGTAATTTGTTACATTTGTGCATGGACTGTAATGACCCACTGTACCTGAAGTGGAGGAAAATATAAATGTTTTTTTGAGAGATGATCATAGATGTTTTGTGAGTTTGTTTAATTACCATTTAAGCTAACACATGAATATACTGTACGTGTTTCATGAGGAAATAAACTATCAAAATTATATTTTGTTTGTGTAGCCAGTTGTTCAGCAATCACATTTTATACATTTCTCACTTTTAAATGTTATCTGAGATCACCTGTAGCATCACCGTTGAATTAGATTTTGGTCAACCAAACAACTGTTAATCCTTTAAATCACTTTCATGAAGGTTAAGTGTCACTCTGGCTTCAAAGCTTCAATCCTGACACTGCCTGACAGTCACAGTGTGATAACAATATTTTCATTTTGCGAAGTACACAACTTCATCAGCACAAGGCATGTAGTTTATTCATGCTGTATTCATGCTGTAGTAGTATTGCAACTTTAGCAAATGGCCTGTCCTATAGTTGCACCATTCAGACTAATTTCCATTAGTCTATATGATGCAAGTTTCCAAAGTTGTTATCATAACATCTGCACTAACTTTTGCAGCTTTCTCAGGGGACATATCACACTATACTGAAGGGGACGGTCATGCACATTTCCTGACAAGTATCTAACATTATTCACATTATGAAATAATGAATGAAGCAACAATGAACTGTGCAAATCCCAAAAGTCATTCAGAGCCAACTGGAGTGGCCACTGAAATTCACCATTGGCTTTCTGTGGGGAATCAAAGAAAAACTGAATGGTTATTAAACATTGGCGACAGACGCAGATGCAATCTCTGTTATCTGTGATCAGGGCAGACCTCACTGCACTTCCTGATTTAAAATGGATGGGGTTGGTCAGAATGTCCTGTATAGCACAGGATCATGCCAGGACCCAAACTTGAAGAGACACAACTGGCTGGATGTGTGAGGTTAAAGCATTCACTGCAAGTCAATAAGACATCACTGAATCAATTTGTAAGTTAATATCTTATCTTAGTTTGTAGGGTGTGTACGTATATAGGCCTAAATATGTTTAACAAAGCTGACTTATTCACAGAGAAAACTTCCTTAAATGATAGCATCAAAACAGCAAATTACAGACAGTGATTTTATGGTTATCATAGAATAGGAGGAGGAAGGCATACAGTAATAACTGTTCCCAATGATAGAGACAAAGGCCCGAGTTCAGTTTGGTTTAGTTAAGTGTATGTCAGTAAATTCCATACATCAATTATGTTCAGTTTAAATAACCACATGGTTTTAAAGTTTGTCAATACTTTGTTTATAAATGTTGATATAAACTTTTTTCACTGTGTCTATCATTATTTGGAAATCTTTCCCACTCTGTGTTAATTGTTCCAGGGAAACCAGGAAGCAGCTAAACAAATAAATACACTCATTAGCAGTCAGTGTCTTACATCCCCCTGGAAGCAATTAGCAACTGCTTCATAATGAGAGTGAGACTACACATGACCTGTAGACAACACCAGGAGAATAAATGACCTTGGTGAAAATGTGATGTGTAAACACAATCATCAGTATTGTTGGCTAATAACACTGATTAAAAAAGGGATTCATTAAAAAGAAATAATTTTCATATGGTACATTCAGGGTAACAGATTTGTTAACAGTCCCAGCAGCATATCTCACACTTGTCAGCTCCTATGAACATTATGAATTTAATATTGATCTAACAAACAGCACCACAGCCAATGTATGGATCCAATATGGCGCAGATCAAGAATAAGAAACCACAGAGTGTTAAGTTGATGTACATAGATGTCTGTGTGAAACACCAATGATTGAGAATATTTAACATGCACTGTGAGGCCCTACTATCGTGAAATGTGGTGGCCATGATGTGGATGAGATGCAGCCTCTAAAACTTAGAGCACAAACTGATGCAAAGGTGAAAATAGACCATAGAGGTGAAATTATCATCTCTCATCCCATGCTGATGTCAGCTCTACTACTACTCTTTATAAAATATCATCAAACTTTACAACTGTTAAATAACAGTGTCAGTGTTTTAAGATATACATTTCTGGTAGTTGGTGGTGTTTATGTTAGTTCTATATGTAAATATTTCCATACACTATCAAATTCAACTGAACTGCAGTATACAATAACCATAACATCGCCAACAGCATTGAAAGTTATGCTTTTTAATTTTAAATCATTTGTAATTATTTGATATATAGATATAAAACAGATTCCTGTTCTAATACCATGTTCTAATTGACATATAAATCCAGTGAAATCATTGGCATGTAGGTAAGACCACATGACTCCATTTCACAGGAGAAAAAATGTAAAGTGTATAAAAGCTGCTTAGTGCAGTTACATGCAGGTGGGGGAGGGGGGGGCTGCACCCAAAAGTAAAACTTATTTCATCTCAGATTATTGAACAAAGTGCAGGTATATATGTGTCTCTGTGTCAGCATGAAAAATCTCTCTGAAGTGACATCTTTTCATCTGTCTGATTACTATGGCATGGAGGACATGAAGCCAGTGTACTTCTGCATGTTCCTGATTATATATCTAACTATTGTTGCTGAAAATGTTGCATTAATCGTGGTGGTCTATCGTGAAAAAACCCTGCATGAGCCAATGTATTTGTTGCTGTGTAACCTGGCTGTGAATGGTTTGTATGGAAGCACTGCCTTACTGCCAGCTGTCCTGAGCAAGCTGCTGTCACACTCATATGAAATATCTCTACCGCTTTGTCAGACACAGATCTATGCCATACACACATTTGCCATCACTGAATTCACAATTCTAGCAGCAATGAGTTATGACAGATATGTGGCCATTTGTTACCCGCTGCCATATCATGCAATCATGTCACAGAGGCTTGTTAAACTCATTGTTTTCACATGGCTTTACCCCATGCTGGCATTTTTAATTGTTTTCATTTTCACTCTTCAGCTGAGGTTTTGTGAGAGAACCATAGAAAAGGTGTACTGTTTGAATTACTTACTGGTGAAACTTGCTTGTACAGATACATCTATTATAAATGTAGTTGGCTTACTATCTGTAGTTCTATATACGATTCCACAGCTTATCATGATCTTTTATTCATATGCACATATCCTGAGGATATGTTTATTGTCATTCAGCAAATCCAGGCTCAAAGCCCTTCGGACTTGCACCCCCCACCTACTAGCCATAATTAACTACTCCATCGGGTGCTTTTTTGAAATAGCACAAAGTCGATTCAATGTTAGTCACCTGCCATATGAAACCAAGTTGTTTTTATCTCTCTACTTTTTGATATTCCCATCCATCCTTAATCCAGCAATCTATGGTTTGAGCATCCAAGTGATAAGAGTTCGACTGTTTAGGCTTTTCAGCAGAAAAAGTAGGCAAGTAGAAATGATGTAGCCCAGAGGGCTGTTGTTATTTATTGTGCACTAGTGAAGTGTCGTGAAGACTGATGCCTGTGGAACAAATGGCATTACTTCTCTCCCTGTTGTTTAATCATATTTGCTGTCCCATTACTAAAACAAGAACAACAACCAGCCAGTGCACAGAAAAACATGTGGAGTGTTGAATTCGTGTAATGCCATGTGCAACTCCTAGAGCATTAACAGGCTGAAGCTCAGGCTTTATGCAGGCATATACAGTAATGTACTGAGTTTCAGTTAGTTTGTCTGTTCCACTGTGGATCCTGGATTATAATGAAGAATGCTGTAAAGCCATATTTTCAGCGTTGTCTTCATTTCATTTGTTGTGCTGGAGTACACATACCACTGGAATTTTAAAACACACCTTTCATACTTTGTCCTGCCTGCACTGCAAATTCTAAAATCACCACTGTTTATTTCATTATCCTGGTTGGTCCAGTGTTTTCAATTGCAGATAAATGCAAAAATTAATGGTAATGGACATTTTATGATTTTTTTGTGTTTAGATCATAAACAATACATTTGCAGTGCAGTGTTTTGGTTAACTGTATGTTATCCTCCTTGAGTTTGAACAGGATTTAATCATTTTTCCCCTCCTGACTTCAAGTGCCAGAGTCAATTGAGGATACAAATTAACTTTCACTGAAAGGAGTCTTGTTTTTAACTGAAAGCTTCTATATATAATTAAATAGAGTGTGCAAATCATGATGTGCTCCTTTTTGTATAATTTGCTACAATTAATAAAGCACAGATATTCTGTCACTAGGTCAATGCTTGAGGTTTTTAGTATCGGCTTTCCATTCTTTGGTTTTGCTTCTTGTTGAAAAAACATTTGAATGAAAATTTTGACAAGCACAATTAAAACATTCGATGAGGGTTTTAACATGTTCCAAACCATTTGTGCATCTTGTATGTGAAATCACAAAAAAGTACTTCATGGGGAAACAGATAAATTAACCATGTCAATGACAGATTGCATGACTGATGTAGTTGGCTGTTTTGTGTTGAAATGATTTATTTGATGTAAAAGTATTTATCTGATTCTTTATTTGTGCCTAACCATGTGTGTTCATAAATACAAAAATAATAATATCACTATCATTTGTGGGTTTTATTTGTGGTACAGCTACCTCTGTATTTCCAAATCTTGTGGCTTTTAATTATTCTCAAAACCCGTTTATATTATTAGGTCTTACAGTATTATTTATGGAGACCCAACATTCCCCCATGAGCAAGCACTTGGTAACAGTGGCAAGGATCAACTGCCTTTAACAGGTCCAAACCTCGAGCAGAACCGGGCTCTCTCTCATTTCAGCACATAATTTAAGGCTCGCTAACATGCACTGGTGCCACTCATCCCGCAAAGAGTTTAAAGACAAAGCACAGAGATTTGTTCTTTATTCTGAATTACCAGCCAGCTGTAAACTACAACTCCCATTCTACAGCAGGACATCTCCCATTAACCTTCGCACAGCGACAACTAGACATGTGCGATCAGTGGTCACCAGGAGGCTCATTTGGGTGAGACCCCCTCGGACACATGTCATAAACTCATTGTTTTGCCATTAAAAATTGGGTCCTAATCACCTCTGCACCAGATGGAGGCCCAGCAGGAAGACAGGGGGCCATGCCCTGAGTCTCTGCCCCACACAGAGTGGGAGAAAGATGGGCCAGAAGGGGAGCCCCATACTCTAGACTGGACCTCCTGTGGATACACCTCTGGATGAATTCCTAATGTTGTCCATGATTAATTAGAGACACATGTAATTACACCATTAACAGGCTTTTGATTTGGACATTTATCACATTAGATGAATATTTAAAAGTCTCCTATACAGCCTATTTCAGCCTCTCCTCTACATCAGCAATTACCTTTGCATTGCATTTGCATCTCACAGTAAATATACAGCATAAAGGTCTAAACAGTCAGCCTAAACATCCCTCCCAAATCTAGGAGTGAAAATAGTGATAAATATGGTCTGCAAGGGATGAAGATGTCTTGCCACCCCTGAATATGTAATGATATTCATAAAGAGACCAGTTACTGGGGACACAGGAAAAACTGTTTCTTAGCAACAACACACAGAGCCTTACAAGCAACATCTTTAGAAATTCTGACCAGATTGGCCTTGTTATGAGTCTGCTTCCCACGGCTGAGTATCTGGGTGTCTCGTCTTGCACAAATCCCTCCCTTCAACTAACGATACATACTGCATATCAAAAAAAATAAAAAATAAAAAATAAAGAGAATAGAACAAGTTTATAGTTTGTTGCTAAGCCAAATCTCGACCCTTTTGTTCAGTTCAAAATGTTGTCATGTAATTAATGTCTGAAAATCCATCAAGGTTATAGGTCAAGTCTTATTTTTCACACAAAAGTGCCTTTTAGGCTTTTTTTTATTTATTTATGTGACAGTTGTCCAAGTTACTGTGCAGTGGACTCTGTATACTTCAAAGGTCATAATTCTCATTTTCCAGCCAGCACTCAGAAACCATTTCACAGTTGATGAGAAAACACTGATAGCTCAGGAGCATTAAACAAATCTTATGTCCATTTCATGAAACTAACTGGGGAGTCCTGTTCATGACTCTGTATCCTGGGATTACTGAATATCATAAATGTTACATTTAGTGAAGAAAAAAAAATCACAAAGCCAACAATGAAGTGGAAATCAATTCAAAATGAAACTACCTTATAAATAATGTAGCATTCTGCTATACTTTCCTCTGAGGCTATTATCCACATCTGTTCTGGTGCAAAAAAATACTATAGACACTTATAATGCATGAGGTCCATTTTGCCATATATGAGTGTAGTTACTGGTGTTAGACTGAGTGTGATTTTTGTAGTAAAATCTTAAGCAACTATCCTCTTCATCCAAAAAGGCCTAAAAACAATTACCATTCACTAATAAGTGATGTTTGTTTCTCCCTCTCATTAATTACAGTTGATCAAACACAGCAGATGACTTAAAAGCATCACTCAGTAAAGAGCTTGTAGGGGCAAAACATTATCTTCTGGGTACAGCACTTTCGGGAATATTATCAACAACAAAATAAAAAAAATTAAATAAACATTTTAAGCGTAACATGAACATTGTGATTAAAAAATTATTCATCAGAATCTCACTATTGTTTTCTGGTCTCCAACTCACCCCATTAAGGTGAAAAATACAAGTATTTAAACTCTTGAAGACCGAGACATTTGTACAGATTACTGATGGTAAAGATAATGCAGCACAGTTTGCTGTCACCAACTGATTGGTCCTCGAGGAGTGTGCCTGTGAACCCACGGCTTTGCTGCAGTGGGGGAAGAGGCCAGATGAAAGGCTTTGCTGCCCTCTTGTGGTGATAAGACGAGCCATTTATCCAGCTATATCAGTGTACCTTGCAACAGACTTTCCATGGATCTCAACATGTTTGCTATGTATGCCCTATGTGTCATGGAGGGCATGACAAGCCGGGAAGTATGTACAAACAAAGGGAACTAAGGAGATGTTTCTATTCATAATTCTGTGCTGTACCTGATGAGTTGTTTTTCACAAAAGTCACTGCAGGCTTGGTGGGGCCGGGAAGCAGGTCAAAGAGCTAAACAGTGGGCAGGGAGAAGGAACAGACAGTGGGTAAGTCACAACATATGACTATCTTTACTACTGCTAAGTCTCTTAGAAAGACTGTTTATCTAACTGCAAGATGAGAAGTTTAATTATCTGTTAACAGGACACCTTCAAAGACTGTGTAGCATAACAGGTCATATTTGAATTTCTTGGTTAGCGTCTCCAACTCAGGAATGCCAGGTCTCTTGTTGCTTGGCGGGCTTACAACAGGAGACAGTCTCTCATTGAGTGGGACACCTGTAGGGGTTTCTTCAGGACAGGTGCGTTTTGTGTCTTGAGGTCTCTTTGAGGCCTGTTGAATCACGGAGGGTGATGTGGGTTTGCTGGATCTGGATGCTTGAACAGAGGAGGTTTTGTCACCGACACTCCTTCCTAAATGTGAAGCTATGGTAATCTTAGTTTAACATCAAGACTGAACACAGGGGGAAACAGATAGTCTGGCTCTGTCCAAAGGTTATCTGTGCAAAAATACTTTAATATGCAAACGTTATAAATAAATAATGAGTGACAGTATAAATGCTACATTAGGGTTTTATAGGAGTTCACAGCTTTTTATTGGCTGGGCACAGTAACGTCCTGGAGTCTTGCTACTGTGTGGTTGCCAGGTATCTACTGGAGAATCCTGGCCAAGAAATAATCCAATGCATAACCCACTGTAAAACCACAACTTGTCATTTTTCAATTTGGTTTTTGTACAAATTAAACAAATAAGATATAATTAAAAGAAAAAAAAAGGAAAAGTCAACCAGCTCCTGGCTGTGGCTTCTGATTTAACAGGCATCTTCCCATCTAATGCTCAGCAAGAAAGCAAATCATTTGCATATTTTACATAATGGTGACCGATTCCTTCAAAATCTCTAAGAGCTAAATGCAGGCAACTGGACTTTGTCCAGGTTCTCGAAGATATTTCACCTCTCATTCGAAAGATTTCTTAAGTTAACTTTTTATTTGAGGAACCCTTTATATATCTGTCATCAAATCTTCCACTGTGTCGGTGGGAGTGCTCTCTGTGTTCTCTGACAACTTGTCCCCAGCCTCTTTAAGTTTAGCATTCAGTCAGGTCCTCTGTTTGCACTCGGCTGAAACAGACATTACAAAGGTTAAGTGGACAAATGCACAGAGATGTTATAGGTGTTATATGTGTTTATATGTGTATAAGGATATAATACAGTTTGCATGAACTAAACTAGAATAGACCAATAATAGACTGCTATGCAACTTTTAGGGAGGAATCAAGCACAACATGAACACAGTAACGTATTCTTCACTTAAACAATCCTGGCAAAGCTGATAAGAAAAGTATTAAAAATTAAAAAAAAATTAAAACATAGGCATGGCCTGCACCTGAATGTTACCTTCCACTTACTTGTTGTAAAGCATAGTGTGATCTGCATGTCTTCATGGCTGGACTCCTGCCGCTCTCAACGGCTTCTATGTTTATTCTATGTTAAAAATATGAGATTCCCCTTTGTTGTGCATACTTACACTGCAGATAGGGCACCAGCCTCCTGTGTTGATCCCCCTCTGTGTAATTCTGTTAATTATAACTTACCATATCCTGTAAGAAGGCCTTAGGCTTTTTATATACCAAGTTTCTGTGTTTTATGTTGTGTATGTGCATATTATTATCATCCTCTGAGTAAACCTTGTTGGGCTGCCTGGAGTTATGTCTAAAAATAGTCATTTAAATGTGATTATGAGAAAAAAAACATTTAACAATGGGTCTAATGTGTGCCCATGCCATACTTTATTTAATAAAAAAGTAATGTAGCTACAATATGGCACACCTCAGGAATGTCAGTCAATTTCAAATGGCATGGTAATAATGTGTTTTAGTTATACAAAGCATGCTTGTACATTAAACACTTAATAAATACAATTTTTCTTCTTTTTGTTGTGAACACTTAAAAAAATCAACTTTTCTGTGGTAAATTGTAAAATAAGTCTTAAAAAGACAATGTGGTAGAGGGGTGGACACCAGGATTCTCTGGACCAAACACACTTAGAAATACAAAACTGTTTTACAAACAATCAGGTAGACAGCATGCATACAAAAATAGACAACTATTCTGATCATTCCTTAAGTAATTTACAATACTAGTTCATTATTGCCAAGCATTATATTTTTGTGCTCCTGTTTTGAGGAATAGCTTGCTTTCTATATCTTCCCTTGTCTCTCTCTGAAAAGTACAATGTACATTCACAATCACTGAGGCACAGCACTTGATTTACAATTTTATACTGTAAGTACCCCAAAACGTTGTTGTTGTAGTAATGTAATGTTCAATATGTATATATATGTTTAACACCCTGTACACTCAGAACATACTCATTAATCATACACACATGCATAACAAAATTTTGTGTACATCCAAAATAGCTTTGCTTTTAATTCCCCCATCAAACCTTACTGGGCAGCTGTACACAACTCCAGCATGATGTTGAAAACGATTCACCAGAAGCGAAGGGGGGCGGCCATGCATGTGAGCGATGAATTACAAAGCTTTCCATCAAGTCCTCGATGCAGACACAAAGTGCTTATTTGCTGTTCAGAAACCCTGTGACTCTACAAGTTACTTTATCGAGCCAGACATCTTTTTTGCCTTTTTTGAGAGCCGTCATCTTTAAGAGAGTGAGATCGGGCGAAGAGGGACACCATGTCTTTGTGCTCCCACACAGCAAGTGAGGTTGAACGAGCAGTAGAAGGAGAGGAGATGGAGAGCCGAGCAGGGAAATTATGGTTTTTGGTGCCTTTTATCTCCAGCAAGGGGATGCCAGCTGTGTGAGGCACAGGCAGAGGCAATACGGTCAAGGTTTTATCAACACACTGATTCTCTCAGGCTACCCTAAAAAACCCAACGACCGGTTTGTGTCTTGAAGAGGGACATTCTGCAAAGAAATGAAAGTACTAATTAGTTAACTAATTGGCAAATACAATACATATGGAAAAATATAAATGCTCAAAACACATTGTTATACCTTCAATGAGCTATGGAGGATCCGGAGGCGATGAAGTTTGTCATTTAGCAGGGGGTCATTAACTCGGCGGACAAATGAGCGCTTATACTCCAGGCGGCTGGCTGATCTGTGGTCAGCCGAGGAGGACAGACTTGTCTGCTCCAGAGCCCGGTACAAATCCCCAAGAGAGTCTGCCTGCATCCTGCAGTCTCGTCCATGGCCTGACAAGAAGGACAAGCAATAATTGACAAGATTTTACAGTAAACTAAACTCAAGGATGAGGATTACTTTTTTACAGCAGAATACAAGTAAACACCAGGGAGAAGAGGTGACCAAGAATCTGATGGTCAGTCTGGCTGAGCTCCAGAGATCCTGCATGAAGCTGGAGAAACTTCCAGAGGGATAACCATCACTGCAGCACTCCATAAATCTGGGCTTTATGGCAGTGTGGCCAGACAGAAGTCCCTCCTCAGTAAAAGTTTGCAATAAAGCTCCTAAAGGTCTCTGACTGCGAGGAACAAGAGTCTCTGGTTTGATACAACCATTCATTCAATTTCAATCATTAGTGGGTATTGATGAGGAAAAAAACATTTTTGGATTTTAGCATAAGGCTGCAGAATTGAAGGGGGTCACTTTCCAAATGCACTGTACATTTGCTATTTTTTTTAAACTGAATAAACACACTTCAAATACTTTAGTGATGAATCTGTCACCGAAGCTAATAAATAATAATAATAAAAAGCTAGTATATGGGCTGAAATATGTGTCACTAAAAACACTAGATTTTTTTATTCAGATTCAGTTTTTCAATGCAGTTAATCAAGTTAAACTATACAACTTCAAATTATGTGCTTTAAATTCGTTCATTTTTTTAATGCAATTTTTCAAATATAAAGGATTCAAATAAAGTTTCTAGTGACACATATTTCTTCCCATAGTCAGTGGCTGGTGAAGGGACTCAAAAGTACAGCAAAGTCACTGGATTAACACTAGAGTAACAAGAACATTTTTTCTGGAAAAACATGTTGCTGCTGAGTTTTTCATGCCAGGAGCACCACAAAAATAACAAAAAAACTTTTTCAACCCTGGGGCAGTTTTATTGATTTGAAGGCCAGAGGCAAAGGTTGAGATGAAGATCTGTCTGTATGTTGCATACAGTAGTTGGAGGAAGTATCCAGATCATTTACTTAAGTAAAAACACTAATACCATGCTGTATAAATACACCTTTACAGCGTGCAGCTAATTTTTAACAATTTTATACAAGACTGCAATTATTGATTATTTTTATTATAGATTAATCTTCTGATTATTTTCTCAAATTTTTGATTTACTGTTTGGTTTGTGAAAATACTCATCATAGTTACCAAGAACCAAAGTGACACCTTCACATAACATGTTTTATCATGTTTTAACATGTTTATGATTTATTATGTTTTGCTTAATAGTTCATTTTCTGTTGATCAGCTAATCGATGAATCGACTGTTTTTTTCAGTGTTCATTTTATATAGTATACTGTTTAATCTATAAAAATGAAATTTCAACAATTTTATAAGTTCTTCATATGTAAAGAAACTAGTAACTACAGTTGTCAAATAACTGTAATGGAATAAAAAGTACTTGAACCTTTGGTTTACCTCTAGTGTAAAATCTCAACATACTGTAATATAAAAGTTCTTAAAACAAATTAAACTGTAATTGTAATAAATAACTATTTTAAACATTAAATTTAAAGGATTTTAGAAATGAAATTTTTTTGTGTTTTAGTTATGGAAACCATCCATTGTTCCTCCTGTTGTTCGTGTTCCATGTCACACTGTTATATATCAAAGTAATGTGAATCTTCTCTTGTTTACTCAGATAATATAGATATTTATATAGATATTAGATAGATATAATCTTCTTCGCAGACTCCAATGGTACACATTTGTGTTCTTTTTATATCATTCTGTGTTATGTTTTCTTTATGGTATTTTCTTCAGGATGAGCAATAAGGGAAAAACACAGCTCATATATCATTCTAATAAACTACCAGGACCCCTCTTCTCTCCTGTTTACATACACTGCCCCCTGTTGGCATGATACTAACATTACACTTGAGTGCTGAATCTGTTAGTCGTCACACTATTTTGTGTTTTAGAAGCAGGGTGGCACGTTCTGAAGCTTTGGGGCTGTGCTTTGAAATGTATCATGCTTTATTTGCCGCCTGTTTTGTGTTTGTGTCTCATCTTTACAGGCAGTGGTGGAGAGAGTGAACGGTAGAGCAATGGATAAATGAGGACAAGGAGAGAGGACCCTTGGGCGTGTTACTTTATTCTGTTCAGAATTCAACATTAACACGGGCTGAAAGGATTGCTCCTCGCTTCACCATCCAAACCGTGCCAAGAGGCACAATAACATCTCGATCGGGCAAGAGAGAGAGAGAAAGAGAAAGAGTGAGCCTGAGTGTATGAGTGAGAGAGAGAGTGGACTGCCAAGATACATCAGAATCAAATAAGACACAAAATTTCCTCTCACTTAGTCAAGTGCCCTGGAGGTCTTTGAGGGGCAGCAAATGGGCTGGCTTCAAATCCAATCCAATAAAGCAATAATAGCCAGTATTCAACCTCTGACATTTGCTGGCTCTGGCTGTCTGTTAGCAGCTTTAATAAAATAACTGACGACAAATAAGTGCACTTGCTCAGCACTATGCAGATGAAAAGCCTGACCTACAAATAACAGTTAGCAGAAAAGGTCCTTACATCAAGACAAGTCAGGATGAGCTCAGAGATATTTTTCAGTGTGATACCTTGATCTTCTCTAATGGTTTACTCAGTACTTCCCAGCCCTGCTAAAGTTTCCATTCATCAACATTTCCTGCCATGTTTCAGATGTTCCTCATTTGAACTGATTTTAAACTGGACGTCATTTAACACTAATGATAAAATACTTTTTCATACAAGACCTAATGATCCTGGAAAAGCAGTACAGTACTTTGAGCAATCTATTTTGACTTCTTGCTAATTAATTTTCACACAGTCTCAATGGCAGCACCTGCTGTTAAGGTGCTATATGTAACACAGGTTGCTGCGAAGCATGTCTTGTGCATGCAGTTTATATTAAATATCAGTTCATTTGTAAATGTGAATGGTTGCAACCAATAATTATTTTTTTATCATTTTTCTGTTGGTCATTTTTTTGCAATTAATGGACGTGTCCTGTAGTTAAAAAGTGGTGAAAAATGTCCATTATATTTTCCTAAGGTGACCACATTGATGGATGACTGAAATGTATAATTGACAATCAAAATTGTTGTGAATTAATTTTCTGTTGATCAGCTAATTGATCAGTTGGCTGATTGTTTTAGCTCTAACATAATGCAATATATTCTCAAACTTACAATTTAAAATGTAGTGTATGTAAGTCTGACCTGTGTCTCTGGCCCGGTCCAGATGGTAGTGCTGGGTCTCTCTTGGATCCGATACAGCGGCGGTGGCGGCAAGGATAGCGTGGAGCCCACTGTCCCTGGGTAGCGTGAAACTGCGGGGTTTTCCTCCTGCCTCTGAATCGATACTGGCTCTGAGGGGCAGAGGCAGGGCTCTGTATTGTTCTTGCAGCAGGCTGCGTGGTGCAGGCAGGGTGGACTGCCTGCGGTACTCCATTGCCAGTTGGTCTCTGTCCTCAGGTAGCAGGGATTCCTCCACAGGAAATGTCTGGAGGTAATGCATCCTGGTGCTGCTCTCCATCTGCTCCTGCCAAGAGTTTCGATGGCTGCTCGTCTTCTGCCCAGGGGAGATGCTGTGGTTGCTTCCCTCCTGAGGCTCAGAGTGGAACTCTTCATGAGAAGAACGGGACTGGAATGTGTCAGAGGAGGAGAGATGGCCACGTTTTGGTTCCAAGTATGGACTCACCTACATACAAATAGACAGTTAGAAAGTAACATAGGATGATATCTACTAGATCTATTCATCTAGGGCTGGCAGACTTACTGAGGATGCTCTGGGATAGGTGTCATAAGGTGGTGGCGGACTGTCCTGTTTTGGCATCGAGGGCATCTCCATGTCCTCGTGATCACTCTCACTCCAGTAATCTGTCAACAACAGATTGTGTCACATTTTATTTCTATAAGCAGAGCAAAATCAAATGCAGTAGAAAGGACTACGAGAGTATAGTTCAGATGTTTATAGCTGGTACAAATCATAAACACATCAAATTAATGATTGAAATTGATGTTGAATTGCTGTGTCAAGGCAGAATGATCAACCCCGCCCGTGGATGAATGTCCTGAAAGGTTCAGCTGCAGTGTCGGTGTAATGTAGGTGTGACGCAGATAAGTCCAGGTCTGAGTACTGTTGAGGGTGAGGATGAATCTAAGATGCAAGAACTTCCTATTAAGTCTCCTGGAGGTGTTAAGGGTCTAATTTAGCAACTTGTGTGTGAAGGTAGAAGCCCCCTCTACATAAAACCAGTGACAAACCTGCTCTCACCCGCCCACCTTTGCTAGGTTTCTACATAGGCTCCTCTGAATAGCTCAGGGGTATGGGGGGGGGGGGTCTATTTCCTGTCCATATGTAAGAAGCCAAAGACCACCAGTATATGAAAATAAAAAGTATGCCTTCTGCCCCTAAAATAAGCATTTCTATACAGCACAAAACAGAGAAGCTTGAATAAGAGGGGAAACTGCAGAGAGGTGTTAAAGCCTCTGCTGCTGATCTAGAAATAAGATCTGTATATTGAGTTCTCTACATGAGGTTTCACCAGGTTATTGTGTCAAATCACACAATACAATCCAAGGTTATAATTTAAGCAGTTAAATTCCATATTTATTTCCTTATAACCCCTTCCAACTTTGACAGTCAACTACCAGCAAACTAGAAGTCCAAAAAAGAGTAAGATCTTATCTATAAATGGAGGTTCAAGACAAAAAGTAGCTTGCCAACTCTTCACTTTAAAGCAAGTCTGCAAAACTAAAGCTGAAACATGCGCACACTTAATATGCTAACCAGCTACAGACATGATATTAAATATCCACAGCAATTTGGTCCTATACCAGATTTATTATTCATGTGTCAATCATTATTTAAACAGCAGTGCTTTCTAGAGACATATTAAGCGGTAAAGTGTAATTGGCAGATTTATTTTGTTGGTTGGGTGTTAAAATGAAGCCTGTAGCTCTGAGCTGCCAGTTTGGAGGTATCAGATGGAGCTGAAGGTGCACATACAATGTAATGGAAAATCACTTCTGTGAACCTGTGAGAGTAAATTAAAACCTCACCAAATGGAGACAAGGTAAAATAATTATCCATGCATTAGTCATTACCTATTTATATGTGATTCCTCCATCTAAAAGTAACAGCGTGATGTCTCACTGCTTAATCTCAACATTTTTATATAACTGTTGACCAGCAGCCTGTAACAGAATCTTTTGCAGCACCGTGAACAGAGTCTGTGACTAATCTCACCTTGTTCCTGCCGAATTTTCTCCTGCTCGGAGTAGCCAGCCACTGCCATACTGAGACGACTCAGCCACCTGTGTGGGAGAATAACAGCCATGACATGACGCAAAGCAGTCTCACATCTAATAAAACATCCTGTGCTTGTGTGTGTGTGTGTGTGTGTGTGTGTATGTGTGTGTGTGTACAAAACTGCTAAGTTTCAAGGTGGACTTTCCCACAGGGGGTTTAAATGTAGCTGCAGATGTGAGAGCGTTTACAGCATGACTATCACAACCTCATTAACTTACCGGGACATGTCGTCTACGTTTTCCGCTGCAAAGTAGAAGGTCTTTATCTTCGGATGGCAAGCCTTGAAAGCACTGAAAGGGAACCAAGGGTATATTTAATGAAATGCAAACCGAGCGCAGGGACATATAGCGCACGTTAACATATGAATGCAGACGACTGCCAAGATTAACTGGCACATGATTACACATACTCTAATCCAGACTGACACAAAACAGCAAGACTTTGCATCATAAGATAAATGCCTCTGTTTATTTTTGGCAAGTTTAAGACAAGTATACACAATAAAATAACATAATGTCCTCATGATCAAAAACCCTGAATTCACTGGCATTTAACCCAATAGTGAATAATAAACCCATCAATAAATAGGTTATAACAGCTATATGCCACCAAGTATATACAGTATACTGTATACAGTAGCACATGATTAATATTTGAACCTTACTGAACTGTCTATTTGGGATTTACAAGCACTTCCTTTGGTTACTTTTTACTATCTTACTTACCTCTTCCTTACGTTTTACTTGAAGCTTTAAAAGCATAATGATTACGCTCACGTTTTTATCTTATGGTAATTTATTGAAAGATCTTTATCTTTTGTTTTTTCCTTAAAAACTCACATCTGCTCACTTTAACTCAACCTTGAGGCTGCTACAGTGCAGCCAGGGAAGGTAGTTGTGCACCATTTTTCCCATGTGGTCTGAGTCGTCTGTCTCTTTCTTAAGTGGCAAAGGGATTTGTGCCAAATTGTGATTCTTTCAACATAAAAAACTCAGCTGTGCAAGTAAACTGCTTTCACAAGTTAAATGCCTCACTCTTTGATTCACCTCTCCATCTTTCTAAACTCTCTCCATCACTAAAGGCATCAGCACACATTCTGGCGCTGCAGGATCCAACACTCATTATTACTATCATTATCATAATTATTGTTATTATTATTATTGTTGATGATAATGGCATGACCTAGGGGCATTACTATTATTATTTTCATTATAACAATCAACAATCAACAGTATAAACAGCTGTTTCTGGTCTCTCTCTCTTCTTTCTCTCCCTTTAGCCCTATGCAAATAAAATTGGAATTGAATTGAATTCACAGCTGCTTCTTATTCTTCAACTCAGATTTAAATTTATATAAAATTCTATACATAAAGCCATTAATAAATGCATCTGCTGTCCTCCTGTCTGCTTACTTAAATGTTTTTGTTTGTGAGTCAGGCATCCTCCTCTGTAAATTGTCTGTTTTGCATAATCAGTCGCCTAAGATATTAAATATATCTGCCAAGAACCAATTTACACAAGTTTATCTCAGCTCCGACAATACACTCGCAGGATTTTATCTTCATAGGTATCATGAAGTCTATGCTGTTAGCTCTGTGAATTTTATTGTATGTAAGATTTTTGTGTCTAGTTTTGTCTAATTTTGAGGCTAAATAGAAAAGCAATGCAAATCTATGAAATTTGATGTTTGGTGTCCAGATGAAAAATTGTTACTCACAACTTCCTTCTGCACTCAGTGGCACGATCAATCTTGAACTCTGGGAGACTGACAAAGCCCTCTGCCTTCTCATCCTGTGACAAGCCAAAGGAGAGTGAAAATCAAAGCACCACATGATGAATAAAATCAAAAATAAAGTCAAAATGATCTTAATCACCTCCTCATTCATGTACCAGTACAGGCACGTGTCTTTCAGGATGAACCAGTACTTCTTCCACTTCTGCGAAAAATATGTTTTAGCGTCCTTTTTTTTCCACAGCCAGCCCTCGCAGTCCCCCTGACCCAAGTCCCTGCAGGAAATCCGTCGCTTACTGATTGAAGACATGGGGCTTTCAGCTGCAGTCGCCAGCAGGGGAACAAAACAGACAAGGGGGTCTTCGTGAAAAACCTGCTCATCTTTGAGTCTGAGTACAAATGAGTGCTCAAGTACAAACTCCTTAAACCACTGCTCCTACCTTTACTCTTCTTCTTTGATCTTGACAGCAGTGAGGATCGCTCAAACACCTGTGATGGAAACAAACAAAACAGAGTGATGACATGCCAGTGCTGGTACAGGCTCCTACTTCTAAAAAACAAATTCACAGACACAAGGGACTGACATGGTAGAGGGACGCAGAGTCAGAGCTGGATGTGGACAGGGAGACTTCCATCTGGAGGGCAGGGACCAGCGTGTAATGGGTGGGGCTCCCTCCTCGCTCAGTCTTCCTCCTGTTCTGACTCAGGCTGCGTCCCAGCAGGAAGTCCTCTCCTGGAGTTTTATCCTCACTTGCAAAACGCAGTAAGGAATTCTCTGCAAAGACACAACAGAGGCAAACTCATTAAGTGCAGCACAGACTTTATGAAATGAATTTATACTTTTATATATAATTTTAAAACGAAATGCTCTGATCTGCATCATAAGATGCGACGCCATTTAAGTAACCTAAAGACGTAGCTGAATTTTCTATCTTTTACCACATATTAGTTGCTAGAATAGTTTATGTCACAAAACGGACAACACTTTGTCTGTGTAATCTACCGTAAAATCAATGAGCTGCCTGTGATCAGTGGATGCTGACATTTCAAAAGACTTCAACTACAGTATTTGAAAGGCATTAAAAAAATCTACAGAGGAAGGCTGTTGTCAGGCAGGAAGGCCGCAAAATTTCCAAACACTGTCTCTTGTAGATAAATATAGCAGCATCACTTTTTTTGAAAAGCCCAGAGGAGCAACGTATCAGCACCATCCCCTGAGGAAACAAACACATCACTCAAGCTTGTCTTTGAGACTGAAATAAAGCAATGCAGTCTCCTCCCACTCCATTTACCACCTAGCTCAACATTCACTGACAACATGTGAAAATCTCAGGAAAATGTATTTCTACCGTTGCCAAAGCAACAGTGTACTTTTTATATCCAAACACGGGGAAATGGCAAAACTGAGAACAAGAAAGAGAGAAACAGGGAAAGAGGGATGAAGGGAAAAGTGATAGATTATGAACATAAGGAGGAGAGAGAGGCAGGACCTGATATCCAGCATGTTATGAGTTTTGACAGGCCAGCTCATCCTTCTACTTTTTGGCTCAGAGATCTGAGAGGGTGAGGATATAATGAGATATCCACCCACTCACCTCGGCTCCCTCTGTCCCTCTCTGTCCTCCTTCTTTCTGTGCCTCCCTTTCTTTCTCTCCCTCTCCCACTGCCTCCCACTCACCTCTCCGGCTCTCTCTCTTCAACTTGGCCAGGTCTTCGTTGTCTCCCACCCAGTTGTATTCCACTGGCATTGAGATGGGCCTGAGCCTGCCTGGAGCACAGGGAACGTCAATATTACACAGCTGCCCACACACACACACACACACACACACACATATCAAACAGCCGCAGACATCTCAGAAATGTACAGACGTCACATTCACAGGGCATTGAGCTATTGGCTCTCACAATTACAGCAGTGAGTCCTCAGAGGGGGAGGGGGGCTGAGGTCTTACCATAGGTGGGAGTGCTCCCCCTGCGCACTGATGACACCTCTTGGTTCTGGTCATACTCGTAACAGTACAGTATGGCATCCTCCTCCACCAGAGGAAATCGCCGCCGACACTCCTGGTCTAGGTAGGAGTTTGGTGATTCAGATCCCTCTGCGACATGGATGTCCGATTGCAGATCGTCACCTGGCAGATTTCCCTTGTCATCTCTGCCGTAATGGAAAGTAGGAATTAATTTTAAAATCACTTATGATCCGGACTATCATAATAGAGCAAACAAAGCAATGGCACTATCATAATGTACCGCAGGGTGAAAACTTAACATCTTTATCACGTAAGCTGTAAAAATAGAATTAAAAAAAGTTTTTAGTTGAAAGGGTAAGACTAGCGCTGTTCTATATATTTGTTCTTGTCAACAAATCCTGTGAAAAGACCAAAACCAACAATGTGTTAGTCCATATATCAATACTTTCTCATTTCTCAAGCCTCTCTGCAGCTCTCAGCCCCAAGCTAATTCGTTCCTACTTAAGATTTTTTTTTAATATATATATATATATATATAAATTATCTCCTAAAACAGTTGGGCACTTTAGTTTTCAGCAAACATTATTCAGACAGGGGCAAATGGTGCATTTGTTTTGGACTGATTTCAGCTTCAAATGAATACAGATTTGTAGAAGTGACAGATTTGTAAAATGTATTGACTCAAAATTAAGTACAGAGTCAGTGTCCATGTTCATCTTTCACCCTGTGATTTTGGACAAAAATGGAGCTCTATGCCGCAGACCAATAATCAGGCTTTGGCAGTGGCCAACTTGTTAGTAGGATAATTTAATTGTTGGCTTGGTCTTTTAATGTCATTTGTTGACAGTAAGATTTAGTTTTAGTTTTAGGTCCCTTATTTTACAATTAGTGAAAAACTTACATTGCATGGATCTGTGTGGCTGCAATAAGGCAGAACGGTGCTGTGCACTAAATTTCAGCATCAGCATACTTACATGATATGCTTTACATAATGATGTATAGCACTGAATATCAAAAATTTGACCTGATAAAGGAGCTCAACAAAAAGTCTGTGGATAGCTAAAGTGAGCAGGATTCATCCTCTTGAGACAGTGTTTGTCTGTATAAAATTTCATGGCAATCCATCCAATAAATGTTGAGATTTCAGTCTGCACCAAAGTGGTGGACCGAGTTCACATTCACACATTAAAGGTTAGTGTCTATAGTTTATATTGTTTACATTCAGTGTTTCACAGGTAATTGCACTGTTTGTATCCATGAGGCCTGACAAATGTGATGAACAATTTAAATTGTGCATTGTTTACATCCATGTTTGTGTGTTACCACCACCGCAACATGAAAGTGGAAGCAGGAATTTGTATTAAGTTGCAAGTTGCATGTGTTCATTTGCATACAAAAAAGAACAAACAAAAATTATTGTTCCATAGTGCTACTAGTGGTCAAGGACCCCACAGCGTACCTTTAATATCTGGTAAAGCAAGCTTCTATGTGCTTTATGTGTGTGTGTGTGTGTGTGTGTGTGTGTTCACCTGGGTGTGTATGGCTCTGCCGGAGGTGGGGGTATGAAGAGGTCCTGCAGGGCACAGCTACTCCTCCTGGATGGAGTGCTTAAAGTGCTGGTGGGTGTGGCGACACTGCTGCCGGGGCTCTGGGGGAAGATTGGCTGTGTGTGAGCAATTGTGTGTGTATGTGTGAGTATGTGTGAAAGAGAGCGAGAGAGAGAGAGACACAGACAGACAGAGAGAAAGAAGGAGAGGAACAGTTACAGGGATTGACACATTTAAAATTTGGAGTTCACAGCAGTTCAGTCAGTTAGTCAGTCAGGGCCCACTCCTTCGGTTCAGACTGTGCTGCTGAACATCTCAACCGTGAAATGAGCAGTGTACTGTATGTTTCTGATGCTCCAGTTCTAACTGGTGCACACAAGAAGACAGGTTGGTGCGCAGTCGAGTCATCCATCTCATTCAGGTCAAGGAAAATCTGGTCACAGCCTACATAGACCCTTAAACACGGTTCGAGGAGATAGAATTGTCCTTGTTTATTTATCATATCTTTCTAACAAAATATGTAGGCGTTATATTTTTAATCACCCTCTTGTCACATTTATTATGTCAAAATAGGGGGCTGAAAAATGATCAACTTGAACATACAGAGAGATGTAATCCAATCACAAGATGTCTGTTTTGCAGTGATAAAACACGGACTGATTAAATGAGAAAGAACTGAAATGTTTTCAACAATAGAATATTAATTTCTCACTGCACAAACTATGCTAATATGTTACGTAACTCGCAGCTGACTAATATCAGAGATGTATTACCGGGAGATGTGCTCCATCATAAAACCATTATGCATGTCAGAGTTACTACAGGGCTTCCGCAGCACAATGTTCTTTTCAATATCTTAACAGCTTACCTTGACATGCTTAATTTTAGTCACATCTCAGAACAGGAAACATATTCTTTTTTTTTTCCTTTTTTTTGCCCTAAATAATGCCAGCAGGAGGGCAAATTTGATTTAGGTGGCGAAGAAGAATGTGAGAATGTGATGGGGGAGGAGGCTGAGCAGGACTGTGCTTCAGGGCCTCGGGGGGGAGAAAACATTTTCTCTGGCCTGGGACTCAAAGAAAGGCTGAGCTACTTTAATACACATCCCTCTCATTTCCACCCAGTCTGGCTCAGGCGCACGATCCTAATAATGTAATTGGTTTGGCCGAAGTAGGACAGCAGATGCCACTTAGAGCTGAAATGTGAACTTGTGAATGAATGGTGCTGGAACCTTAAACCAATTAGTCACAAGTTTTGGGACAAAAAAGAGGTGGACTGTGTAAAAGCAATACCTGGACAATGCAGTGCAATTCCCAGAGCTACAGTATAATGGCTCATAGCTCAAAATTATCTCTTTGAAAATGGTTTAACAGAAATTCAACATTATGAGTTTTACAATACTAAAGTCTTGTCTAATGCTCTAGTTTTGTTTGTTGAGCGTTTGCTATTGTAACATCCCATTTTCACTTTGTACTCTTCTATTTATTTTCTATTGGCCATTTATAGAATGACCTGGGATTTTGGTGTCTAGCATCAAAGGAGTCTGCGGAGTCTTATTTTTAACAAGAGCAGCGACAGAAGCACAAAGATACACACTTATAAATAACACGGAGGTCATATACACATAGAATCAGGCATGGACACAACATATCTGTGGCGGTCATCATACTTGCAGAGCCAACGGTTTCCATCTCATGTTTTTGAGCAGAGCAGGGGTTGAGGTAAGCGTGCTCTGCGGGCGCTTCTTCAGCGTCAGGGTGACACCTGCAGGGTCCCCACGCAACAAGTTCACCAAGTTCTTCAACTGCCAACCCACCTAACAAACAACAATAGCATGATAGGGGTTTTCCTCAACACACAACAGAAATTTGTCAGAAAGTAGGTTATGCCTGACCGTGGTGCTGCTGAGGTCATTATTTTAATGCTACATGTGGATCCTGATGGTTAGAACCTGAGGCACATCCCGCAGACTCTGAGGTTCATGTTGATGAGGATGTTAAATGCAAAGCTCTGGATGCCAAAGGGCATCTTACACACCCCCTGTGACATCAATCTGCGGCCGCTGTCGTGATGCGGTAAGCTCCAGTGTTGTGAGTTGTGAACAGCTGCATGCCTTGTAAATAGTCTTTAACCCAGTTTTGATGACATTTGGCACAAAGAACATCCCGCCCAGAGAAACACGGTCTGCTGCTGAACCAAATATGCCAGGTCCAGTTTTGGGAGAAAATATCCTCTCTTGCTTGGCTGACTCCACTGAATTTCAGTACATCTTGCGTATTCCATGCAGCATGAGAAACCGGGCATTTTTCAGGCTCTGACCTACCAATCATTTTGTACCTTTACATGTAATTTTTCACTTTGACAGCCTCTACACTAGAATTCTTCAGATAGAAAGTGTATTAAGTAAAGTGTACACGGACAGGCTGAAACAGACACAGAGTAAGGCCTGCTTTATTCCATGATAAAAAGTTTTGCTATTTCTGGCTAAAACAATCTGCTTGTTTACAGCAGTAAAACAGTGGATTTTTTAGTTTTTTTCTGCTTTAAGGTGTTTCTTACTTCTGGTATTCTGATAACACTCTCCATTTTTAAATTTACTGTCCTGCATGGAGCATTTTTTTTGTGTGAGAAGCCTTCCCCATTTACTGACCATTCCTGCAACAGAAATTCAATCTATCGTTGCTGCCTGGGGTTATTTATTTCTGACATGCTGTCTTCATTTTTTACGGCCTTCCAATCTTGCGCTCAAATAATTTTTCATTTCTTTATCTTATTATACACATGTTATAACTTTTTCAAAGCTTTTGCCTCAGAGGATTTTTCCTTCATTCATTTCCTTTGGTCAGTGTAAGTCTTCACATCCATGTTCAAGTCCAGTTAACACTGGTCTGTGTCTTACTGCTGGACTTCTCCCAGTTGTCCTAATTATAGATCATTGAACTGTTTCAAACATCTCCTCTGTCCTTGGTGGTATTTTTCTGAAATGATGTTTGTTCTACCGTCTCTCAAGCCTGAAGATTTTTTTTCTTGCTTTACTTTTAAGTACTTCTCCTCTGGTTTCTCATCCTCTTATGAGAAAAGATGGTGCAAGGAATCCTGGGCCACCAGACACATCTAGTGTTCAATGCAGCCATCACCTCATTTCTCCAGAGGTTTCTTCCTTTATTCTTTAACTATGGTGCATGCTGCATTAAAAGTATTAACAGTATTAAAGCTGGTTATGGCAGGCCTTGTGAGTGACAGCGCAGTTTTAGATCAGCAGACATGTCAGCTGAGTTTACAGATTGACATCACCTACTTAAGCTGTCAAACTCACTTGGCTGTTGCTCATTTCAGCAACAGCCGCAGCAGGACATCTTTCATTCACCTCCAACCTCTCCAGCATCGACCGTTGAACACTTGTGTGTCTCAGTTCCATACCACGTACTGATACTATACAGCAAATACAATATAATAATCTTTATACTGTTATCCAGCTAGTTTACAAGAAATTCATGTATTATGCTGTTCTGTACTAATATTACATGATATAAGAGATGCGCCAACAGATGTCAGTCAAGCTGCAACTTTGAAAATCGAACTGTAACTGAGAGTGAAATATTTTGTGAACAAAATAATAACATAAATCATGGCTTTTCTCCATTTAGGCCTTTCATTTCCAGGATCCTGGCATCGTGCATGCCTACTGAGCCATCATTAATGTTATTAATTACACCTGTGCTTTTCCTTCTATGACGTGTCAAAATGTCAGCTGTGAAAAAGGTCTGTGAGGACACAGTACATTTCTTTTTATTTCCCATGAGGAGCATGCACTGACACCTCCCTGCTCTCAACATCTTATAGCCTTTTAACTAGACTCTACAGTGAAAAGAACCAAGCTTGACAAGTCTGCTTTTGCACTTATTTTCTTTAAAAATGGCTGCATTCAGTGGGTGAGTTGACTGACTGAAATGAACCTGACTTAAACTATATAATTATCAAATGTCTTGCTGTTTCACACACAAGTAGCAATTATTTTAGACAAAGGGTGCTATATTTAAATTGTGCACCACAGGAAGTTTTTGCTTTCATTTCCATTGAATTTATACTATGCTATATACATTTCAGCAACAGGCAGGTTGTGCAGTTTTGTCTCACTGGCAAAACCTGTGAAAAGACAATTAGATTAGACCTCTGCTCAAGATGAACTTGCTATGCTGACAGTAATATAAGGTCTCCGGACTCCCATATTAAGATAAGAAGGGTAAACTTTGGGTGCCCTCGTGGCTCAGATGCTTAAGGCACCAAGCACGAATGGCAAAGTCTCCAGTTCGAGCTAAACTATGGACATTTGTTTTATGTCGTTCAACATCCCTCTTTCTCTTGTTTCCTTTTGTCCCTCTACTGTGTATCTCTGATAAAGGCGTACAAATGCCCCAAAAACAACAAAAAAGGAAGATGAAGATTTGAAGTTTTCTTGCTCTATCAGGTGCAATACAGCCAATTGGAGTGGTCAGGAGAGGTCTAATCAGGAAGTACAACATCTCTGTGGGTGCACCATGGGTGTCTAGGAACAGAAACCACACTGAAAATGGTGATTTTTTTGTATCTACAGTTTAAGGGCTCTAAGCAGATACCTCTGATCAACTGAAAAGTGCTCTTATTAGCATGAGATAAATGATTGACCCCATGATGCGCAAAGTAACATATTAATCCAGTCAGAGTAACATATCCACATCCTCAAAAAATACCTACAAGAGACATTACAGCTAGCCACTTACACAACAGCAGGTCCGGTGTGGTGCAGTGTGGATGTGCAGTGTAAGGGAGCTGCATACGCATGCACACCATACACACAATCTGAGGCTGGTGCTTCTTTGTGTACAAAACCAACATGTATGAATTGAACTACCAGATTTTATGAACCAACCCGAAAACCTGCAGCTGCCAAAGAACAATACATATGAAAATCATATGCTAATTCAGACAGCAAATACTGTAGGAGAAAACAGATAAAAAAAAAATAAGCCAGAGAGCAAAAAAATATGGTCTCACCACTGTCTGATGATTAACCTGAATGACTTCATCTCCAGCATGGATTTTCTTACAGCGGTCAGCCAGGGACTGATGGATAGACAGAGAGGCAGAGTCATTATCTGCTGTTCCATTTCACTGTCATGACAGAGATTACTGTGATACAACCATAAGTGACACACTTCACTCTACATATTATATTACAAGTGAATGAGCAGTGAGGCGAAGATCTACATATGTGGACACAAGGGGGTTTGTACTCACTCCCTCTGTCGTCCCGGTGATTACATGCAAACCATCATATGTTGATTTGATATACATGCCCTGTGGGAAGACAGTGGGAATATAAATTGACATTTACATTTTAAACATTAAACACACTACATCTCAGCTTCAGCAACACAGCCACTGGCAGAACAGACCAGGGTCAGAGCATATCTGCAAATCACATTTGTTTTAATCTGCTTGTTGTGCATTTATCTCACTTATTTTTTTTACCAGCAGTGAAAGATCTGAGTGTTTTTATGTTGAGCTTATATTTGCTTAATCAGAAAAAAAATGTTTAAATAACCTGGGGGAAGTCCTTAAATATCACATGGGTGTACTCTTCAAAGAGACCCAGCACAGTCTGAATTTATGTTATGAAGTGAGTCCCGCTCAAATGCTCCTACAAGCAGATTGAATCAAACATGGAGGATTATTTATCTGTAAATACTGTTTGTCTGTTGCAAAAGAAAAAGCTAAAACTCAAAGCTTCCACTAAGAGGGGTCTAAAGTGCACCACAAACACACATACGCATAAGCGCAAACAAACACACACCCAGACACGCATTCACACACAGACATGCATGAGTATCACACAGCCTCACACACGCACACACACACACACACACACACACACACACACACACACACAAATACACACAGATACACTAAAGCAGCACGCCAGTCTTCAAGATGAGTGTAAGAGGTTTATTTTTAGGCCACTTGGCCCACTGTTGTGTTCAGGTTTCGCTGAACGGTTGAGAGAACTTCCATGCCCCCTGCTCGCATTTGTGGGGGTGGGGCTCTTATTGTGGCCCCAAGCAGGGCGCTCGTGCCTGAGTGTAGGTCAGTGCGAAGATGGAGTCCAACTAAGTGCTGATGGACAAACAGTGGCAGCAAAAATAAGTGTCTTTTCAACTTAACCCAGTATCTACCGTTTGTCCCAAGAAGTAAGAGAATACACAGTTTGTTGTTGAATTGTAATTTGCACTTTTCAGCTGTTTGTATTTTGCTCATTTTAACATGCATAATATGCTCATTTCATGTTGCTTTTCATCAGCTGACTCATGTGCCCACCAGCTCAGCAAAACCCAGTTTTGGGACAGCTACAGTGACCTCCATATGATACTAGACAGCGTCCACAGTCTTTGTGTTTTACCTCAATCTCCCTCCAGAAACAACATACAGGTACTTTGGATAACCAGATGAAAACAGTTAACAGCAAGGACAGTGCAGCAACAAGGACAGTGTTTCTGGAAAGAGATGTTTCTGCATTTTTAATGCATTTTTCTCAATGCTGTGAGTACCTCAAATGCAGTTCAGTTCACCTGCATTGTACTGGGGTTAGGGCTGAAATCTCAGAGATGTAGGCCTATATCTACTGCACAATCATACCAAAACTGGCTGCATGGCGTGACACCCCAAGAGGCAAATTAGTAAATTTGGTTTTTATAATTTGAATCAACCAACCCTTTGACCCTTTGAGAAATTGTGCACTTGTGTCCTTTCTGGGTCCCAAAAAACCTACATAGGTGTATTATTTGAATCTAAGAGAATAAAATAACTGTTGTATTGCTATTTTTTTTAGCAAATTAGGCAACGTTAGTATCAGTGAGTGAGCAACTGAATTAACTTTTTTCACTGTGAGTGAGATACATGCTGCATGATAATTTACACATGCCATATTTGAATCAAACAGAAGTCAATATGCTACTATATGAATCATGCTGTTATGATTTCTTTAATTAGTAGGTTTCACCATCATCCAGCGTTATTAGTAGGTTGGTACTTTACTTTTTTGGGCACAGTAGCTTTTTCCTGCGTTCATTTCATCAAACCTGGAAAACAATTTAACATCTTGATATTTTAAGTTTATTAAACCATATTCAAGTATTATGAAACATATACTGAAGGCCTGTTCGTGTGCAGGTATCACATATGCTTCTTACAGATTGTTGTGTTTACCATAAAAGGGAGCAGTCTGTGCAGTGAGATTAAAAGTAATTAAAAGCTAACACAAACATTTTCTTTGCTCCACAGTAGCTACCCTGATATATCATATCTCAAGATGTCAGTCTCGATTATTCTGAGTTCATTAGCTACATAGTTACATTTGGGTGACCTTCACACTACACTTTACAGGCCATCAGTAATTAAAGTGGAAATTTCTTCATATTTTACTAAGTGTTCATTTTTATGCGGGAACTGTCAGAATATGTCAAAGAAACTGTGATAATTGTGGGTTAGCTATAGTTTCTAAGTACTTATAACAGCATCACCTATATTATGGCAGCTATTATATTAGCTTCTACACTTATAAGACAAAAAATGGGATATTTTTCCATCTTATAATTAATTTCAATATAGTTACCAGCACCGTTTTATCTGCTTTAACTTTAAGTTAATTACAGACTGATTGCTCAGTTATTGAACTACAGCCATTTCTTGTTACATCGATATTAACGGATGATTGTTTGGCTATTTCTTGCAATTACTATGTAATTAAGCAGCCTGTAATTTAGAGGTGATCTTCTGAAAGCAGTGATCTTCTGCCTTTGAAGCATATTTTTACTGACATATTTTTGAAGATAGCACATAGCATCTTCTCATGACATACCAGGTAGGATGACCAATGAGAATGAGTGTGGTTCTGTAAGACTGACTGAGGGTTTGTCTTACCAATCCTTCAGTGGATTTTATGTTGGCTAGCTGCACAACCTCCAAATGCGCAGCCTGGGACACCATGGGATCCGAGGACAGAGAGATAATGTGGTCACAAACTCCAGACAGAGTTTTACACTGGGGATGACATATGAAGGACGATTACAACCCTCAAGTGTCCACATCATAGCTTCATTTTCATTAGATACAGTAGAATAAAGTCAGCAACTCACCACATGCAGGATTTTGTTTTCTGTTTCGTACACAGAGCAGTCCTGAGGAACATTCAGAGAGCACTGTTACCTCAAGAGAACGTGTCAAAATGGAGTTATTATTGGTATTTCTGCTGTAGGTGGATGTAAGCAAAAAACCGAGCTGCTTGGCACCTATAACCCCCAACACTCCCACACAGACATGCACAAACACAAAACAAATGAATCATCAATGCGGAGGCATGTGTCTCTCTCGCTCTCTCACTCGCTCTCTCTCTATTTCTCCCTGCCAGTCTTCCTCTCTCAGCCTTAACTCTTACATTTTCGCCCTCTTTCGTACCCACTTTTAATTTTTCCCGCTTAAACTTTTCTCTTAACTCCATATAAACATCATCCTCCACAGTGACCATGCTAAAAGTTATTAAATATCACTCATTATTTACTGATCTGTCAGTGTTCCACAGATTGCGAGTGTCATCATTTATGGGGCTGCGTGCAAAGAGAAATAGACTGATATTAAAATCATTATAATCTGTGATAAGGTTCTAACATTTGATCTGGCCTGCATGTGTCTTTAGTTCTTAAAATATTTTTACATGTACTTCAACTGTAGCTGAATGTGTTGATGCTTTATATGACAGCATATTTAACAGGTGGACAGCAAGTCATTAAGTTTTTTTTATAGCCAAGTCCATCTTAAATACTTACATTTCTTCAAAGCACTGACTGTTATTATTTATTAAAGTGGCACATTGCTGTGCAGTGCATACACAGAATGAAGTTCATTTTCATGTCAGTGATTCACTGACCTGAAGTAGTAGTAGTAATATGAATATGTAAATGATGTTTTAACAGTTAAATGGATTGCAGAATTTTATTGTCTGTCTTTACTCCTGTTTGAATATGTATATGGATCCAATGTGTGCAAAAATAGGAGCTGTGTTACGGTATAACAGGCTCTAGACTGGATGTTTATACAAGGAATTAAGTGAGATGCTGCTTCAGTTTTTTCTGTATCAAGCGTAACACATTTTCTGAACGTCAGCTTTTAAAAACAGATGCACATATACTGTCTCTGTATCATGTGCAGATATTTCTAAAAATATTCATAAAAACAACTTTGGACCTTAGTGTATTTTACAACTGAGACAGGGTATGGTGCATTTTGGCATTGTCATGTGGGGTATGAGGTTACTCTTTTCTTGTGGAGGTATTTTGATCTAAAATGAAATTGAAATAAAAAAGTTTACAGGGCCTGAGCTGTATATTACAGTATTATATTATGGGATTTGTTTACCTGTTGTACAATTGTCGTGAGCTCAAGACAAAGCTGGATCACATTGTTTCGGGTCACAGAGTAATCTGCCACTGCAGCAAATGGAGACCTGAAAAAGAAGGAGCACCTGGAATGAACCATTAGATCATTCTTCCTTTGAGACTAAATCACTGCTAAATCTGTGGGAACAATTTCAAACACACAATCATGTACATCAGTGGACATACACGCACACACATATACACACACACACACACACACACACAGACACACACATTGTAATTATTTCATTTCAATCCATGTTTTCTACTGGACATGAAATCAGATTTTAGAGACTATAGTGCAATAGATTAATATACATACAGTATATGAAAACAGCATAATAGCAATAGCATAGAAATAGTATATGAATATCAAATATGAGAATATACTAGAATACATTAAAACACATTTTTCATTTTAATTTCCATCTTTAAAAGGTGTCAATCTAACAGGGCGTCGAGTGGCGCAGTGGGTCGAGCAGGCGCCCCACATGTAGAGGCTGCAGTCGGCCCCGGTTTGAATCCCACATCGGACGACCCTTTACTGCATGTCATTCCCCCTCTCTCTGCCTCCCCATTTCAATTTCAAGTGTCAATCTATGCTTTGTATTTTCAAATGAAAATGAAGAATAGACTATTGGACTGTAATTAGAATGAACGCTGTAAAATATGCCTGCCTCTATGAGAAAAGAAACAGCAAATCACTTTGTTATTTCTGTTGAATGTCGTCTGCTTTGAACTTCCAAACTCATCAAACACACACAGACACAAACAGACGCAAACACACACATTGGCACAATCCCACAGAGAAGCAAGGGATAAAGCAACATATAAATAGACTTGCTCAGTGCCTTTTTGCCCACCCTGTCAAAATCTACTTATATAAGGCCTTTACTCATCTTTTCTTGTCAGCTAATTGGTCATGGACATAACATAAAAAAAACAAAATAGGTCTGTATGTGGTAAGAATTGGAGTCTCCACAAAAGAACCAACGCATCGTGCCAGATAAACAAGATTGTCTCATCCTTTTTGAAGCCATTTTTGCTATATTTAATTTGCTGCATTACAGCAGCACAACCGGTGTGTTTTTTTTAACCAACGTAAAATGTAAAATGTAAAATTCAAATAGTCCATCACATCAACCCAGAGTTAACATATTTGCTTAAAAATCAAGTATGTATTTAAGATAAACTTCATATCAGTGTGTACATGAACTTGTAAGTACGTGTGTATCTAAATGCTTTTTAACATGTTTTTAAATGTATAACATGTGCAGGTTTTTGCAAATCTCACCTGTCCAGCCACGCCAAAAGGCTTTTGGCTGCAGCGATCAGGTCCACCACAGAGGTAAGAAAGTCATTGGGTAGCTTACGAGTGGCTCTGCCATCGTAATGTCCGCTGCGCCGCCTGCCTGTGATGAAGTTCTGTAGGTTCTTGGCAGATGCATTAAGCTTATGAGAGAGAGTCTTCAGATTCTCAGTCTCCAGCCCGTAATTCTAGAGGAGAGAGGAAAGTAAATTCACTTTGTTTGACCAGTTTGTCAGTGTTTGTTTTGACTGTGATGCATTCCAGGAATTTCTCCAGCGTGGAGACTGAAATGGAATTGTTGTTGTAACACTGCTCTGTGAATAAAAAGACCACTGGCAGACCAGCCCACCTTGTCACACCACCAAAGATGCTGCTCATATGATGAACATGTGAGGAATAAAACCAGTGACCCCTTCGCCCAGCCCTGCTCTGCTCCAGCTGTCACTTTGCATGTGTAGGGACAGCAGAACACTCATTACCCTGTACGCCAAACTACACGTGCGGGCCTGTGGGCGTCTGAGTTTCTTGGGAGGAGAGAGCGCGGCAGGAGGGCCACTAATCATATTTAATACAGCAGTGCCTGAGAGACTTAAAACTAAATCCCAGTTACGTAAGAAGCTTTGGGGCTGAAGCAGGGCCCCCCGTGCAGCAATGCAGGATGAGAGGACTTTAGATTCAGATTGCATCTGTGACCTCAGTCAACTAAATCTCCATCCAGTCTCACTGTGTGTCTCTTGGGCTAACACATACCTAGCCTCATCTCTATTCCACCCTTTCGCCTTCATCACTTGTTTTAATCAGTTCTTTCCCAACTCCTCCTTTTATATTTCCTCAGTGTGTCATGCGTTTGACACTGCTTTAGACTTTGCTGTGTGTCATTAGTGTCCACTGATTGTCCTTTGAGTGCACAAATAAAAGAAGGTCTGAAAAGGAAGGAAATTGAAGCATCTTAAGAAATGATTCAGCAGGGTGTTACAGGTAGACGTCACACCTGCAAATACTTCTTATTCTAAAGAGAGCTTTATACATTTACATTTATATAGAAATTCAATTAAACTGCACATAACTTGTTACCTCTATTATCTCAAGTGGACAGTATAGCTATAGCAGGAGCTGCCAAGCAGATGCACAACTTTATATGTAGAGCAATACCCTAAATGTACACGTATATGTGGAGTCAATGAATTGTTCATGATTGTTCACGTACAATTAATTATTTGAGTCATCCTTTAAGCATAACCTTTAGCTTCTCAAATGTGAGGATGTGCTGCTTCTCTCTGTCTCTTAGCTTGGTCGCACAAAATAAGCTACTTGAAGACGTTACCTTGGGCTCTGGGAAATTGCACCAAACAATGAATCGCTTAATTGACAAAATCTGCAACTTAACCTATAATGAAAGCAATCATTATTTTGCAGGCCAAATAAGGTGGCATATGAGTTTTGAACTTTTGTGTGTTAATAGATGCCTAAATCATCTGACAAAGATCCCAAACTACAGTATACGCAGCAATAGATAACTGGAAAAATAAGGAAAGAAAATCCAGATTTTCGATGCAAATTTAAGGTAAAAAAGACACGACTCTACTGCAGATTTTCTGAGTTAATACATTTTAAAATGTGGGGTTTGGAAAGAAGTACATATTCAGAAAAAAGTGGACATTTGGTAAAGGCTCTATTCTGAGAGGAAAAAAGAACTTCAGGACAGGTCACTACAGTGGCAGGTGGAGTGAGTGTTACAAAATTAATTTGATGCTCTAACTACTTCAGCAGCACTTCAGCCCAATCAGCAGAACGGCAGTCTATCATGCTGACACACACAAAACTTGTGTTTCTGAGACGAAGCGCACAAATCACTTTAAGAGGAGGCTGTAATCCATGTCAGTGCTAATGACAGCTGTAAGATTTGCCTGTGGAGGATATTTTGGCCAGATTATTAACTCTAGATTTTCTGTGATGTATTGAGGCCTAAAGCAGTTTCCCTGTTGTGAGGTCTAAAGCCCTTGGTGATATATGTAAGAATATTGAGTTTATTCTGATAAATAAAACCAAAATTCAATTATTCCTGGAAAAACTGACATTGCTAATTGATTAGCAGATTTCATGGATGATGACTTGATGCAAAAATACAGCTAACACATCATAATAATCAGCTGAAATCATACATATTCAAAGTGTCAATTTTTCAGTACTACAAAACAACCTCGTTTTCTCGCTTGATCACAAGTATTTAGTAATCTGAGGAGGCACCAAATGTGCTGCACAAACTTCATTCGACAGCAGCAGTCCGTGACTCTTTCAAGTGACAGTACAAAGTAGTGGGAAGACGGTGTGGGAAGCTTGGACTCACCAGAGCACAGAGTAAGTCCACAGCCTCCAGTATAAGCTCCTGGTGTCCAATTCTGGACACTCCCAAATCCTCCAGCTCCTGGTGGGTGATACGCAGCAGCTGGTCCCCCCCTACTTTCTCCTTCTCGAAGGTCTTGATGTACTGCTGCAGGCAGTCGTCCAGGCCTGAGGGAACCACACAGGATGACAGGAAAACTTTCAGCACAGCACGACAAGGTGAACATGTTGTTCTCTGGCACTATCAGGCTTTCTGATCTCTTGTGAAAACTCTATTTGCATTATGTGTTCAAATAGAGCTTGATATCAGTGTCCTTGCCAGGAATCTGTGCTGTAAATGTGGAAGGCGTGAACACAGGTTGTGTACAGTTGTGTCCTGTGAAGCAATCCATGTCAGACAAGAAATCTGACAGATTCCTCCTCATCAACATTCCCAAGGTGCATTTTCAGCCTTAAACTAGAAAAAGCTTTCAACTAAAATGTGTCGGCGCTCAGCTCTTTTTTTTTTTACATCTTTCACTGCTGTAGCAGGTGTGAACTCTTCCAGTGAAGCAGTTGATGAAATGCAGCACACTACAACAAAGTGTCTGATTCTGCAACTCCTGTCTGCATCAACAGTTTTTACCTTATAAAGTGAGTTTTATAACTGGGCACTGGTAAATGCATTTATCAGTATCAGGAAGTCTTACAAAAGACACCAAAAAACCCAGAAGATCTGCCACAGACATGAAACCTCTCTCTGACACAGATGTCAACAGACTCTGTACCTCTGTGCTCTAATCATGTAGAATTAAGTTGAAAGCAGGAACAGTGGGTGATGTTCCAAAAACTCAACAGGAAATATATGCTTTCATTTGCTCTGTAAATATAATTTGATTTGATAACTGATGTTTCTGCATCACGGTTTCTTGTCTCTCCGTTTTATCCACTAAAATGAATGCTTACTTTTATATATGTCACAGCTGAATGTCTGTAGAAAGTGCTCTGCATGCTAACTGGCCATCCTTTTACCAGTGGGGACAGAGAGAGTAGCCTTTGTAGGAGCTTTCTTCTATACACTCGGTCTGTTTCCATTTTCACAGTGAGAGAGGGACACGGACACGCACACACACACACACACACACACACACACACACACACACACACACTGACATCTCTTTGCTCATCTCGTCTTTTCATCGCTGTGGACCAATCATATACATGTGACTCAGTGCTGTGCCTAAACCTGATCAGGCATTCACGTTGGGTTCAGCTGGCAACTAAACGGTGGAGAGGAAACATAGGGAGTTTCATGGGTTTGCATAAAATTTAAAGGCTTAACTAATCAGCCTCTTTACTAAGTTAATTGAGGCTCATTATGTCAATGAAGTATTCCCCATGTTGTCATAGAAACCATGAAGCAGGGTTTTGGCAGGGATTCTCCCGCAGGACAAAATAATGAAATAAGTGAAGAAAGGACATGATGTTTTCCAAAAAGTGACTGCGTGGTAGCATCAGACATCTAGCTAACATAGCTGCTGATTTCATTTGCAATTATTCAAAAACTCCCATAGAATTTTACATTTTTAAATGTCACGGTCAGGCATCATGTTTCGCTGTATAAACAAATGGTTATTACTATAATTGAAACGGGTGAGTTAAGTCTCACATCAAAGAGAAGTGAGAAGTCAAGTCACATTTATTTATAGAGCACATTTAAAAACGACACAAGTTGGCCAAAGTGCTCGACAGAATATAATCAATAAACAGCCAGTAAATAAAATCTGAATAAAAGGCTAAAAACAAAACAACCGCATGACACACGGCACACAACAACAAACACAGTCAAAGCCAAAAAAAAAAAAACACTGAAGAAAAAAAGTGCGTTTTAAGCCTGTACTTAAGGGAATCAGTGGACGGGCCGGATCTAATAGAGAGGGAGATGCTACAGTCTATAGGTTGCAACAGCAAAGACTCATCACCACTGAGCTCAGATTTAGAAGATTACTGTTCATGAATGCTAAAGTTTGGTGGTTTTAACTGAACCGCTATATCTTGTTACATGACTCTCCTCTTCTGAAAGCAGAATAGTCACAGACATTCCCTTTAGACGGAGAATACTTTGCTGATCGCACCGAGTAATCTCCACTACATCAATTTCCCTGTCCATTTCATTCTGGGTTCAGATTATCAGGCACGCTGAGGAGAAATTAAAAGCACAGCGCTGACACATCCTGATCTCCATTCTAGATAATCCGCTAGTAATGTGAGGTAAGAGAAGATATCTAAGGCTGTCAGCATTGTTGTAATGGATTTGTGTTAATCTGACTTGTCATTGATCACTTTCAGTGTGTGTGTTAGACAAGGAGAGAGTGGGTGTGCAAGTAAGACTGAGAGCACAAAGATAAAACTGATATACTTCATGAAACATGAATTATACTAATGCAGACTGTCAGGAAGAGTAAAGAGATTATACTAAGCCTGCATTAAGTCTGCGCCTCAAAACACACAGACAATTAATGAAAACAAGACTGAAAGTGGACATATCACAGTGTTTGCACAGCTACCGTGCACTTGTCAAGAACAAATTTTCAGTCAAAGCTGGGATTCTTTTCTCTTTTGTGATGAGAATCTCTTCTTTAAAGCGGCTTTGTCACAGCTGGGAATAGAGCGTCTTGCTCACACAAAACACTGATGGGGAGGGGCACAGAGCGGGATTGTGGGAAGGTCACAGGGTGCCCCTATTTGGCCTCCAGTGACATCACAGAGCGGTATGCTAATAATGGAACTGTGAATGCTAACGACAAAATGCTGCTGTTCCTCGGGAGCTGAGAATGGATGTGAGACATGAATTAACCCACCCCCCCATCCCCAACCCCCACCCCACCCCTCTCTCTCAGTTTCCTCTCTCTCAGTGTCTCTCTGTCCCTCACTTTAAATTACCATTACTGGGCTCTGGGCACAAGAATCGTCTTTGCTCCACTTGTCAGATGTGGGACACCGAAGAGCCCGCGCTCATAGCCAGCCTCCACTTCTTGCTCCCTACGTTTCTCACTTGTGCTTTCTTCTTCTATCTCATTTTAACTGTAGTGGTCTTTTTGTCTTTGCCTTTCTCCACATCCTCTCATCTCTCTGTCTGTGTCTGTATCAGCCCTCCATGAAGCTATACATTTGCATTTTGTGTCTTCAGTGAGGCAGCACATTCAGAAGAAAAACACCCTGTTTAAAACGCAGCATCAGATTCAGGTACAATTTATGATACACAACTCATACAGAGAGAGGTCTGATGATCACATTATGTCTGAGCTAGCAGAAAGAGGCATACAGAATTATGACTAAGTGTGTGTGTGTGTGTGTGTGTGTGTGTGTGTGTGTGTGTGTGTGTGTGTGTGTGCTGCTCTTGAGGCAGTAAAGATGAAGGGCTGTGGCCTGACACGTGAGCACGTGGCTCTGCAAAACAACACACAACTCTACTGAAACAATTACAGTGCTAACAGACAAATACACTGACGGGGATAGCATCCTCCTACTGCCGACAACAATTCCTCTTACATTTTATAAATTTTTGAAAGTAACAGGCTGCCTGTGGTAATCATTTCATAGAGCAAACAGACAAAAAGCAGTAAAGTAATGTGTAATCTCTTCCTGGACGTTTCCTGATGTATGTGGGCCACTTATTTCAAGTCTTTGGAGACAGACTAAGGAGACAGTTTCCCTCTGAGGAACTTCTCACCCAACACAGCTACCAAATCCTATTAATCATTCATTCATTTTAACAGCTGTACATTAATATATTCAACTTACCAGTTTCGCTGAATGCCCAGACCCTCATTAATTAGAGCACACACATTACTTTCTCTCTCCACAGCTACTGGTCTGAAGAGTGCTTCATTACCAAACTGAACCATGTCTGTACATGTGTATTTGAACCTCATTATTCTGCTGGGTGTTTCCTAAAATTTGAAGAGATGTTCTAATCCACACTAAAACGCTCTTGTGTCTGAATCAGTGTCTGAATTAAGATCTTATACAGTAATGGATGAGCCTCACCTTAGCTTTCAGTCCACTATGAGGTTTTAAAACAGTTTAATCTAATCTTAGGCCTACATGACGCTCTTCTAAGTCAGCTGTGACTTCTTAATGACTTGGAGCATCTGTGGATCAACATTTCGCACAGATGGCTGTACAAAGCTATGATACTGTACTACTGTGATAGTTCTTATTTTATCCATGCGCATGTAAAGCTTGAACATTTCTTCTCCATACAGATTCTGATCACAGATCCAGTGAGAAGGGTTAATTATTTGTGTGTAATTACTAGATCTCCGCTGTGTTTCCCAGCCTCCTGCGAGGCAGCCCAGCGTTAACAATAACCGCCGCAGGACACAATAGAGGTTTTAAAGCGTTTTGTGCCATTTGAATGTGTTAGGCTCTGGAGAACATGTTGGTCTTTAAGGACAAGTCCTATCCACATTGTAAGTGCCTGGATAAAAATCGATCAAATGATTTAAGGCTGTGATTAAAACCCTGTAGAAGGCGCGTGCCGATGAGGCAAAAGCCCGAGGCTCAGCAGGTGTTTTGTTCTCTTTTGGCATCTCGAGTGAATCTGTGCAGAAATGCATTTCGACTCAGAGCGCAACACTAAATTCATTGCAACATAACAATTTGGTGATTTTCTGTTTCTATTTGGCTACCATCGTGCCTCATGCTTACCTTTCATCCAGTCAACCACTTGACTGGAGCTCCACTTGCTCACAGGCTCCATAACCAGTGCCATGGTAGAAGTTTGTCTTGTTCACGCTTGACAAAAGAAAAACACTCCCAACAATCCCACTCCCCCCCTTCAAAAATTAAAAAAAATACAGAATATTAAAAAATAAAATAAAATCAATAAATTAAAATAAATTCATTGGCTAAATTCTTCTCAGTTGGGTTTGGGTGTTTACAAACAAAAAGAGGCAGGTCCAAAAGGTCCAAAATGTCGCTTGGAGAAGCCTGAGTGCAGCCCAGCAGACTTGTGCACATTCCTGTGCTGTTTGCTCGCTTGAAAGAGCTCTTTTACTTGTCATTCACGTCAGGCTCAGTGGCGTTGATGGTGGTGGGTCGCTGCTGCCCGACCCCCCTTCCAAAATACATCCCAGTACCATCCAGAGCAGAGGAGGACAACGCACAGACTGTCGGTCATACTGGTGTCTGGGAAGGTTGGGCTCGCTCTGAGCATCCTCCCTCATACACAGACATGGAGTCATAGCCCTCATCTTGCATGGTGTATGAGGTGTGGTTCATGCCACAAAGGAAGCAGAGACGGTCTGAGGAGTAAATGAGAATTAATGACATCAATTAAATCGGATTGTGTTGAGAAAAAATGGTGGATAACAGAAAAAGGAGGCTGTGTGACAGCCCTTTGCATTGCAAGTGCTAAGTTAACAAGAGGTGACTGCTTTTTTATTCGTGTTTGTTTGTTTGTTTGTTTGTTTGTTTGTTTGTTTGTTTGTTTGTTTGTTTGTTTGTTTGTTTGTTTTTAAATTAGTTACAATAGATAAGGAGCAGAGAGGAAACAATGTAGCATATAATATTATTTTAGCATAATATTGCAGTGGTTTTAATGTTGCCTGCCAAACACAGCTTCACAATCCTTCTGGACCAATTATGAATTAATGTAATTTTGGTTAATAACCATTTTTATGATTGAATTTGCTTCATTAAACCCTGTCTGGTTTGAAATCTTAATCCTAGATGAATGGCTTATAAAACTCTGGAGAATGTCAAACTAATGGCAGATAGGCTAATGGAAACAAAAGTATTTATGCTGCATACTGCAACAATATGAACACAACAAAAGCCACTCATAAATCCATTCACCACAATGGCAAATCTGACTATGGTTCCTCTGCTTCTCTTCCCAATCCTTCCGGCACTAATCACCCCTCATACACGCCACTCTTTGCTCCTGCCGTCTTTGTCGCTGCTCACGCCTCCATCACACAAAGCACAGTGTAGTGGAAACTCGTTGGTGTCTCGGTCACCAACGAGACAAGGATGCTGACATGCCCCTCGGTTTTTCTCACCAAACCTATTGGTAAACAGCGTCAGGATGTAAGCCTATATTCACTGCATGAACATAGACTGCACACTTTTCGTTTCTACGTGTTTGTTATTATTTACTCCTCTGTTTTTCTTTGTGCATTTATTTCTTTAAGGCTAAGTAAATGTTGTTTTTAGGTCCAACAACTCTTTCATTCAGTAGAATAATTAACAATTATTCAACAGCACAAATAAATGACGAAAAGTAACAATAAATAGGCTGAATTGGTGACATTAAAATGATAAATTCCCCAGAGAGCGAGTAAAGAGTGTGATGTAACAAAGACAAGAGGAGACATGCCCCTAACCAATAGTTCACTGAAATGTAGCGTTGCCTACAATAAACAAGCAGCAATATGGGGCGAATGCAGCAGAAACCCCAGTGTTAGCACTGGCATTCAAGATAATCAATAATCATGAATAATTACAGAGACAGAAAGCCATACAATGTGAAGCTGGATATGTTTGCGCTTAGCAATGAAAATGAAATATACACCTACTATTACACTAGCTGTAAAACACTTTTTAACCTTTATGAATCATATTTCGCAGTAGCCAGAAGAAAATTGCTGTACTAGGTTGACTACTCACTCAAACACTCACAGTAGCAGTTGTTACATTTGACATTGTATAACAGCAGCGCCATGACATACTAAATTAAAGTGAAAACATTTGACTCATTAAAAATGCTGAAACTCATAATATTCAATACTCAATATTCCCCATTAATGCTGAAAAGACCAAGTACAAAGAAAGTATAAATAATGTTAAAGAGGAACTCTGCCTACAGGTGTTGAGGAGTGTGCATATGTGAAAAAAAGTTGTATACAGAAAGCCATTTGTGGCATCAGACATGTCGCCTGCCTCAAATGATGTCACTTGAGTCAACATCATCTGTACTGAAAACTACAAGTTTGTAAATATTGTTGGTAATATTACCAACAATAAAAAGGTGCCAGGTTTTGAAAAGGAAGAAGGCGGCGTGGGATATAAAATATCTCTGGTTCTGCTTCATAGATTTTAATTTATGTTTTTATTGACATGATTTTCAAACTGAAGCAAACTAAAACACTCAGAAAATTATGTGAGAAAACAGGCTGCACATCTGGAACCACACATCAGGCCTAATTAGTGAACAAATAACTTGAACACCTGACAATAAAAAATAATCTTATGATTATGAAAATAATCATTAGTTGCTGTGCTACTTCCACTACATTTCAGAAGTCATTATATGTTCTCCACTAGATTTATTTGTCAACTAGTCACTGGCAGACACTGGCAAGATTTTACATACAAAAATATGAACAGCTCATAAAATATGATGCCTTGCTATAGATTTCCCTCTAGACTATAGCTACAAAATTAAAATGTTATATATGCGTTAAGATAACAGAACGTAGCATACCCTGTGGTATTCCTACATTTATTCAAATAAAAGACCGGAGTACTTGTTAATCCCCTTCCTCAAGAAAAGCTGCCTCATCTTTGCATGTTTTTCACACTTGAGGGCAGTAGGTGGCAGAATCTGCTTTGTGACGTTTCGCTACTCATGTATTTTACAAGGAAGAAGAAGAAACTTCTCTTCCTGAGTCGGAAAGAGAAACTGAGGTAGGTTGTATGCTAATGGCAGGAATTAAAAGTGGCAATAACGTGTTTATGTAAGTACCAATGCGTTAAATTTACATTTATGACCATTTTGCGTAAAACTCAATTGCCTTGTTCCCGGTTTGAGGCTTCCCAGAGCGCCTGGTGTTTATTGGTTTATTCCAAAGCTCAAAGTTATAAGCTAACCTCGACATTTAGCGTTGAATTATTAATCCTTTTGACGTTATTTGGCAGGTGGAGAGGCTGGTGTTGTTGAGACATACTGACAGAGTCTGTCGTTGTCATGTGGAGAAGTCAGTGCGGAAGAGTGAAGTTGAAATATCTCCCAAAAAATGTTAAAACTAGCTCATGTAACATGCTAGCTAAAGCTGCTACCATTGTTTCAGTCTGAAATATGATATAAATATGCAGCTTCTGCTTATTACAGTGGTTTCAGAGGGGGCTTAAACCACTGTGGACTGAAGGTGGATTAAAGGATTTGATCAAAATTACAGCTCCCGTTCCCAAACTTAAAATAGTTCACGTGTTACAGTTCCTGTGTCAACATCTTGTAATTGACATGGCTCAACTTTCACAACGAATCAACGGCAACGGAGTTTAAATGTGCAAAACATTAAACACTAACTACCATCCTCTTCATTTTGAGCTCAAAATCTCATACAGCAGCATGGACAACAAAAACAACTCTCACATTATAAAAATGATCATGCATCAAGTTTATAACAGCATTACAAGACTGTAACTGTTCGTGTAGCAAACAAACATGAATAACAACAAGAAAATGTGCTAAGTAAAACTTAACTATACGTTTGTAAAAGACAAACTGATGATTATATTTGTGCTTTATTGCATTAGTTTATCTTCCTGTTCTCAATCTACCATAATGTCTCTGACAGTGAACTTTTGTAAGTTCAGCAATGAAAAGTGCAGAAAGATCACACTATAATGATCAAAAGTCTAAAACGGTAATTCACAACATACGCTAACAGAAAGTGAGTACATTACAACAGTTTAGGGCATTGTTGTTACATTGCTGTATGTTGTTACGTTTGCTAACACATGCTCAGATGATTTACTGTTCCTTATATCTAGTGCAAAGCATTTGAATTTGCTAAGCATTTGATTTATTTGTTTGCATTTTGTATGTAAGCACAGGATTTTGTATTTAAAAGTTAAGTTTTGTAGACCGAAACTCTGAAAACTGAGCCCAAGCAATCATAACATACTGTAATAGCGATTTTTTTTAACACCCCAATAGAGAGGTTGAAAGCTGATATGCTATTTTCTTCCATATTTGTTCTTCTGCAGGTACAGAGGGGTTGCTGTCCAGAAAAAAGTGATCACTGTTTGTGTTTGTCATGTTAGTCATTGGCTGACCCTCTCTGTGACATGATGGATGACACTGAAATGGTGGCAGTGGCCTCGCTGACAGGTAGTTCTTCCCTTGGGGAAGCAGTGTCTGGTAGAGGACAACAGAGTGTTTCAAATGAAGATGACGAGCTCTACTATATCCCTGAGAGAAGACCATCTCTGGACCTTGGACCGAGTGCGATGGATACCAGCCAGTGGTACTGAGAAATATTTCACATACTATCCCTAAGGGTCCTCTCTACCATTGTTGGATTGTAATTCTGGGTAGCATTTTAATGGCATTTTGTTAAAAATGTAGCTTAATTAGAAAGTTAGTTAGTTAGTCTTCTCAAGGATACAGACACTGTAGTCTATGTCTATGGCAAACACCACAAGGTTATCATTTCTTGTCTACAGAGGGTACAGTACAAAGTGCAACAAATATCACTTACAACTTATATCAGCTGTCTCTACTGGTGGACTGAAAGAAGAACTAGACTTCTACTGCTTCATGAGTTATTTTTTCATGTCGAATTTCCATGTACTCTCAATAAAATATATGGGTAGTCAGGTGTTATATACCTGGATTTAATGTGATGAATGCATCACAAAAATACCCATACCCTTACAATTCTACTTTTTTAATACCAGTTATTTTTTTACATTGGTTTTTGGAAAATTAAGCAAGCACAAAGATAAAACAAGAAAACCAAAGCAAGTAATTCAACGAGAAAAGGAAAAATAAAATAAGTCATAATACAAAATGGGGTTAAATCCATGCTTGTCCATCAACCTTCAAAAGTTTTTGTAGTCCCTAATTCAAATACCCTAGACTTGACGGCCTTGATGCTGCTTGTGAAAGACATCGAAGCTTAAAATGGACTGATTATCTGACATGTGCTATGGAAGCCAGTGATTGCTTGTTATGTGGCCACTAAGCAATTAACAAACTGTCATTTTTCTGTCTTTTTTTATTTCAGGCCGAATGTGGGCCAGGCCTCGAACCTAGCTCTGAGCTACATGTCACTGACAAGCTCAGAAAGCTCAGTCGAAATGGATGACCAAGATGGATGCTCCACGAGGTACAAACAAAAAACAGTATTCAGCAAAGCTTAAATCTGTATATAACTTTGTGCATTCATCACATTAAATCCAGTAAGCAGCTGTGCGTAACAATGCAACTTGCTGTTACTCTTATTGTTTCCAAGGAGAACTGTAATATTACCTTGTAGTTACACTAAAGCCAATCTGAGTCCTCTTGTCTTCCTGATTTAAGGGTCCAGCTGGAAAGAACAGATTCATACTCTAGCTGTTACTCCTTTGACAGTGATGACTGTGAAAAGAGAATCCCCAAGTAAGAAATACACCCATGACGAGACACTAACATGTTTGTGTCTGTGACTACATACTAGATCGACACTAAAATATGTTTAAATCTCTACACTGTGGCCTCACCAGGTTTAAAAGCAAAGATGAGCCTGTCTCAGAGCTTCCTCATACACCTGAGTTAGTCCAACCCACGAATGAGATTAGGCATCCTTCATTGACGGTGGCATTCACTTTCAAGGTCAGTTTGTGTTCCTCTATTGTATCAGTTTGAAAGAAATTACATACAAAACATCCCTCAGTTGACAACAACAGCATTGAATTTCATCCTTCTTTTGGAATCAGGCTATCTGTAACACTATTGCGAGGCTGTCAGAAGTAGATGTGAGAAGATTCAAGACAATGCTGTGGAAGAATTACCCACAGTCATTCAACACTCCTCCCCAAAGCATGGACACAGTGGACCTTGTGGACCGGTTGCTCGAGTGTTACAGCCTTGAAGTATCATTGCAGATCACCAAAGCCGTTCTTGAGGAGATAGGGCACAAGAGGACGGTTAGATATATCCAGACTCAGTGCATCAGAAGTAAGTACACCCCTGTATGTTGTATTACTATTAATTCAATCTTAATGAAAGGGAGATGGATGATATATTTATATATACACTTTTTCTTTTTTCAGATGAAGTGCGTCACGACTTAAGTGAGACTTTGAAGAGGAAGTATGGTGAAGTATGTGAGGACTTGGCCATGCAGCAAGAGAAGAGGCAATTTGATGATGTCTTTACTAATGTCCTCATAACCTCAACATGTGACAATGGCCCGAATATTGAACATGAGGTCATGAACATAGAAAAACTGGACAGCAACCGGGAAGCAGGGAAATGTCTTTCTCCCAAGGATATTTTTAGCGCTGAAAGACTGGAGCACTCCAACATAAGGTTAATATTGCTCACTGGAGTGGCAGGGTCAGGGAAGTCGATGGTGATCAGAAGGTTAGTCCTCGATTGGATTGAAGAGCAGTCCCAGCAGCACACGTCCTTTTTGTTTCCTTTACCATTCAGAGAACTCAAACAGTTTGAGGGTTCCAAGGTCTCCCTGTTGCAAATAATACAAACACTCTACCCAGAGACAAAAAAACTGAAGGATGAGGATTATAGATCGGAAGACTGCCCGATGATGTTTGTCTTTGATGGTCTTGATGAGTACAATGGAAAGCTTGACTTTGAAAACACTGAGCTTATCTGTGACCACACAGAGCTGACCACCCTGAACGTCATTGTGGTCAACCTCCTCAGAGGGAGGCTGCTCCACCGTGGCCAATTTCTGGTCACTACTCGGGCGCAAATAAAGCGTTGCATTCCTTGGGATACGCACTATAATGAGATAGAGGTACGTGGATTCTGTCACCCTGAAAAGGAAGAGTACTTCAGGAAGAGATTTAAGGACCCAGATCAAGCAGCCCGAGTTATCGCCTATATCAACTCTTCCAAAACCCTCTGCATCATGTGCCATCTTCCCTTGTTCTGCTCACTGGTTGCTGATGAGTACCATCAAATATTTAAGGAACAGAGGACACGGGCAGAGCTGCCCAGGAGCATCACTTACATGTACACAAAGCTGGTGCTAATGCTCATACGGCAGCATCGCATATTTAGAGCTCCAGATCGTAGCCTGGATGAAGAAAGAGACTTCCTTATGAACCTTGGAAAGCTGGCGTTCAACATGTTGGAAAAAGGCCAGTTCAAGATTACCAAGTCCGACTGGAAAGACACTGGAATCTGCGACGAGGAAGCAGTCATTAACAGTGGACTGTGCACACAATACGTCACAAAGCCATACGTCTTGTTTCATGAGAAAGTCTTTAGTTTTATCCACCCCACCATGCAGGAGTACCTGGCTGCCCTTTATGTGTTTCTCTCCTTCACAAACCAGGGGAAGAACATTTTTGAGCAGCAACTGAAAGACAGGTTCAAAGGGATGTTCAAGGGACACAAAGCCATGGAGCTGTACAAGAGCGCTGTGGACAAAAGCCTGCTCTGTGAGGACGGCAAACTGGATATTTTCCTGCGTTTCCTATTTGGAATGTTACTTCCGACCAACCAGGAACTCCTCCAGCCATTCTGCACCTCTTCTGTGAAGTGGCCAACAATAATCGAAGATGCTGCTGCCCTCATCAGGAAGAGGACCAGAGAAAATCAGCATCCTGGCAGGAATGACAACTTGCAGCGTTGCTTGGAGGAGCTGGGTGTGTTAACAGTATCCTCAATTTGACTCGAACACTGGGCAAAATCATTTCACTACAAAGTGTGTCAAGGCTTCCACTGAGTTCCAGTCGGTGGGGGGGGATGCGTAACACATGCCTGTCCTGATGGAGAAACATGTTTCTCCACTATTCATCCAAACTAATGATTTTTTTTCACTAATGGAGCTTTAAAGTATTTAAGAGCTAAACATAATCTCTTCTATAGTTCCACAGTTACATTAATGTAACAAATATGTGGAAACAGAGTCTTTTAAAGAAATGGAGATGGTGTGATATAATGTGTTATTATGGATTTACAGAGTTATAAAGAGGCCTTATATTTTCCCTGTTCTTATAGAATGCATATACAATCAAAGATGTTTGATATACATTATTGATTATTGCTAGTGTTGCCAGCCAGTCTACAGTTGTGCTAGATATGACTTAATTTTAAAAATCCTTCAAATAGCTTTTAATTGCACTATTAACATAATATCAGAGGAATATGACTATTGTCTGAGACCCAAGTACAACTGGTAAATTATTTTGGGTACATTTGTGAAAACTGAATTATTTTGCACTTTTCAGTGATCAGTTACTATTACTACTACTATTATTTGTTGGTTGCTTGTTATTTTGGCAGTAATCAAATCAAGTAGCTGCAGTTACTGAATTGTTTATCCTACACAGCTAAAAAAGCATCTGTACTCCAATTCCTGTTCTTAACATCCCTGCCATATTGTAATATAGGTTATAAATGTACTGACAGTGATACCCGTAGGAAAAAAAGTTACCTGTTGGAAATAAATGATACAATTGACAATAAATGTTTGGGGAAACAACCACAGGCTTTCATCAGCACTGCACACTTTGTGAATTAATTGACTGATTCAACTTTGTCTCATTAAGGAGTGTATTTTCAAATGCTTCAACAGTACACAGATTTAAGATGGCTCATCGCCAGCACACACAGACACTGGAATGATACACAAGCATAGCAAATAAACTGATACAATATTCTATCTATATTCTGAAGTTAAAATACAGTACTTTTGTGTAGTAGAGTCATCTAAATTACACTGATTTAGACAGTTTACCACAATTCTATCAAGGATGCATTCAGTTCCACGTAAAATGTTGTCTGGATGTCATTTCCTTGGATAAAGAAGGGGATCCTGAAAATGCTACATCAGATTTTTACATTGTAACACCACTGGTCTCACTCTCAAGTTTTGCACATTTCCCCATCCAACTCTTCTTTGTCATAATTATTGCACCTGACAGTGTAAAAAATAATAGTAAATTCACAGATAATGTTGATTCTTACCAATATGAATCATTTTTGCAAGATAAAACATGGCTCAGAGAAATCCACCACTTCTTCACAGCAGTCACATTCAGTGTTTTCTTTTTTCCCCCACATTCAAACCTCTTGGTGCTGTTAGTGTGATGTGCTTTTGGACCATTCCAAAAGCGCTTATCACAACACAGGTGAAGGTGGATTTGAGGTCCTCTGGTGTGACATTCTTCAACAGCAAACTCCTCTGCAGGATTTCACCCTCCGCCAAAGTTGATCTAAAATAAACAAACATTCTTTACAGCCTAGTTGCAGGCCTGCTACAATAAGCTAACTAGCTCTGAAGCAAAGAATACACTGCTGCTTGATATCTAATAAATTGTATATGGATTATTAAGTGGCTAACATGCTGCTATGGTAAGCTCCATTAAAATGTTAATATCATTCATAATACTCACTCCTCTGATTCTACTATTCCACCACTGCTGGGTATGTCCTCAGGGAAAGAGCCATTGACAAGCCAGTAGATAAGTGTCACGCCATCTTTGCAATTTGTTAATGCATCACAGTGAAGAACCAGGGGCTCACCTTTAAGGCAGAAGACACCCAGACCACAAACACAACTTCAGTATATGTAAGGAAACCCTTATAAAAATCCCGGAGCTGTCACCCAGGAAGTTGCACATGTCAGAAAACACTTCACAGCAGTTTGTAATATGTTTGGGTACAAATGTTACCTGGATGAACTTTTATTTGAACTTGATATGCCCCAATGATTTCTGGAGATCCATCCTCTGAAACTGAAGAACAAATTTAGGTTAGCTCAGAAACTGAATCACATTAAAATCAAACTTTGTCACCCACATCACATACTGTACCTGGAAATCCGTCTGCTAGCAGCAGACACAGAGACCCCAGCGCTGTCGCAGAGACACATGTTAACAACCAATGCCATAATACAGTCAAAATGAATAGGTTAGCGTTATAAAATATTACCTTTGACGACAGATGACAGCTGCATATTGACTGCTTCAGTGAGAGGTTCTTGCTGTTCACTGCCGTTTTGAAATACTATATATAGACAGAATTCACTTCCCCTTCTTCCACTCAAAACACATAATGCATGGACATAGACAATACAGGGAATTTCCTCACAAGCTGGCCCTCTCTTGTTACTGAGGGTTGTTTGACAAATCATGGTTACATAAATCATACCTCTTAGTCACCTGATTCCAATTATGTCAATATATGTCATCAGTAAACAAGCAGATGGTTTTAAATGTTGGAAACATAAACCTCAAGCATGCACATTTAAATCATCATCATACAAAGAAATCTAAACCATATGACATTTATTAACGGATCTTGATCAAAACATTGACAACAAAACAAAACGGTCATGTTGGGCTTGTTGTACATAGTCCCTTTTGGGACCTCAGATTGAACAGATCACATTAAAATAAGACTGGCACCATCAGCACTCTCACCAAGTTAAAGGATCATCCCGGGATGTTTTCTGTCCTCATCAGGTCAGATTTTGTTTGAACAGTTAATCGCTTTAGTCCAGTCACTAGCTGGTATCTTAGCTTTGTGCTTACTGGGTAGCTCCAATTTCAGAACTGTTTAAGTTCACCCAAATTATAGAAAAACATTATCTCACCTATAGCAATATCTAGCCATGCAGATATATCTGGCCAGGCTTTCTGCTGCCACCCCAATAAAATTTAGTTAGTAATGCCAACAGCATAGAAAAAGATATCTAAATGGTGGCAACAATGCCATCCCCAAAACTCTGAATAATCCACAGTCACAATGTCAACAGTTTCACGGGACTATTTCTTTGTTGGAAAGTAGTTCCGAAGAAAACAGCTGACAGAGTTGAACCTAGATACAGCTACAGCTAAGTGAGAACTTTTTTTTTTTTTTTTTTTTTAATTTAAGTGAACTGACCCTTTAATAAAAACAGTCATTAGTGTGAGCAAAAACAGAAGACTGTTTGGTTGACAGTGACATTCCTCCAATTTAAATCATACAAACTTAATGAAGTGAGATATTGCACAAAGGGTAACAGTCAAAGCAAAGCATGTTTTGCCAAGTTGGTAAGGATGAGTGTCCCTGAAGGCAGTGGGGACATTTTGAAATCCTGCAACAAGAAGTTCCATTTTCAGTACTGTATGAGGAATCCTCTGTTCGTGTATGATTAGCGCTTTTTTCCTCATGATGACAACGCCTCCGCTCCTATGGCGCACGACTCTCAGCACTTAGGAAACTCACCCATGTCACTTCAGCTCAAAATATGGAATTAGTGTCAAGCAGGTCAAACAGCTATTCGAATGATTACATAAGTGACGCATTTGCAAAATAACTCCAGGGGAAGTTTGTGGATACTGGTATGATGTATTTAAGAGGCAGAGGGAGCAATGATTTATGTTGATTTCCATTCAATATTTATTACTCATGTGTGATCAACATGAGGATGAAAAAACTCTAGCATGATCCTTTAAGTATTAACACACATTTAAGACATAAATTAGTGAAACGCACCTTTCTAATGATTTTGAGAACCGCTTTACTAGGTTGTAAGATGCACAAACCAATTATTAGGTGTAACGCTGTGTGAAGCAAATCCTGGGAAATTGAGACATCCAAATTCAAATTACTAATAAAATTCAAATAAACCGTAAATACAGATAATATGTGCCTATAAATATATACAAAAAGTATAGACACTTTTTATTGGTGTTTTAGTTCAATGTTAGGCCCACTCAGTCTTTTGAGCCAGTGCATAACTTTTCCATATGGCGTATATGTCCATATCTGCCAGTCGCGGGTCACTCCAGACCCAGGACGTAGTTGATACCTTGAACAAATCCAATAATAACAGGCTGCCAAGCCACCAAGTACCGAAGCCAATCTAAAAGTTGTCCATACATGACATGCGGCCTCTCCCAGCTAAAGAAAATGGGTTAAGGAAAATAAACTTTCAACAGCATTAATAAATAGATAATAAATGGTGAAAATTTGTGCCAATGTAATGTACAACTGATGGCACATGAATTCCTTTTCAGTTTCTGTGAAAGCATTATTTAATGTGTGGGGTTGCACAGTCATCACAGCTGTCTGAAGTGTGAACACTGAACCACAAAAAGGAACAGGAACTTGTGCTATAAAACCTATAAATGTTTCATTGCTTGTTCCTAACAGCCTGCAATAAGCTGCCTGAGAAATTCACCTACAGTTTACTTTAGAACTTCCTCTGCTACAAGAAAGAAATGAATGTTGATTGTGTGTCTGTGGCTGAAACTGTCCAGGTGAGGTTTAGATCTGAAAGTAGTTTGTCCTCCATGAGGTGTTTGTTTTGCCTGTCTTCTTAAGAGTTTGTGCATGAACATCACATATTATTATATATGATCTTTGCCTTAACACAGCAGCTCAGAAAAAAAAAAAACAACAGGTAAAGCTCATGTGTGAAGTTCCATAATAAGAAGGATACGGGTTACTGAACATCCTCTTCAGATCCACCTTCTCTTTGCAGTACGGGCACATCTGCTTCTTTCCGACGATACACCATCCTCTTATGCAGAACTCATGGAACCTGGACATGGAGTTAAGGCTCGGTACAGGAGAATGTGAGCAACAGTTCAAACCACTACACAGTCCTAAAAATTATTTCTTTGGAAATGGCAGCTTATTACTGAAATATGAAAACGTATCACATTTGTAGACAATGTGCAACAACGTGTTAGATCAATATTAATGGCCTTATTTAACCAAAGGAAAAAATACAAGATGTTTCAATTAATGTGTAAAATAAATATCTATAATAAAATCACACAAGTATAAATCAGACAAAATATATCAAAGTTGAATGATAAAAATAAGCTGTCAAATGTGCAGAGACTCGCATAGAACTGTAATGTACTGCAAGTTCTTTTTGCAAATCTCCCAACATACATTCACCAAGCACTTGATTAGGAACACCTATACACCTGTGTATTCATGCAATTATCCAAAAGGCCAGTCATGCAGCAGCAGTGCAGTCCATAAAATCATGTAGATACAGGTCAGGACCTTCAATTCATTTTCACATCAAACATCAGAATGGGGAAAATATGTGACCTGAGTGACAGACAGGCTGGTTTTAGTGTCTCTGAAACTACTGATCTCCTGGGATTTTCACACACATTCTCTAGAGTTTTTACTCAGAATGGTGTGAAAAATCAAAAACATCCAGTGGGCAGCAGTTCTGTAGATGGCAACGTCTTGTTAATGAGAGAGGTCAGAGGAGAATGGCCAGACTGGTTGGAGCTGACAGAAAGGCTACAGGACCTCTGATAACCAGTCTGTACAACTGCAGTGAGCAGAAAAGCATCTCTGAATGAACATGTCCAACTTTAACTCCATAGACCTCCATTGTATCATGTGCATCTCTTTATGGCCCCATCTTACCATTTTCTAATGGCACCATGAATGTGCAGATGATAAATCTGCAGAAATGATGTGATGCAGTCTTGTCAACATGGAGTAGAGTCTCGGGGATGTTTCCAACAACTGAGGCTGTTTTGAGAGCAAAGGGAGGAACTGCCTAATATAATCGTGGTGTTCCTAATAAAGTGCTTCATGAGTGTATATGTTAATAACTGTGAGATAACCAAATTCAGCCAATAACATTGGCCTGCTGATATTAGTTGTACTCTAACTATTAATCACAACATGCAATTCTCTATTCTTATTTTTAAAAAAGGGATTTCTACCCTGTTTAATTTGACTTATATTCAGCTGTACAAGAGGCAAGTTAGAAAGCACCAAAGAAAATCTGCAAGCGTAATAATAACTTGTAAATGAAAAAAAATATAGATATGAAAAACACCCACACAAAACCACAGTGACACTAGATAAGGTTGCATGTTATTTACAGTGTAGAAGCAGCAGAAGATAATAGTGGGGGAAGTAATGTAAATTCAGATGAACGGACAGTCATAACATTAACAGTCTGTTATAAAGGTCAAGTTAATTCTGTCAATTCCCCCTAGGGCTGTTAAATTAGTGCATGGTACAATTCCAACACAAATACATGACTATACTTTTTACAGAAATGAAATTCTGCATGGTGTGCCTTAACTTCTGTTTCACTGATACAGGTGATAATAGTATGACCATATGTCAATAACTGACAGGCAGGATACACATGGTTGCAGGATAATCTGTATGTGTTCTCAATAATCCCTTCCTCACTGACATCCACAAGAATGGGCTGACCACACACAGCACAGATATTGTCAGAGAGGTGCTTAGTTGGCATGCCAGACGCACTGTAATACTAAAAAGAAAAAAACATTTTAGGTTACAGTCACTACCATCAACGGGGCACATACACATACAGTTTCTGAAATCAGTCCACTTACCCCAACAGTTGAAGCCATGAAGTCTGCACACATTTCTGCAAAGTCTCTTCCTAGCACCCCGTAGTACAGACCATAGAATAGTAGTGAAACACCAAAGTCCATTGCATCCTCTGGCTTTATCCTGGACAGAGAAACCACCAAATGGAAATCATGGCTGTGAGTAATCTTGCTTCAGCTGTGTTCAGCGTCAACTTTTGTTTAGCAAACAGGACAGATATGTCTGTTTTATATATGGTGTTGATGCCATGCTAAAATAAGTGTCCAAAACACCTTAAAAGGTTTGTTTGTTTTAGATATTTGACCCTGCCTACAAAAGCTAAAAATCAGCTTTTCCAGAAAATTAAGAAATTTAAGACAAAGGCTCTGTCTCAAAGGCAAGGACGTGTCAAAAATTAAGTGTTATTTCAAGGTAGGAAGTAGAAAATATGTAGACCATGTCATTCAGGAAGGATACATAGGAAGTTATAAGATACCTTCCTGTTAGCCCTTTTTTTTTTTTAAGTATATATTGGTTCTTTAGGTGGGATGAGCAAGAATGACAACAAGTCCCTGTTGTGAATTTACAATTGAAACATTACACAATTGTAACATTTTCAATTAATTTAGTTTGAAAACAGTCAGAACAGATTGTGTAGTTATAGTGTAGTTAAGTGATGTCTGGAAAGGTGCTAAAATTTGTATCGTTTGGAAGGTTCATCCTGGTGCAGGATTCTTTGTCAATAAATGAACTGACTGCTTAGTATCAACATAATCTGTAAAAACAGCAGGACAAGTTTACTTTCAATAATCGACAGTGCTAAAACAAGAGTAGGTCAAAAGACTGGACCGTGTATGGTCAATATGTGAAATTGAGGATGCAGTTGAAAACTACTGGTGGTAGTGGAATCGCTATTTTCAAAAGGAAAGTAGCTAAAGACTCCTCGAAAAGTCACTAAATGTTGCCTGTGTTGTGATATGCTTATTAGCATATTCATTTGATTCTGTGGAGTGTCAGTCGGCTTCAGCCCTTTATCTGTTTGCTTCTCTCCTACTCTCTGTGCTGACATATAGAGTATTTTAATAAAGCTGAATTCTTAATAAAGCTGATCTCATTTACATGTTTTTCTGTTTCTGTGATCAGACAATGGAACAAGTATGAAATAGTGACTGAAACACAGCTCATTAAGGCTACATGTTAACCAGGAGTTGCCTCCAGGCTGTTCCAAAGCTGCTGCTCTACGCTGCTAAAATCCTAATTTTATAACCCTGACGTCATTTGAGAGAGAGGTGTGCCTCTCACTGACGGGGCAGTGCCGGCGACTTGCTTCTGTGGAAAGTAGATAAGGTTTGTCCAAAAAGTGACTTTGCCTTGTGTCCTCCACAGGACTCATTTTAAAGCTCTAGCAATACACATATTTCTTATCACAGATAGAGTATATCTATATTGGGATATATACTGGTCAAAGCCACGCCTGAAATCAGAGCAGTAACTAACCATTATTTTCCTTATCAATTAATCTGTTTATTATTTACTCATGTATTAGTTGTTTGGTTCTTCTTTTGACTGACCAACAATCCAAAATTGGAAGATATTCACTTTACTATAACAGATAACTGGAAAATCGAGATAATATTCACATTTGAGAAGATGGAACTTCTCTAATGTTCATTAAATTTAAATTTTCTTTAAAAATTAACCCAAATTCATCTATTATCAAACTAGTTTCAGATTAATTTGTTTGACAATTCATTGACTAATTGTTTCAGCTCTGCTTGACCTGAGAATAATATATTAGATACAGACTATCAAGCAGTATAAACTAAAAAAAAAAAATCTAAAATTAATATTATTACTGGAATCAATTAAAAATAGCGTCTCAGTCCAGCTATTGGGAAGAGAAGGAGGGGGTATTTGTCATTTCCTTGTCTAAATGGAAGTATACATGTATATCTTACAGTGACAACATATCTTTAAACTTATCATAAAATGTTTACTTTACTTGTCATGTGACCAGAGTTTACTTTAAATGCATACACCTGAGGTCATGAAGCAGGCAGTGAAAGAGTGTTGTTTGCTATTTCTTTCTGATAAAGTCAGTCAAATTCTTGTGGTCAAAACCACAGAGACATATTAAAAGAAAGAAAAAGGGAAAAAAGGTGGGGGAAAAACAACTTTCAATTTGGGTATTCAGATGAGGGAGGAGTAGTGTCTTGAAAGGCTGTAAAAAAAAAAAAAAAAAAAAAAAAAAGTTTGAAATTGAAATGGAAAATAAAATGTCAAGCTGGAAATGATGGCTACTCTTGACAACAGCAACCTAGAGTTTATTTTCAGTGGTTTAACAGAATACCCACTGAAATTGTTTAACAGATATGGTGCTGAATTGAGGGAATAAAAAGATAAAATGTAAAAAAAGAGGTTAATTTAGCACCAATGAAATGTTGTGGAACTGGGGATACACACCTGAATATTAGGTTAATACCAAAAAGTGTAAACATGACGACACTGTAGCCAACTATTCCTGTGGCATAGCTGATCTTGTAGAGCAGGAGGAACCACTTATACACCGACCTACAGAACCCAAAGAAAGGAGTTTGTCAGAATATGTTAAGGACGGTTCAATCCTCATTAATGGAAAGGCAGATCTCTTAATATACAGGGTATGGTAAAGTGTAAACAATTCTTATACCTTGGTGTGGTGCAGGCCAGTGGCTTGCGAGTGGCACGGTAGGAGATGTACGCTGTGATGACAGAGAAGATAAACCACGTGGTCAAGAACCTCCACCAGTGAAGTTTGGTAGTAAAGTAGAGAGGAACTACCCACATCTGGAACAGAGTCACCAGCTACAAGGCAGGACAGCATACATGTTAGAAGATGCATGTACATCAGGGATAAAAAAAAGTTACCACCGTCAGATATTGTGTGAACATAAAAACAGAGACAACATTTCATTTTTGCGTAGCATGGGACAAGTATGAAAATACCATATTTCTTGTTAACTGAGGAAACAAGTATTGATACAGTCACATGCTGTCACATGGATAGAAAATAAAAGACAATGCAGAGTTATGAGGGGCAACACTGTGTCAGTGCATGTTCTTGAATCTGTTCTTCCCCATCAACGCAAACACACAAACCCCCTAGCTCATACCTAAATTGTTTCTGTATCCAAAACATACAAATTCTGTGAATTATGCGTCTTCAGATGGTGGTATTTCCAAATTTTGCATAGTACATTTCAAACATTTTGCTTGTGTGTCTTTGTTGTCTTACATTGTATGACTTTGGATGTCTCTGTTTCCATTGCACAAGGACTAGCTGAGCAACAACCAGGGTGACTATGAGGATGAGCACCATCTCTGCGTGCATGGCCTCATGGCCTTTGTGTTTAGCATGCATTCTTGCATGCTCCACCCTGTGGAGAAAGAAGAACATACACGACTAAAGTTACGCAGCACAACTTGATGATTCATAACAATACAGGATAGGTGTGTCTCTGTCTGCATTAGACAGCCCTGTACACTGGTGTCTCCCAATGGTAAGGACTAGGAACTGTTTGAAAAGTGAACTTTTAATAACCAGAAATCATGAAATGTTACTGCACCTGGTCAGACTATGTGTTCAATACCCCCAAAAGACTATGTGCCCCCCCCCCCAAAAAAAAAAAACTGGCAAAAGATTTAATGTAGACCAGCTTCTCTGGACAGGGTGCTTGTTACAGTTCACTGCATTTCCTGATTCCTAGTTATTCAGTAAGTAGTGAGTGCAAAAAAGTTTCAATACCTAATCTAAAAGTTTTCAATTGGAATATATGTTCTTTTCATTACCAAAAATCTTGTGTATTAATGAATAAAAATCCTTGAAAGGAAAAGAGAGACAATTATCTATCCCCTAGATACTTTATTTATCCCCTAGGGGAAATGAATGTGTCCATTAGCTCATTGTTGATAATAATAATAATAATAATAATAATAATAATAATAATAATAGTTGATAATAAATAAACAATAATAATTAGATTATAGCCTGTTGTATAGCCTGATGGCAGTGGGAACAAAGGATCAAAACCACAACAGAGGCAAGTGTAATATCTAAATCACAAGAACTGCAATTTTTTTCATAAAGATAAAAAGTGTCCAGCCATACCATAAATGAATCATTGTGGTGTTACAGAGATGTCCCAGCCTACAAATCACTATTCTCAAGATGTAAGGGAACATGCTTGTTTGGTACAAGCCCCAGCAAAAATCACATCATCATCTTTTTGATATTTTTTTCCATTGAAAATTAAATGCAAAAATTACCATTCCAACTGAAATTGTGACTCATGTCGCAATGGTAGTATCTGCCAAAACAATGGCATTTTTTTTTGCATATTGTTCAGCCCTATTGTATAGGTTACAAAAATAAATGCATGATCCATTAAGTGTCGTAAAGACACTTACCTCCACTTCTCCTCTGGTGAAAGCTTGGACACATCAAACTAAAGACAGAAAAAGACAAAATAATGAGTATTACAGTTAATACTGTACAAATTAAGCAGCCATAGAAACTGATAACACAGCTTAGACATTTTCGGGAAATTTACACACTTGGGGGGGGGGGGCACTGTATAAACCTTTTTGAACACAGAAACAACATTTGTCCGTCTGAGCCAGATTCAATGATAATTTGTAGTAAGGTAAGAGCTATGTTAGGAGTTCTAAAACTGCCATATAACAAGACAGTCACAACTGATAGCTAATAACAAAATAATCACACCAAACTACTACATTAAGAATCCACCCTCCCACAGTTAGCATTAAAATTAGCTATTTGTAAGTTTTCTCTGCTGCCAAACGTGGTTTCTTACTGATGACAAGTGAGTGTGAAACACAAAAAGTCTCTCCACACTTAGTTAAAAATATTCTGTCTCACTCATCGTCATCTAGGAGTGCTTGTATGTTCTCTTATGACTTTAAAATCTTAAGACACAGGGGAAAACTGGCTACCAGGGTACAGTAAGTCCCCAACTTACAGATTTCCATTCAAACCACATAAACTTGATCATCAGTGAACCAAACATAAGGATATACTGTGTATTCTTTCAGCCTATTGTTATGCCAGACATGCAGCTATTCTGCCTTTGCTGCACATTCACAAACTATAACTCACATGATAGACTGTAATAACTTCAAATGGTTCATTTTGTAGCGTCTTACACTTTGAGCTCTGACATCAGTTTGACCTTAAAGTTTGGTGTGGCCATAAGATTGAAATCCCACCGGAAGTGGTTTGGTGGCCTCCCCTGTTAAACACTGATTAACCACTTGGCCCTTCAGAAAAGGCAATAACCTTTGACCCGATCAGCCACATCAGCTTCATTAGTAGAGTTAAAAGTCGATATATCAGTGATTTATGAACATAACAGTATGTACGGGTTTGGAAGCAGCTCTAATAAATGCTATATTTTGACAAATAACATCTCAGGTTCATTAACCAGATAAAAGCATGACTTGAACGTTAGCCGGCTAGCTAGCTTAGCATTTTCAATAGCTCACAGGGCGTTTCTCGCCTGCCCTATTGATTTTCTTGAACGAAGCACAACCAGTCGTGCTCATTGTACAATGCACTTATGCACCTAACCCGGCACAATACCTTTGCTTGGTAACAGATGGCTGTGTAACAGAGGCTAGCTTCTTACGTTATGCTAAACCGTGAATAGCAGCTAACACAAGAGTTCCGTGTTGGCAGCTAGCAGACCAGTATAAATTCACCCCCATCTGTTTTATCTGTCATGATGCCTCGGTGTGGCCCATTCCTCTCACCTGGTTCGGTTCATCGTGATGCTCCAGTCCATGATCGTGCTCCACTCCATCAACCTCCACCTCAAACACCCCGGCCATCTTCGGAGTGCTGCTTTACTGTTCCGGGTCCATTAGCATTAGCAACAAGCCTAAGACGGCAACTTCCAGTGTTGTTTGTCTTTTCCCTTCAAAATAAAGGTTTCTTCTTCGTCTGAGATTTTACGACAGTTGGCATCCACGGTATTGCATTACTGTCACCTTCAGTTTTTACTCCCCTTCAGCGTCCATTCATTTTAAACCAATCTTTCCAGTCCAGTCGTCCTGAAAAAGCTAAATAACCATTTCTTCGGTTGAACACTGTCTCCATTTCTAATATACTTTTAAAGTGTCCTTTTTCGTAATTGTGTGATCATTCCTCTCACATTTGCATTTCTTGACTTCACTTACTTTTGTTAAGTGTATTGTTAAGGTTGCTGTGCCCATTTCTAACCCTGCTTGTTTGCCATTTTATTCCTTTCAAAGTAAAGTTCGGGTGTTTAATGTAGGTCAAATAAGTATTGATAAGTTGAATTGAATTCAAGTCAGTTTGCAAGTTAGAATCGGACAGTCTACTAATTAACTTAGACAGCCATTTACAGAGAGTTATTTAAAGCAAATTTGATGCGCCTGTGAGGGGTAAAACTGAAGATTGAATGAAAACATTGACTGACATTGGTGGAAGAATCTTTTATAAAAAAAGAAAAATAACAATGCAACAGTGCATTCAAAATCTAGCATCAAAATAAAGTAAAAAATAGTAAAAGTACAGTGCTGTAATATCATTGTCATGTTGCAGGTGGTAAAGGTGGTAAAGGTGGGGCAAGGTATGTAAGGCTGGGTAGCTTATCACAATACACCATAAATCATTGGTTAATTATTAATAACCTGAATCAGCAAAGTAACTGTCAAAACAATGTACTGGAGTAAAAAGTACAATGTTTCCCACAGAAATGTGATAGAGAAGAAGTATAAATTAGCATGAACCAGAAATACTCAAGCAGAATACAAGTATTTCAAAAATGTACTTGAGTGCAGTTCTTGAGAAAAGTTAATATCAACTACTGGATGGTGAATGTAAAAATCACTCAGACCAAATACTTTTGAAAAATGTAAAAAATGCAAAAATATTGCTAACTGGAAAAAAAACATTGTAGTATTCCCTGAAGTTTTGTGATAGTTGTTTATGAGTATAACTCTTTTGGCCTACATACTTGCTGTACTTATACTTTTCCCCAACTTTAAACTTTTCAAATTTTTATTTGCATTTCTTGAATATGCAACAATGTCTGTCTGAAGTGCCACTGAAACGGGCTGGTGATTATCATTGTTAAGGATGTCACCCCTGTTACAGTAATATACTATACTCATAGGACTTATAGCTGATATATTTAAAGACTGATATTTATATTTTGTATTTTCATATGATTTAAAATTCATTACCAAAGTTAATTCATGTAAGGGAGGAAATTAATCAAAGTGACACTCGTGTGGTTGTATGTAGTGTTATTACAACTTGTTTACTGCAACAAACAGCACATATGAAGCAGTAATCCTGCTGTTGCAATAAAGCTGATGATTATATGATGTAAGAAGACCTGTTGTTTGGAAATATCCCGCCAGATTTCAACCGGAAAAGGCGACCGGAAGTTATAAAATAGCCTGAGTGATGGAATGTGATTGGTGTAGGAGTCGGTCGGGGTCTTCTCTGATTGGCTGAGCCGCTGACACAAAGCATTGTTACTGGTCTGTGGGTTATTGGCGCTCTCAGTTTGAGATTCAACTGTGCGGGCTGATTGTTCTCACAGTATAATAACCTGCTATAATCACACTCATTTTATTCGTTTGGACTGTCCAGGCGAGAGGATAACACCAACAACGACTGTCTGAGGAAACCATCTGCTTTGCCAACATGCATGTGATTAAGCGAGGTAAAGTGGCTAACTTCAATTTTTTTGGCTGTCAGATAAGGCAATGTTAGGGTGCGGGAGATGTGTAATACAGGAAAATGCTATGATAAGTGTTAATACTGCAAAGAAATACCACACTTTAGCTATTCCTCATCTCAGTTTCATGTCATGTTAAAATGTGTTTTTTGTTTCTTTGCGCGGGGTGTTTCCGTCGAGACTTTAAACAAAGAGCAAACAAAGAGTTATGAAAGGAAAGAGACTGAGTTTATTATATTGTATTTACAATTATACTATTATTTTATACACTTTTTACACACTATGATACAGCTAAAATTTAACACTTTTTTGAATACCGGCGTCACAGCCAAGACGTTAACAACTTTTGCTCTCTAGCCACTTAAGCAAAATAAAGGCGCTCACATCACTAACTGTACTCTATAATTATGTGTACGAAGAGGGTTATTGTTGACAGGCACTGGCATCTGTTGTAATGGCGCGAAACAGGTGTCTTCCTGTTGTTGCCATAATAACTGGTTGGGTAGGTTAGGGAGTCGAGTTAATAGATAATGGTTCTGATGTGATTGTATTCATCAACAAACCCGGAAATTAACTGCACTTCAGAAAATGACAACAGAGGAGGAGGAGAAAGTTTACTAATGTTGCCTGTTGTTTTTCAGATGGCCGCCAGGAGGGAGTTACTTTTGATAAAATCACCTCTCGCATTCAAAAGCTTTGCTATGGACTCAATTCTGACTTTGTGGACCCTGTAAGTTCAAACTACATTGAAACTGTCTTTACAAAAACCCTGCAATTTTTTAAATAATCATCATCTCTGTGTCTGCAGACCCAGATTACAATGAAGGTGATCCAGGGTCTGTACAGTGGTGTCACCACTGTGGAGCTGGACACTCTTGCAGCTGAGACTGCTGCCACCCTCACCACCAAACACCCTGACTATGCAATCCTGGCTGCACGAATAGCTGTGTCTAACCTGCACAAAGAGACCAAGAAAGTATTCAGTGGTGAGTAAAAGTGTGAAGTTACCATTTAAAAAAAAAAAAAAAAAAAAAAAATTATGAAGTGAAATTATGATGCTCTCTGGTGCAACATCTTTGGTAAATGATGGAGCTGCACATTGTGGTGTCATGGTTTCCCTCAGGAAAATGCCTAGCCTGGGTAGTTAGCCACCCAGATCTTGACATGTCTCATCTTGTAATCATTTTAATTAGTAAATAACAGCCTTAATAATAGCCACACTTATTTAATACTTAGCATTGGCTGTGTCCTTGATTTTATGTTTAATTTCATTATGTAATTCAATCAAATGTATTATTTTTTATAATGTTGGTGGAGGTGGTCTTTGTGTTCTGCTATAAAACAGTGATTCATTCAATTCTGTTAAAGTGGTAAAAATCATTTTTACTAGTATTACACTTTCTCTCCTTTTTTGCTTTTGTAGATGTGATGGAAGACCTGTACAACTATGTCAACCCATTAAATAAGTGCCATTCTCCTATGATCTCCAAGGAGACGCTCGACATTGTCCTTGAAAACAAGGCTGTACGTCACCTTTGATGCCATATTTTTGTTCATGTTTTCAAACATGAAGTCACTGTAATTGTGTTTTGAATTTTTGTAATAATGTCCTTCTATTCTTTGCAGCGCCTCAACTCAGCCATCATTTATGACAGAGACTTCTCTTACAACTTCTTTGGGTTTAAGGTAATTACTAATTTTTTCTAGTCATACATTTGACATCTTACCCAGATCCTTGGCATATAAATCTTATTTGTCCTTTTGCTCTAATAGACTCTTGAGCGCTCGTATTTGTTGAAGATTAATGGCAAAGGTGAGAGTTGATTTTCTTTTTTTTTTAACTTGAGAAGCATGTCCTTTGTTGTCTGGATGTTTTTTTTATTATTGGTTTGATTGCTTTTCAACCTCTGTTTCTGCAGTTGCTGAGAGACCCCAGCACATGTTAATGAGAGTGGCTGTCGGGATTCATAAAGTAGACATTGATGCAGCCATTGAGACCTACAACTTACTGTCAGAGAAGTGGTTCACCCATGCCTCACCTACACTGTTCAATGCTGGCACCAACAGGCCACAGCTGTCAAGGTAAGGACTACAAAAATGTTGGCATTTGTAGGCCTTGAGTAAAGTTGACCAAATGTCTGAAACTTTATTTTAAACTGGATTCTTGATTCTTGATTTTTTTTTTTTTTTTGTCCTGATCTACTTTGTTTGGGTTTTGGCAGTTGTTTCTTGCTCACCATGAAGGATGACAGCATCGATGGTATTTACGACACACTGAAGCAGTGTGCCCTCATCTCCAAATCAGCTGGAGGTATTGGATTGGCAGTTAGCTGCATTAGAGCAACAGGCAGCTATATTGCTGGGGTGAGCAAAATACACATTAGAGAGTAAAATCAAGGAGCAATAGAGGAGCTTTAATTTACACCATGTATGTTTTTTATATAACTTAATGTGGTTCATGCATTTCAGACAAATGGCGTTTCCAATGGGCTGGTTCCTATGCTTCGAGTGTACAACAACACAGCACGTTATGTTGACCAGGGTGGCAACAAGGTAAAGACTGAGATTCACAATAGAAACAGAAATGTTGCTTGACATTGTTGCTTCAGAGACACTTCTAGTGGTAAATTTAGTCACCTGACTCTTTGTGTTCCCCTGTTCAGAGACCTGGGGCCTTTGCTGTGTATCTGGAGCCGTGGCATTTCGATGTATTTGAGTTCTTGGAGTTGAAGAAGAACACAGGTAAAGAGGAGCAGAGGGCCAGAGACCTGTTCTTCGCTATGTGGATCCCGGACCTCTTTATGAAACGAGTGGAAAGCAATCAGGTGAATACAGAACTCAGATCCCACATATGTGGCATATGTCCACAGTTTGAATTACGCTATATATTCTATAATCTACTGTATGTTTTCTGCCGGCTTTAATACTTCTAGGCTCCGGCTAAAATGTTGAACATTACAGTTTTTGGAAAAGTCTCATTGTTCCTCTGATATTCTTGTAGGACTGGTCTCTGATGTGCCCCAGTGAGTGTCCTGGATTAGAGGAGTGTTGGGGAGAGGAGTTCGAGAAGCTCTACACTCAGTAAGATCAATAGACTAAACACTGTTCTCAACACTCAGCTCATTTCTCAGCTAACTTGTCTCGTGAATCCTGTTTGTCCTCAGATATGAGAAGGAGGGCAGGGCTAAGCGTGTGGTGAAGGCTCAGCAGGTGTGGTATGCCATCATCGAGTCACAGACAGAAACTGGTACACCATACATGCTCTACAAGGACGCCTGCAACAGGAAGAGCAACCAGCAGAATTTGGGCACCATCAAATCCAGTAATCTGTGCACAGAGATAGTGGAGTACACAAGCAAAGACGAGGTGAGGGGATGAAGATATTATATCGACATCTATAGATTTAGCTGTAGCTGCTAGATTTCTGTAAACTTTATTTGAACCACAACATTATTTTGTAAATATTATTTTTTAAATGTATTTCTTCTCTCCTTAACTCAGGTTGCAGTATGTAACTTAGCATCCATTGCCCTCAACATGTACGTCACCCCAGAAAGGACCTTTGACTTCAAAAAGCTTGCATCTGTCACCAAAGTCATCGTCAAAAACCTGAACAAGATTATTGACATCAACTACTACCCAGTGCCTGAGGTATGCTTTCTTGTCTGGTGTTGCATCTCTATCAACCACACAACCGGGTCTTGTGTGCTCAGTGTTAACAAATGGCTCTTCTGTCTTCTGTCCTGGTGTTCAGGCTGAAAGGTCCAACAAGCGTCACCGGCCAATTGGAATTGGTGTGCAGGGTCTGGCCGATGCCTTCATCCTCATGCGTCATCCATTTGAAAGTCCAGAGGCCCAGTTACTGAACATTCAGATCTTTGAGACGATCTACTACGCTGCCTTGGAGGCCAGCTGTGAACTTGCAGAGGAGCTTGGTGCTTATGAAACCTACACTGGCTCTCCTGTCAGCAAGGGAGTGAGTAGTTTTCACAATGTCTCAAATCCATCCTGGGATACAGTTGAGAAGCTTAGGCTCAGGTCCTAACTGATTTTGTTTTCCAGATCCTTCAGTATGACATGTGGGATAAAACCCCGACAGATTTGTGGGACTGGAAGGCATTGAAGGAAAAAATTGCCAAGTAAGTCTTTCTGAATGTTTTCCTTGTCTCATATCTACTGTGTGTGGAGATTTTAGCTCATCTCTGACTTGCACCTTCCTCTGGCCCTGTGTGTTTTCAGGCATGGTGTGAGGAACAGTCTGCTCTTAGCCCCCATGCCCACAGCTTCCACTGCCCAGATCCTGGGCAACAATGAATCCATTGAGGCGTACACCAGTAACATCTACACCCGCAGGGTGCTCTCAGGAGAGTTTCAGGTCAGCACTGAATGCATCTGCTGTCTTTTGCACCAAAGTTGCATGTCCACAGAGGGAAGGGTTGCTAAGTGTAATTTTTGCCCCTCCTATAGATTGTGAATCCTCACCTCCTGAAGGACCTCACAGAGAGAGGACTGTGGAGTGATGAAATGAAGAACCAGCTCATTGCTCAGAACGGGTCAATCCAGGTAAAGGGTCACACTTAAAATCTTAACTGATTAAATTATTCATATCACTGCTTTAAACGCTCTTATGATTTAATTTTTTTTTAATGTCTGATTTATCCGCAGGATATTGAAGAGATCCCTGATGATCTGAAGCAGCTGTACAAAACTGTGTGGGAAATCTCCCAGAAGACTGTCCTCAAGATGGCAGCAGATCGTGGAGCTTACATTGACCAGAGCCAGTCCCTTAACATCCACATTGCTGAGCCAAACTATGGCAAACTGACCAGCATGCACTTTTATGGTTGGAAGTTGGTAAGTCAGGACTCAGGGAAAGTAGGCTTGATGCATGCTGCATTGCAGGGCCAGAAACACCTTAAAGCCTGTATTCTTTTCTCTGCAGGGCCTGAAAACTGGCATGTACTACCTGCGGACGAAGCCTGCTGCCAACCCCATTCAATTCACCCTGAACAAGGAGAAACTGAAGGAGGCCCCGTCAGACAAGAGCGTGGAGGAGGAGACCAAAGAGCGCAACACAGCTGCCATGGTCTGTTCCTTAGCGAACAAAGATGAATGTCTGATGTGTGGCTCTTGAATGAAGTGTTCATTCAGACAAGTGCACTCCCCCTTTAATCACGGGTTTTCCCATTGACAATGTATTATTTTGAAACAGCATGTGCTTTTTATTTGTATATGACGTCCCAAAAGTATTTTACAATTGCCGCTGTCTTGAACTCACAAATCTTTGCAGTTTTTATTTAATATTTGCTTAATTTCCTTCATGTGGTATGTATAGAATGAAGAAGGTGTAATGAATTAATAGTCACCCTTATTTTTTTTATATAGTTTTGTAATAAGTGTGTGTGTTTCATTAATGAACTGTTGATCTGTATTTTAGGTGTGGAAAATTAAATTTGTTATGCAATGGTCTTGATTTAACTCTTACCTTTGCCATTTCATTATAGTCATGAATATGTCAATCTTGAATTATCCCCCAAAATCTAGCATATATACAAACTTTATGTCATTATACATATTTAGATCTGCATTTATCAAAGCAAGAACTAAGGTAAAAAAAAAAAAAAATCTACCTAGACAAATGCAAAATCATAATGGCAAAGTAGTTAACATGCTGATCTTAATATTTCATGTTTATTAGGAAATGAGAGCCAGGGAAGTGAGGCTTCTTTATCACAGGAGATGTAACAGCTGCTCTAACGGGATGATGATTGTGATTTGCTGGTGACACAACATGCCAGTAAGAAATGAATTATTTTTTGCTGGTGAATGATGGAAAATGTTTTAACTTTCTGTGCTCATGGTGATGACATCAGTCATGCAATACTGCAACAAAGGTCTACATGCAAAGGTGTTTTTCCAGTGGGAAACTTTGGATACAGTGTCTTGGGGCAGGAAATGCTGCAGGTGAGGTGGTGAATTAATGAACTGGTGTGTTCATGCATGCAACCTCATGGGAATCTCATGGGTATGTGTAAAGCAAGCTGAGACTTGCACTGTCACGCTGTAGTATCACATGTAGGTCTGCCACCTACCAAAAAGAAACACTAAGACAACATTAACTGATAACTTCAGTCAACAGAAGTAAGAAGTATTACAGAGACAAAGCCAAATGTAATTTTAAAGTATTTAATTATTTTACAAAGAAAGAATTGTGCGAAACATTAATCGAACGCATGGCTATTTTCTTCTGATATCTGAGTATCATATGATGAGAAACCAGAGAATCTTTGCCATTAAACAGAGAACTTTGAAAATGGAAGTGAAGAAGACAGGAACACCCAGTGTGAATGAGCAGTGAAACTACAGATTTGCCCTAATCAGCTGACAAATAAACTCCACCCCCATAATGTGCAGTTTGAGGTCATCACTACTTTTAGTGTCCTAATTAGTGTAATTTCCTAGTCACAAGGCACTTTTCTGAGGTGTACTGGTGTAAGTTGTCTGTTATACTAAACATATCTCATCAGGCTGCTGACTTACTTTTTTGGAGTTAAAACTGTTGGTCAATTTAAAATGTGATGAGAGGATTAGCAACAGAATGATCTCTTTCTTGGTAATTAATTATAAGAGAAGAGTTTCCAGAACTGTGAAAATCGAATTTATCTTTATGACTAATTCTTTTGAGGCTTTCTTGTGTCAGAGGAATACACAGTCACGTTTTTCACGCAGCATGTGAGTAGAATCATCCAGAAAGCTATAGGTTTTTGCAGGACTGGTTACACGACATGAAACGTTTTTCAATGTTTCAGTGATAAAGATTAGAACCCATAAATGAATCTTGATTAAACCATACAAAAACTTAAGTGTAAAAATGTCAGTTTTCTGTTTTATCATGGGTTATGTGCTGGACTATATTTATACTGTAATATACCCCAAAAATGTGAAACTTTTGCTAGTAACCCCAAGAGGCAACCACATTCATTATTACCTCATAATATGAAAGTGTGGATTATCATAATCAAGTCTCTTGGGAGCATAAATGTGCTAAATAAATTTCATGACAGTGGGCTGATTAGATTATAAAATGTCCTGTATACAAACTGACATTTCATTTGCTGGCACTTAGTTTTCAAGGTACCTTGTACAGGACCAAAGTTTTGACCAGTCTAGACTAGGCTAGACCAGAAGCGTAAAAATATTATCTCAATCTGATCTGTAGTTGTTTAAATATGTAACTTTGGGACAAACTTTCACCACCTTTAGCGCTGTCACTATCCAGAGCCAAAATGAAGAAGCTGCAGACTTGAAATCTCCAAGAAGTCACTGCTCATTTGTGTAGACATAGAAAAAGTGGGACATCACTAAGGTCTCACTAGCGACCCATCGATTGACCCCTCCCCTTCTTGTGAACCAAAGCCTGTGTCCTGGGAGCTGCTGCTGCCTGTTGGCGAGGGAATGGTTTTCTGAACTCCAGGTTTGTCGTTGCTCTCTCTGACACCAGACTTCTCAGCTACATTATGCTCGAACTTTCTACCCTTCATCCATCTGGCCTCCACTTTTTTTTCTTGCAGCTCTATGTCTTTGAACTTATTTACTAATTTCTTTGTCTCTGTCTTTTCATTGCTGACTTTGATGCTCTCAATTGGTTCAGTAGTTGCCTCTGTGTGTTTTTCACCAATCTTTGCCCCTGTGTGTATCTCTTCTTCCCTTATATTTTCTGCTTCATCCTGTGTGACCTCGGCTTTCATCTTTTCTTCAACATTGTTAAAACTTGCTCCTGCTGCCCCCTCCTCTTTTATTTTATTGTACATATTTTCATTTTTGTCTGCTTCGACCTGCTCTTCCTTCTCAGTTTCCTTTTCATCTTCTGTCTCTATTTTAGCTCTGCCTTCCTCCATCTTCACCACATCACAGTCCGTTACCTGCGTTGTCCCCTCTGCTCCACATTCACCCACCTGATTCTGTTGTGTGTCTGACTCCTGCTTTGCATCTGCAACTTTTTCTTTATCAACCCCTTCGTCTTCATGGTGAACTGTCACTTGAAGTGATGTGTTCTTGTCCTCTTGTCTGCTGTTAAAACCTCTGAAATTGTTCTTGGCGCCAATTATGTATTTCCCTAGTATGGAGGAGCCATCCTTGGTCAACGCATCACTTGGAATGTGTCCGTCATCCATCAGAAGCTGCTGGATCACTTTCATATCACTGTGCATCCTGCAGACTGCTTTGCTCAGCTCAGTGATGCGATTACCGATATCTGGGGGAAGATAATCCCTCAATCAAGACACAGCTTTCAGACATTTGAATACTAAATAATCCCACCCAGTTTCTACAGGCTGGAAGATTGAATCAAATACAATCAAAATCAATCAATCAATAACTGCTGCAAATAATTATATATATTCTCTTTCTACCAATGTATATAACTTTTTTTTGCAAGGCAATAGTATCATGTCTAATCTATTGTATTTAATACCTCAAAAAAGTTGTTTTCTTCTTCTGTCAACAATTCTGTCTAAAGCCATATTCAAAATAACAGGATTTACAATCTGGCTCCAAAGTGTTAAATATTAAATAAATAAATATTTATGAATTAAATAATCATATGTAACATGTATAAATGAAAAGAACATATAATTTGTGAAAGAATCTAAGACATTTTTATTTCATACCCCTTTTCAAATGACAGTGATTTCATGACACTTTTTCATTCCATGTCACTTTTCATGACAGTAAATATTCCTCCAAACCACTCAGAAGCTTTTTTATCTGCAGGAGAGGAGGAGGGTTCCATGCACAAGTAAGTTAGGTGTGTGAGACAACAGACAGATTGGTACCAGTGTCACAGTTACCTTTCCTCTTGGTCTCCTCAAACTCCCTGCGAGCTGACTCAATGTAGCGCTGCACCAGAGCCCTGATCACCTGCTGCCGGTAAGGTAACTGGCTGTCTTCAGATCCCTTATCATTGGACTTAGTAGATAATACAGACATAAAAGAGACAGGGTATAATTAGCGAAGAATGTGTATATTGAAATAATTTTTTAACTACAGTCACATTGACTCCAAAATGTGAGCATTAAACACACACTTACCATAGAGGCTATCGGGGGATATTTTTGCTCAGAATTACAAGAGCAGCAGCAGCAGATTTGTTTGAAGATACCCCTGGAACAGAATTTGAATTGAATGAATAAAAAAAAAACTACAAAAAATGATGATGTGTCTTTGCAAGTTAAAGGTATTTTGAAGTTTCAGAGCTCACCTTAAGATGTAAAAGACAGCTTTGGGTGAGGGGATGATGTTGAAGGGTACAGGTATGGTGAGGCCCTCTCTGAAGTAGCTGAGGTACAGCTTTGACCGAGCAAATTTCCACTCAACATCTGCATCATCCTGAAATAATAGCGACAATCAGTAGGGTTTCTCCCTTTATTGCAGGCATGACATAAAAAAATCTCTCTTTACCTCAATTTTCTGAAAGGAGTTGGTGATCATAGCAATAAGCATGTTGAGCAGGATGATGACAATGACGAGCGTGAAGATGCCGTACAGAATCCGTCCTACAAACTCTGCCAACACAAACTGTGGCATGTCCACGTAGTCCTGGTTGGCCACGCCAAACATGGTCCAGAATAAGAAGTGGAAGGTCTCATTAAACCTGCAGCAGAGCAGTGGAGAGTGATATCATGATAAAACTGATGATAAATCACACTATGATTTAACTAACCATTCTTAGAAGAGGAGCATACTGTTCCCCACAGAAACTGTCCGGCACAACTTCTGTATTCACAATTTTTGGGAGCACTTTTCACAGTTTTCACACCAAGATGCCAAATGGAGTTTGTTTTAAAGATTCAATTCAATCATTGAAACCAGCATGATTAAATTGATTCAAATTGTTGAAACAACAGTATAAACAGTCAAAATAGAAAGGTATTCATCAAGGTAACTCCAATATTAATGTATTTGAAATTTGTGTATTGGTTAATACGTAATCTGGTTTAAGGAAAAACTGATACTGGATTTTTGAGATGTATTGATAATGATTGATCCGACAATATGCTGTATCAGCTGATGTTTCATCAGCTATGATGTTTTTATGTAAAATAATAATAATAATAATTTCAGCTGATATTGGAAAATAGCTAAATAAACATATTTTCCAAAATGTCAGACTACTCTTTTAAAAAGATTATGTGAACCATGTGAACTCATATTTGTCGCCTCAGGGTCAGCACAGATTCCTACCTGCCAAGATGTGGAGAGATGACGTAAGGAACATAGACATTGTTGATGCCACAGAGGAAGGCTGTTCCAATGATCATCAATATAAACATAAATCTAAAAAAGAAAAAAAAACATTCTCACTGGTTCTGTCATGTGTCCTGACTTCCCTTGCAGGCAATGACCAATATACAAATATGCAAATGTATAGTGAAGGAGGCAAAATTAAAAGTGCTTGTACCTCATCATATCGTCAATCATCTTTCCGATGGAGATCTGCAGAGTTCCCAGAGACTCATGGGCTGGCAGGATGTACGCCAGCCGTGTGAAGCTCAACATGCTGGTCACTGCAAACAGCACCTCGGCAATGAGCTGGGGGTCCTCCTGATGCCAGTCCTCACGCACTGAGGGACAATTTCACACAGAAACAGACCAGTTGAGCATAAAGAACTTAAGAAGACGTCCAACAATCAATTTGGACAAATTCTGTGACAACATTTTCTCACCAGTCTGGGTGAAATAAACACACTCCTCTGCGCCGTTATGATCATGGCAGAGGAGGTAACCTTTGAGCATGATGAGCACACGTAACGCAAAGGACGCCAGGTACATGCTGAGCACCATCATGTCCAAGCAGTTCCACCAGTCCAGGAAGTAACTCCGCAGCCCCTCGATCCACACTTCCTTACACTCATACCAGAAGAATCCTACAAGCGACATCACAGCATGAGCCTGATATAAACCCTTTTTCTTTTTAAGGTAAGAATTTTTTTTTGAATGTTTTTTATTACGAGTTAGAATAGAGAGAGTGAACCTACCAACCACCCACACCATGTGGAAGGAGCTGTGCAGCATATTCTGCTGCCGGGAAGCGAATTTGTCTCGATACATCTCCATTGTTATTGATTCTCCAAGCAGTGTGATTAGAAACCACAGATAGGAGGCTGAGTGAAGGAGGAATTTGATCACAGGAATCTTAAGGATCTTTCCTACCTGGAGAAAACACAAGAGACATTGTTAATTTGTTATTTTCTTAATTGAATGCCTCTCATGACAGTCTATGAAACTTTTACATTGATTTAAGATACAACTCAGTTGTCACAGTTTGTCAGAAAGTATAAGAATTCTCTACATTTGGAGACTTTTGGGCAATGTGACCTTTGACTTTGGTGCAATCCAGTAGACAAGGCAGAGGAAAGGCATGGTGAGGAAGATCCCCACGGAGACAAACAGCTTCCAGGCCGTCCTGCTGCCTCTCCAGCCTGCCAGGTTCCCACACCAGATTGACGAAAGTACCTGCTGGCAGATTGGGTGTGCCACAAACTACACGAAAACAGACACGCAGAAAGGGAGACAGAAATTATGGATCAAGCATATGTCTCCTTTGACTTGTCTTTGGTTGACAGCGGTTTTTGCATCTAGTTACCTGCTTCTGGTTGTAGTTGACAGCAAGCCGCAGTCGTGACAGGTTGGGTATTCCCTCCTCAAAGGCCTGCTCTTGTAAGGCATCCTGGCTCTCGTCTCCACAGCTGTTAAGGATGGTGGTGACCTCGCTCTGGTTGCGACACATGCCCAGCAACTCAACGGCAAACTCCTGACAGAGCTGTTCCAGGCCAAGGTACTGAGGCTGCAGGAGAGAGGCATCACAGCCAAGGTCAAGCAACAGCACAAACACCCAATATCAACAGTAAGCGGGGATATCAAGGAATATCATCACACCTTGAACTCTGGCTCTTTTTGTGAGAGCTTCCGGAGCTCTCTGCTGAGACTGAAAGCTCTGAGCATGGCATCATCAGAAGTGATGGACAGGTAGGCACGGCTGGCGATGCCACGGTAGGTGTTAATGCGAGACAAGGAGAACTTCAGCAGGTCGTACTGCCGCCCGTTTCGACATTCCAGACAGGCGCAGGATATCTTATGTGGCCATGGGATGATGTGACCTTTTTGGGTGAGCATGGTGACTATGTCATACAGGTCTTTCTGGCAGGCTAAGGTCAGAGGGGTGACACCGGGGGCAAACTGGGAATTGTCAATAGAGTGGTCAAAGATGGCCTGAGAGAAGGAGCGCACATCCATCTTGTTGCCTTTCTCTTGGTCCAGGCGGTCCAGCAGACGCTTCACCACTCTGGGCTGGTTGGTGTCCACAGCAACCAGCAGGGCCTCATGAATCTGACGGAAGTCAAACTTGACCCCCTGCAGGAGGGTGTCCATGGCATCCTCATTGCCCAGGCGGATGGACAGGTTGAGGGCCTCTCTCCACTGGCGGTCCTCAGATTCATCCAGCTGACGGATGATGCCATCACCGGTTTTCAACAGTCCACACAGCAGCTCTATTTTCCCTTCCTGAATTGCACTGATGAGCTCCGGAGGGAACAGCATCTTCTTGTTCATAATCTCGCGCCATTGTTCTGGCTGAGGGACAGGACAGGACAGTCAGCAGCAGTATTACATGTCTATTCACACATATTTAAGAAATGAATGTCAGATATCAGGGAAAAGGCAGTTTACAGTTTGAATTCATAAAAGCAAGTTAAAGTCTGGACAAAATGTTGTTTCTGTAGAAAAATTAAAGGATGTACAAAAATTGAAAGACATAACATATAGTACAAATGAATGCATGACTGAGAACATTTTGTAACGTTAAGAAAAACACAATTAATAAATAAAATATAGATTATATATTCTGGATGATGACATAAAGCCGTTTAGAGGATACATGGAGCATGGTCTCCATAGATTTAGCCTGATTTTTATCCTCACTACATTTTTTTAAATTCCAGTCTATTTTATCACAAATTTAAAGAACCACGTGTACATCAAACTCTGCTTACCGTGAGGTTTTCCATCCCTTATGACAAAACAATACAATTCTGAGCGACGTTCCTAAGTGAAGACACAATCACATTCTCTGGAGACCTGAAATAAATCCTTTTTGCCAGCTATTTTGAGCTTCAGCAATGAAGATGAGAGATATCAGTAGGTTTCAGAAGCAGCTCCAATCAGAGGAGGACTAAGCACTTTGGTGTCCTGCGATCATGTGCTACCAGCTGACTGCATGGACCCAGTACCCACAAACTCAATAACACACTTTCATCCCCCATGGGGCAATGCCAATTAAAATGTAACCAGTTCTAAGTGTTTCATGCTTGGCTGGGCCCACACCAAACTGTTACTGCATTCAAACACGAATTAACTCTGGTCTCCCCACTGGAAACAGCACCATGGTACAATTAAAGTAGCTGTTACCGAACAGGCAGCAGCTGTCATCACTTTCCCCCAGAGGACCTGTGAGTTCACAGCAGTGGGAAAAACAAGGAGCTGCAAGTAAAAGATTTACCGATTATTTTCACCCGCTTTTTACATGCTGTTTGCTTTGTGGAAGCATTTCGGTCTAGTTACTAAAATTAGTTTTATTTTTGTGTTTTGTGCTTTCATCTTGTCTTGAACATTTCAGACACTGACTTTAACCCTTAGTCTGGATTACTTGAGAAGCTTTTCTGATATATTTATTGGCTCCTTATCAGTGTAGAATGAGTCACATGTCATTTCAGCTGTACTGTCTAACTGCACTGATTGGTTTGGGACAAATCCCTATTGACACCACACAGTTTATATTTACTTCACCACAGAAAGAGTCATCATCACTTGTAAGTTGTGAATTACAAACGTATATCTTTCAGTGTTGAATGCATGCCTACCAGACCCCTGATGATACCACACCAACTAAATTAATGGCCAAATACATTTTACTAATTTACTGTACTCAAGAATGAATCCATGAATCAATGAACCCATTCAATCATCAGTCATCTTACTGAGCTGCCATCTTGTTTAGTAGTGAACCCTGACTGGCTGCTGCTTCTTGTGAACATAATGTTGCACAGCAGAGGGAGGGAAAGGACCGCTGTGGACCTAAAGATCAGGTCTTGGTTGTGACTACAATTCTTTTGGCGCCATGGGAGGTAATAAAATATGACACTTTAAAATCAATTCCAAAGTCTATTTTCTGCAAAAGTCCTGTTCCTTTATTGGTTTGTAATCACTGCTGAAATACTTGATGATGAAAAATATAATTGATCTGGTTTTAAAAACAATGAGGAGCTGGTCTAAACTGTCATTTATTTGGGTTCAGTTTCCTGGTAATGGATGATTCTAAAGGTCAAAGTATTGGTGTCTTAAGTTAGGGTTCCTGAGATGGATGTTACATAAATTTTAGCTGTGGTGTGGTTTTGTGAAATGGGGTCCTGGACAATAAAACTTGACAAGAAGAAGTGACAGATGTGGCAGAGTTCATCCTATTTTCTCCAGTTTCTTTTTCATAGCTGACACTCAAATGGTATTTTCTCAAAGGTTAGCCAACACAAGAGGAAAAAAAACCCATCAAAACAGAGGATGTAGAACAAAGCTTTAAAATGTGTCCTTTGAGAAACTGTAAAGCAATTTACAAGACTTTCTGACAGACAATAAACAGAGGAAACTAACAACACTGTCAGTGTATCAATAGAAAAACACAAACCAAAAAGAAAAAAGAAGAAAAGATATTTCACCCCAAACAGGCTTCAGCTACTGTTGGCTGCAGTTAATCAACACTGGAGTCATGGCAACTGATTAGCAAAAAAGAAAATACCTGCATGTAATGAGTTCTACAGAAGCGTAATGCATTCATTCATTCATTCATTCAAAAAAATCCGCTCTTTGTCTGAATTAATGAGATTATTATCACGAATTCTGAGATATGATCTTGTTAACTCAGAAAAACGGAGTGGATTTTCTTTCTTAAGTGAATACATCGCTTCTGTATACCTCTATGCAAAGAAGTACAAAAACCAAATTATATTTTTAGAAGAAATATTTACTGTGTAAAGGAACTACTTCAATAAAGTACAATATAAACACATTTTAATTTAAAAACTCTGGTAACTGACATTTCTAGCAATATTGTACTGTGGTATACAGAGTCCACATTGCTATATGTAGAATATATTCATCGTTGTAATGTTTTTCCCCTCCTTCTCAAAATCCTCCTTCTCCTACTCCAAAAATTAGAATGAACCTACTGATGTGTAGAAAACTGAGTGCAAACATAAAAAAAATATTCCTTTAATTGAAACACATTAGGTTTGCATTGGATGTATGATGTAGTTTTACAAAGCAAAAGAAAAGCAAGTTACTATAAAACTATATGTTACAAAGAGAGACATTACCTGTAACCACATCCTCTGAAACTATTCTATAATAATGAATTTTGGTTGAGTGCAAATTATGTATGATTTCCCTTTAAGTGATATTTGATTGTTTTAAAGTTCTCACTTTATGATACAAACTATACTTTCCCAAGTTGGAGTAAAATATCACATTAAAAGTAAAACTGCAGCAGGGAAAGACGTACTGATACTGACACTTACTCCTTTTTTGTGGAGATTAATCATGATTTAACACTTGAAATGTTGCATCATGATTGAAACATTTGAAATATAAAAATTTGAAATTTGTCAAAAAGAAAAAGGTCAGACTCAACCAATTATTTAACAACTAGAAAACCAGCAATGTGTCCTTTATAACGCTCTTGACAACTGAGAACACTCAGTTCTCACTCAGTGAAAACAATGATTTCTAATATCATCCACAAATTAATACCACTCTTACAAGCAAACACACTTCATCTCCAACAGGTCAAATTCAAATGAAATTCAATGACGTCAATCATTATTCAGTTAAAACAGTTCAGTTAAAGCATCAACAACAACAACAAAAAAAAGAGAGGAGAATGTCCCCTATATTCACATATCACTCCTCAAACACAAAGTTAAATACTAAAACTAAAATTCATTACTAAATATACAGGAACTCATGTTTCACTTTAAGTGTGAACTAAAGGTAGTGTTCACGTTGTGACAAACAGTGCAGGTCAGTTCAGTAGGTTTTAGAGTTACTCCTTCCTTGCTTCTGCGTCCTCCTTCATCTTCTGCTCCTGCATACGACTCCGAGTGGAGCCTAGAAGAAGAAGATGGTCAACAGAGGAACATACAACCATAAGCTGTACAACTGACAAAAAAAACACATGAAGATGAGGAACTGAAAATATCAAAAGAAAAAAATGGAACTGAATATTTAAGAAGTTTTCACTTACTCATCTCTGCAAGCTTCTGTATCAGTGTAGAATCTCCACCAGATTTGCTGTAAATTGAAATATATAAAGTGCTTAATTGAAAAAAAAAAAAAAAAGGTAGAATAAATTTTTATTACTTTATTCACCAAACTAATTCAGATAACCTGTAATAAGATGAATGTAATTTCTATGTATAATGTAATATTTCTTTATACTTTTACGTTGCCAGTACTTAAACTGTTTTAATGTGTTGAATGACTTTGATGTAAAATTTGTAAATCTGGCGAATATAACACCATTTGTGACCAACCTGCCATCGGCTTCATCCTGTCCGTCCACATCGAACCGTAACCTCTTCAGAGGCTTTGGAGCAGAGCCGAGATCCAGAGTCCTCTTAAAGGACCGATCGCTGCTGTTGACCATCTGGTTGATCTTTTGGAAGCGACTGGACAGCTGCAGATGAAAACAAAACGGAAACAACGGGGCCAGCGAGGAAAAGATCATTACCACTGCAGCTGTTAAATTCAGATTTTCCTTCAATATTCTACAGAGCAAACAAAACAGACACATACCCCAAAAGATTCACCGATCGATACCAACATTCTGCAAAAGGTAAAAAAACAAACATGAGAAAAATCATGTGCAAAGAATTTTTTTTTCAAAATAAATTTTAAGGATCATGCTAATTCACAAGTGTAGTTGAATGGCCTTTTCTCTTTTTTACCAAAAATCCTTCAAGTTGACTTAAGAGAACATCAAACTGCCGTGAATGTAAAGAACTGACCTGGAGCGAGGAGTCATGATACCCGGGGACATGCGTGGGCTTTTCAGAGGGGAGATGTACACATTATTGCTGCCAGGCACACGCAGAGGTGAATTTGGAAACTTGTAGGGGCTGCGTGGTATTTGTGGGATTGGAGAGAGGGTAGGCGGCTAGAAAGAAAAAAAAGAGCAACAATGAGAGGGTATAGTGAGTATATACATTCATCTGATTGTACATGTATTAAAATCAAACTATAGCCCCTGACAGGGAAGGTGTCTCACCCGGGTAGAAGCATACTGCAGGATGTTGGTTTTCAGCTTCTGCATGAACACTTGATTGTAAAAGACAATTATGGAGTCATAGTGGCCTTCAGTGATTAACACATGCTTAAAAGTCTGCAACACACAGAGTGACATGAAGAGACGCAAAGTTAAAAAATATTTTATATCATAATTCAACATGATGTTTGAAAGCAAAAAAACAGCCTGAAGGATAACAAAGTTATTAATGAAAGGTCAGGTCACCTCCTGGTTGGTGTTGGCCATGTTCTTGTATGCCGTGACGATGGTCTTGAAGCGTAGATCAACACTCTTCACTTTACATATGGCATACATGGCTGACATCATCAACTATGCCAAGAGAACAAGAGAGTAAGAGACTGAGTCAAAGTGAGTAAAAAAGACAAAGAGCAAGAGAAATGATACAAAGAAGAGAAAAAGAGGAAGCAGCATCTTGTCAGGTTACCTGGTCGAGGTGACGGTCTCTCATCAGCTCATACTCGTACTGCAGTGTGTGCTGGAATAGTGTCCATATGATGGGCTCCAGTTCAGGGTGGGAGGACAACAGGTAGGAGCAGAGTATCTTTAGTCTTGTATAAGCCAAGCGGTACACTACAGAGAGAGGAAATCACAGACACAGTTGGACACAAACAGCAACAGCAGTACACTGTAACATAAATGGAGAAAAAAACCTGAGGGATAACTGAACAAAACAAACAGAAAGAAAACATTAGTTGTAATTTTCTAATACTTTCTTCAGTCTTATGATTTCCAGTTTATTATAGAGAAATCCATCACTGACAAAAAAGTGGAGATGACTGAATCTTTTAGAAATTGATGGAGGCAGTGTCTAGATTTTGTTTGTCTTCATTATATAGAATTTACCCGAGAGAGCCAGAGACACTTAATGTGTTGTGGGAAATATAACTTAAAAAGGAATCTGCACTCATCAAAAATAAGTGAGGGAGAGCTTGAACCTCTTCTTACACTTTTTATAGAAGAGGCTGAGAGAGTTGGACTTTGGGGGTCGTGGAGTCTGACCAGCGGGCTGGGTCAGAACCTGAGAGGAAGCTTGAGAGCTGGCAGTGGCTGGGGACTCAGGAGGTAAGGCACGATGGCCCGGGCGCATGGGGGACAGATATCTGTAAGATCAATGGAAAAACCAGTGGGCCCAGTCAGTTACACCATCAATACTAAAGAAAATATTCAATTAAAATTTTCATTAAATGTAAACCACAATTCACAGATAATTAGAGGGTTCAGAATAAGGTAGTAGAGGCTAAAAGCTACAAAAAGAAAGACTCATGGTGAGTATAAGTCATGGAATTTAACAGATATGTTGTTTTTTTTTTTTAAATACCATGATACTTATCTATGACTTAAAGGTGAAAAACTGTTGTACTTATGACTTACAGTGGTTTTACAACAGCTAAAAGGGTTTGCGGTCTAGGGAGGTCTTGTGGCTGCTGCATACCAGCAGCTGAAAAACAGAGTGATTGTGGGGCTACGGACTCACAGGTCTGCTGCGGTGTGGTTGTGCTGCAGTGGTTGGCTGAAACTGGCTGGGGTCTCCACCTGCTCTGCTGCTCCGCCCTCATGCTCCTGTTTCAGCAGCTCAAACAGCGGGGAGGCCTGTGGAGACACAAACATGATAATGATTTATACGTTACCACATGTGCATCTAAATCATGTTAAAAAATTACTGCATATCGTTTATCACAAAACAGAATTCAAGAAGTAAAATTTGGACAAAAGAGAAAAACCTACTGAAAGCCAACATGAGGGGAGTTTTTCCACCTCCGTCAAGAAATGGAACTAATTAAGCACACATCAACTTTTACTGATGCAAATTACAACTTCACCTACAGTACGCCTGAGAAATTAATACCTCAAAGCTTTGCAAATAAACACCAAAGCAGAATTCGAATGAGCTTTGGCTACTCTAAATCACATTTTACATTTTATATGACCTGAAAAAAAAGATACTATCACACTGTTATCTTAATCACAACACTACCCTTGGTGCTTATGTTTTCTATATTTCAATTATTTTCTCAATTAACAAAATTGTTGTTTTGTCTTTAAAATGTCAGGATATGATGAAAAATGCCCATCACAGTTTCCATGACAACATCTTTTAATGTTTGACCAACAGTCAAAAACCCCAAAAAGTCCAATTTACAGTGATAGAAAACAAAGACAAACAGCAAATCCTCACAATGGGCGAGCTGAAACAAGTGGAAGTACAGCATTTTCACTTGAAAAGTGACCCAAACTATTATCAACTAATTGGTCAACATACACACAATTGATACAATTCATTGTTTCAGCTGTAGCAGTCTCCGTGACATGAGGAAACCACAGAAAGAGAATCAGGGATGTTAACCTACTGACATGGAATTAAGATAATATCAAATATGAATTATCATTGATATTGATGAATTATCAAGAGTAGTAATGGACTGATAATATATCTGTTCCTCATTTTTATCTTGATCTGAGGACACTCCCTATAGTGCCCTGTCTGATTTTAGTGATAGATGGAAATCCCTACAAAATGAACCCAAACAATTGTTCTATTTAAAAAAATGTTTTCAATTTCATCTTAGAAATTTAAATAAAGACTGAAGGACATGTAGGTAAGTGGTGCATGTGAATATTGACATATCATACATTGAGAAGAAATCAGAGATTAAATCATACGGAGAAGTGGGTGTGGTTATAACTCAGCAACTTACACTATGACTTCAGGTACAGACCTGCTATTAGTACATTCTTCATGTCATACTTGCCACGCCCGGCTGACGCCACTGTCACATTGCAAAAGAACACTTGGTATCTGATTGCTTAAACAGCATTTAGTGACGTATAACGGATACAGCACTGCAACATTTTTTTAGGTTGAAATCATTGCACTCATAAGAGTCTTGTGTTCTTTGTCTAATGTAGACTCGTGATTACAGTCTCTACTTTTACCTGACTATTTGTTTGAAAATTGAAAGTGAAATACCAAAAGTCATAGTCATAAAGTCATAAAGTGTTAGTGGGCTGACAGTAAAATCGCCTGGTGATTGTGCAAAATTGTGATATTTTCAGTGGCTGATTTAAAAGAAGAAAGAAGAATCGCCTAATTTAAGTTTGCAATTAAAAAGGAAATTGTGTGAATCATGAACCACAACAATTTCTGATAGATTCACGGTAATCAAATTTCAGGTGAATGCATAAACAAAGCAGTGATGGGAGGACTTTGTCCCCAGTGGAGGCTCCTCCCTCTTTGTTTCAACAGCCCACTGTGTTTTTTGTGTTAGAGCCTCTGACTTGCAGCCTGCTATGAGGTTGCTGATATATGGTAAGGCAGGAACAGAGTAACAATCAGCATGTCCCCCGCCCCAGGGCTACTACAGGAACAGACAGGAGAGGAAGAGAAGAACCACTCGACTGTTCACAGAGTTGAGGAGAGACACATGATTGTTCTCTCAAAGGGGATAAACATTTCAACTGTGGAAGACAACTGAAAAGACTGGAAACTCCAATTAAATGAGGAATATTGGACGTGCAGGACAGCTTTCAAAAGGAAAACTGATGTAAAGAACTGTGGATACCAATACAGGTATTTTGTGGAGTTGCTCTATGCTTTCCTTCTAAGTATTTCATAACATAAAACCATACAAACTGAGCATTCTTCAGTAATTCAGGACTGTTTTTCTATACAAATGAATTTTTTCCTGCCTGTTGCACATGGATGGATTAACAAGGTGAACTTGGATTTTTATGGACACACAAACACACGGCTGACAAGAAAGTTTTCACTCGGTAAATATAAATTTACCAGCCTGGTCTAAAGATGTATAACAACACCCTACAAACTCTCAACACCACTACACTGGGTGTCACTCAAAATTACATGAACTGCAATAAGAGTGATGACTTCAAGTACCCTCTGTACAGCTCGGTTTTCAGCCTGGTGTTTGTGGTTGGACTTTTCTTCAACATGGTGGCTGTGTACATTTTTGGCTGTACACTGAAACTGCGAAATGAGACCACGACATACATGATGAACCTTGTTGTCTCCGACTCTCTCTTTGTTCTCAGCTTGCCTTTTCGGATTGTTTACTTCATTAAACGTGAATGGCTATTTGGAAGTGTGCTCTGCAAGATCTCTGTGGCGCTTTTCTACACCAACATGTATGGCAGCATCCTCTTCCTCACCTGCATCAGCGTCGACCGTTTCCTGGCCATTGTGTACCCGTTTCGGTCCCAGAATATTCGTACTAGGAGGAATGCCAAACTGGCCTGCTGTACAGTGTGGGTGATGGTTCTTTCAGGAAGTATACCCACGGGGTTTCTCTTGGACACCACTTCACCCAGAAATGCCAACTCCTCCTCAAACTTCTGCTTTGAAAACTACTCCAAAAAACAGTGGAAGTCTGAGCTGTCCAAGGTGGTGGTGTTTATTGAGACTGTGGGCTTCATTATCCCGTTATTGGTCAATGTGTTCTGCTCGGTCACGGTTCTACGGACACTGAGGAAACCACAAACCATTAGCCGTGGAGGGAACCTCAACAAGGTAAAAATCTTGAGGATGATCCTTGTGCATCTGCTCATCTTCTGCTTCTGTTTTATTCCCTACAATGTCAATCTCATCTTCTACGCCCTGGTCCGCTCCAATGTCCTGAAGGGATGCTACGCAGAATATGTGGTCAGAACCATCTACCCCATTGCTCTGTGCATAGCAGTAACCAACTGTTGCTTTGATCCAGTCATTTACTACTTCACGTCAGAGACCATTCAGAGCTCCATCAAACGCAAGTCCACAGTATGGCACAATGGTGCCAAGCTACTCGACAGACTAAATATGGACAGCACACAAAGTAGTCCAAATACAAAAACAAAAAGCCAGACCCTGAGGTCTCTGAGATCCAATATGTTTGTCAATGAGTCAACAGTCTAATAACAACTCTATTGTGACTCTATTATGTGGCATGATAATTCAGTGTGTATTGCTGGTGAAACTCCATTTGGATCTGGCGGCAGCAGCGTGGTCTAGAGGATCATAACAACACATAAGCACAATGGTTGCTAAGGAGTTACTCTCTCAGTGTCTACTAGACACAACAGACAGTTTACACCGGGACTTATGACACTGATCTCTAGTCAGTCAATAAACGAGTGTAGCAACTTTGAAAATAATAAAGTGTGTTGCAGTATAAATACCCTTTATCAAAGTGACAATTCACAATGCGCAAGCTGGAAAACTCTATTAAAGAATGAGTTATGAGTTCTTAATGTGCATTAGTGGAAATGACAGGTGTGTGTGCCCAGTCGTGTGGATGGTGCTGCAAGTTTTAGCTTTTGCACATGACATTTAATTATAGTGTTATTCCTCAGCACAGATTCTCGTATAAGAAAGTTCGTATTTAGCAACTGTGAACCAGTATTACAGTTTTTTTTAATGTACTGTGCAGTGCAGTTTCTAAGTATTTGTGGCCTCACTAAGGCTTTTAAGCACTTTATAGAGCAGCATGTTCTATAACTGTATTCACCCCTTATACTGAAAACAAATACATTTTTTTTGAGTTTTAATTTCACTACTGGTTTGACAGAGTGGCGTGTTGTGAAATGTTTGACATTATCAGGGTATCAATTGTCTCTGTGGGTGCCACCAAATCATTTGTCTAGACTGATGAGTCATACAGTTAGTAGCAACACAGGTACAGGTGCTGTGGTTGGCCAATGTCATGAATGCACAATGACTCAATAAATTTCAAATACACATTAAAGGTTTGGTCAATGATTGACAGCTGAATGAGGCAACACTGCATTTCCACTGCCAATGGCCTTGTCTACATTACTGGTCACTTCTGTAGAAAATAGCGAGGGTCAAAACATAAAGACATGAAAACATGTCAAAAATTCAGAATCTGGTCTGCTGAATTTCTGCATTGAAAACAAAACTGGAGTATGTTGAAATTAAATTCAAGGCGAGTTACAACATGAGGAATTTTCAATCAATTCTTTTTCACTGATATGATTTTGCTAGTTTACGAAGAAGTAAATGTGAAAACACAGCGCACAGTGCAAATGGAATATGGTGCAGCTTGAATGCATGTGAAATATTTGTCCCTTCTTGTAAAAGCTGTGTGCTGCAAGACCGAGCACTGCTGCATTCCTGTTGAGAGGCGTTGCCTGAGGGTCTGCACTGACTAGGGTAGCCTCATCATCACCATGCACGGATGAAAGATTGTGAAACTGAAGCAGGCGAGCAACAACATGCCTCCTAAGGGAGAAGAACATTTACAAAGTAGAAGACAGGCTACAAAGATCCAGTGAATCCAGATTCGGTGAATATTGCAGAATGTAAACTTAAACTGGCATCTGAGATAAATAGAATAGGCAATTTCTGAAGACTTATTTTTCCATGTTTGGACTCCTGACATTACTACGTGAACACTACCACACCTTCACCCAGCACAACTGAAATGTTTGTACTGGATAAATAGTTTTGCGTGGAAAAAGTCCGTCTAACTCAAGGTTGACACGATAATCACATAGACTTGTGATCCTCTGATAATAGTATATCATAAACAAAAGTAATTATAATGATTAATAATGATTGATACATTTTACTGTGTGTGAAGAGTTTTTGTGGAATTGAATAGTAAAAACACATGATCCCATTTCTGTTTGTATTGATAATTGTAACATGAAGGTAAGGTTTATTTTTTGTGCACAGGAGAATAAATCTTAACCAGTTATTTTGCAGTTGTGTCTGTCATTTGTTTTATATATTTCGAATTCAGATTTATGTAAAAAGGGTGTGTAGCTAAGTCATCATCAGTGCCATAGTAGCCTAATATTCTACAAATTAAGATTATTTAAACAGAGACTTTATTAGTTCAACGCTGCTTCATTTACATCCCAATTTAACTGGTGAAGCTTGTATAGTTTGCACCTATTACCCACATCAGATTTTTCAATACACAAACACTCACATTTTGAGTCACAAGAGTTCTGACTAATTAAGACATATATGGCATCAAACTATTTGTCTCTGGTTCTCTTTGGCTCTACTAACCATGGACACAGATCTTCACTGAGTTCTTCTTCAATTGTCTGAAAGGTGATTGTTTTTAGTAGTTAATGATTAACTCCTTTTTTACACGCAGCCATAAACATGACTGTAATGAAACTATGCGTGCTTAATTGTACAGCTTATCACAAAACTCAGTTCTATGAGAAAACTAGTTAATATCAGTCAATTCTCAATCCAAACTAGTGATAAAGCTCAAAGCTCTCTAACCAATTTGACCTAAAGAGCTAAAAAAACAGAATAAACCACGTGTGTGAGAGAGGAGAGAGGGGGAGATAAAGTGAGATAAAGTGAGAGAGAGATCCTGGCCTGCGTGTGGGTGTAGGCGTGAACTGCTCCAATCAGAAGCATCGTAGCAAGTTATCCTGCTGCTGTTATCCTTATCACACTGTCACTGCACTGATGAGACCCTGATACTGGTGAGTGATAAAGTTTTATTTGTTTCATCTGAATTCTCCTCAGTGAGGTTTATATGCAAAATATATAATGGATTAAGATGTGTATTTTTTTTTTTATAAAATGAAGACAAAAAGTTAACTGAATCAGCTTATTAGGGCTGAGTAGAAACTTTAAATGAAGGAGGTCCACAAAGCTTAAGATAAGAATCTATTTTTTCTATGTGATATTCTATCATTTCTATGGTTTTTACAGTGAGCCACAAAACAGCTACATGATTTGCAATTCTTGGTCTCATTAAGCTTACTTTGTAAGGGTGATAACAGTTACGGCAAAATAATCCAGTTTAAAATTTTAAAAACTATTAATGTCTTATCAAATAATGTTATGAGAATGAAAAAATGTCAATTGCAATGCTGCATGAAAGCTGACTGATAGATATAATTAATGAATTGATCTGTATAAAAAATCATGTAACAATTACATTTTTGAAATCAGCATTCAGATATAATGAATCATGGTATAATTAGTGTTAAGATAATAGTGGGAGCTCATTTGTGTCCTCGGTCAGTGGTATTGATTCAACTCAATGGTCATTTGATGACTGGAGTGTGTGGAGTTGTTCAATAGCCTAAATTTCTGGTAATTTGATAACAAAAAAGCAAAATTATATAAAATGACAGAGAGAAAAGATTTAACTAATGCATTAGTAAAGTGCACTTACAATCAAATCGTCCCAATCTTGACTGACAGATGCATAACTGGATATTTGCTTATAGACTAAAACCTACAGCCTAAAAAGTTACTTATCATTTTAAATTAACACCTCTGACGATCAACTTTATGAGCTTCACTAAATGTTTATTTACAGCAGGGAAGCAGTATTACATGAGCCATTTCTTTTTTCCCCACTCTGCCTGTAATGAAACCAAATGTTTGCTTGTTTTATAGGTGCAGTTAAAACTTTATTGACAGAATCCTTCCAACTGTCGTTGTGCATATCAAACATTAATTCAGGTGTGCCAGCTGCAGTAGTGTATTTACCTCAGCAAATTTACATTCCATAAAACAGGAGACATTTTGAGTTTATTAAGTCTTTACTTGCCACAGGTTTAACTGCTCCAGCAGAAGCTACTAAACCATCCTTCAGAATGAGAGTGACACAGTGATTTTAAGTGTTGGAGCAGCAAATCATTTTGGGACATGGAGCTGTGGAATATGACTCACGTACCAGCTAAGCCATTCTCACCTCTGTCTAACTGCACTGTGGACACCAGCTACCGCTTTACTTTTTATCAAGTGTCTTACAGTGTCATCTTCCTGCTGGGTTTGGCCACCAATGGCCTGGCTCTGCGCAGACTGTGTCGGTTTCCTTACACTGTTAACAGTACAGCCATCTACATGGTCAGCCTGTCAGCTGCTGACTTGTTTTTTGTGATCTCCCTTCCTCTGAGAATCTACTACTACAACCAAAAGGCTCAAGCTTTGTCCTCCAACACAGGAGAGCCGTCCAGTTGGACTCCTGGGGTGGCTTACTGCCACCTCACTTTCACACTCAAATACATCAGCCTGTATGGGGGCATCTTCTTCCTGGTGTGCATCGCTGTGGACCGTTATTTTGCTGTTGTGCACCCACTGGCATCAACGCTCCGCAGGCTGCGTGTTGCACAGCTGGTAAGTGGGGTGATCTGGTTCCTGGTGTTGGGGCTGAGTGTGGGTCTGCCTCTGCTGCGCTCTGCAGCCGCTCGCCAACACCAGCCCTGTCTGTTGGACCCATCCTTGCAACGCCATCGAACCATCATACTGGCAGCCCTGGGCTTAGTGCTGGGGTTATTTCTGTTGCCCACTGTGCTACTTCTCTACAGTTACTGCAGAGTGCTGAGTGTGCTTCGCCAGCCTAGACATCGCTCTCGCAGCCAGCACCGCAGCCGCCAGCACACTCTCACAGTCATTTACTGGGTGCTGGGCATCTTCCTGTTGTGCTTCCTCCCTTATCACATCAACCTGCTGGGATACACCCTCACACATGTGGGGCTGCTGCCCCATTGTGGCCTAGCCAAGGTGACCAAGGCTGTACACCCTGTGGTGCTGTCACTAGCCAGCTCCAATTGCTGCCTGAACCCACTCCTTTACTATTTCTCCAGCAGCCTGGTGCACAGGGAGGCACCTGGTGGTGGAGGCAGTGGCAGCCAGTGACACAAATCATCCCTACAACTACTGAAAACAACCCGTTTTTTAAGAGCACTATTATAATCACTACTGCTTTAGTGATTATACAATTAACCAGGACTTTTTCTATTCACATACAGTATTCAGTAACCTATACTGTGTGCACTGCTTTGTACGTGGTACTGCAGGTAACTCTGTATGTGTTAAATATGTAACCTGCATTTTAGGTTTAACTGGTTTTGTGTGTGGTCACTTTAGCAGACTGCAGAGTTGTGTCTCTGGAGTAGTTTGAGGTTCAGCATCATGTTAACAAGCACTTTGCCAGCTATGGTTGGCTTGGTTATTTGGTTCAGTACAACTATATGTTTGTGAGATAGGGACATGCAATGAGATTTTTCATATGCAGTGAATATGTGGAAGTTTACACAGAATGTTGATCTTATACGTAATTTATGTTATTCCTAAAGTGTTATAATTTTTTTCAAATGTGCAGTTTGAGAATTGACTGATTGTGTAAGGTGGCTATATTAGCAGTATCTATGTTTTAATGTTGTGTTATTTGTGAATCTTATCAAAATACTGTGACATTATTAAATGTATACTGCAGTTGTAATAAGAGATAAAACTGACCGTCCTCCATGCAATCCTCTCCATGATGAGGTTCTCACACGTCTCCAAATGTTTGACGATATCTTTGCTCAGTGTAGGGTCAGCCTTGATAAAGCTCTCGATGACTTTGTAGAAGTCAAAGGCGGAGAGTTTGAACACATCCAGTATCCAGGGGAAACACACATCTGTCTCAGCTTGGTCACCACCTCCATGGTTGTATCCTCCAGTCTTAAAACTGCTCTCTAATCATAAGGAGCAAGCAATATAATTATAACGTGTCACACATGTAGAAGAAGTTTAAACATTGATCGGTATTATTGAACCGTAAGATACAACACAGTTATTTAAGAGGTGGTATGCAATGGCATCTGTCGTTAATTTGTAAGCAAATTACGTGACACACCTCCATATGTTGCCATGACTACCTCCAAAGCGCAGGCCAGGAGTGATGTGTGGAATGTGGAGTCATTGAGGAGTTTACTGAAATGGAAATCATATGACTCAGCTCAAGTCAAATAATGCTTCACTACACATCAAAACAACAAAAAGCTTCAATGCATTTCCAAAGTTCAGCTAAAGGTTAAGTGAATAGACACTGACACTGACTGGCTTCATAATTCTCTAGTGATTTGATAAAAATAAAAAAATAAAAACATACCTGAAATTTTGCACAGACAGTCGCTTCTCTTCCTACAAAGTGAAAAAGTATTATCATTGGGAGGAAAAACAATATGAATGCAAGTTATTTTAGACACTGAAGTATGTTGAGTCAAAAAGTGTGGGAACTTCTGCTGTACAGTCTACACTTCCAGTGAGTTGCTTCCTGTTGACAGACTTAATTTGCTCTCCACTATGTTGCTATGAAAACAGAAGTCATAAGGGCATAGACAGGTAGATTGAGGTTTTCTGCGATACTTTTTAGGGCAAACCTGAAAATTGCTAAATTTGAATTCACCTGAGCCTCCGAATAAATAGATAAATAATAAAAATACAAAATTGTTGAATAAAACAGTTGAAAAAATAAATTAATGACATAAATTCAAACAAGTCACTCACCGATTTCAGCATTTCCTCCATGACTTTGTAATACAGTCTGACTCCGAGGGTAAATCTCTGAAAGACAACACAAACATGTACTGTAAGTTGGACATTTCAGTCATTTCAGCATGACTTGTCTTGCCACTTTTTGTCATTTTTTTTTTTTGACTGTTAGTTCATACCTGCTTGCCAAGTATGACACAGCGCGGACCGACTGCCTGACCAAATCTTTGGCTGAACGCCTGTTCAAGTGTCTCCAAACGCTTCAGCACGTCCTGCGTCGGGTCCACAGTGCAATTCTGACCAGGCAATAAGAAAACAGGAAATATCTCAAATTAAGGTGGCAAGATGCAGATTCATCGGACATTTAGTGGCAACACTTCTAGGGACCCACTTTGAAAT